GCCTTTGGCTATTATCTGTTCAGATTTATATTGAATTTCTGTTTTGAATTCTTGCTATAAATGCTGACTGATTTGTTAGTACCAGGTGTGCCTTTTGTTCATCCTACTTAGTTTTTAAAATAAAGGGTCTTTTATACCCTTCTAAAGTCTCTGTAGTATTTCTGAAGACATAGTGATAAGTTGCTTCCTGTGTTAATAAGGACTAGCCACAAGTTACAATCAGTAAAAGGCTAATTCCTTAAAAGTATTACATCATGTAAGTAAGAGAGAATGAACTGCTTTGAAATTTATCAATTAACATCTAAAAAGCTGCCAGATCAGTTTTCAGTTGAAAATGCATTCAATGGAAATGGAAAGTTCTGAAAGAGTAAACCAGTATTGCTTTGTGTCTGTCTGTAGACCAAATGCTGACCTGAGCAGACCACAGATCAGTGGTTGTCATATATGACATATGTTTGGCATCATGCAGTTAATTATTCATCCCAGGTAATGGATATGAGCATATTATAACAGCATTCAGTGCTCGATAATCTGTGCAAAGTTGCACTCTTCCATTTGGTTTGTGCACAAGAACCACATACAGTGGCTTCCAAAAGTGTTACACTTATGATTTTCATTGAAATAGGGCTCTATCCATTAATTAAAAGTAAACTTTCTGAATGAGATTTTAATAATCAGATCTATAATCTACTTGTAACAAAATTACTTGAAATATTTTTAAAATGTAGCGAAAATTTATTTTTAAGAAATTAATAATAAAAAAATGACAAACATTTCATCTCACAAAAGTATTCGTACACTGAAATATTTTTGGATATTTGCCGCTTTTTAAAAATTTTTGCATTGTGGTGGCATTTAAAAAATCATTTGCTTTAATTTTTTATCATTTACTTCATAATATTCTATTTATTATTGAAGAATGGGTCGCAGTCGTAAAGAAATTACAAACAGCATTCGAAAATAGATAATTTTTCACCATAGTGGTAAATCAATTCAAAATATTGCTAAATTAGTTGATTTATCCCATTCTACAGTGCAGTATGTGATAAAATGCTTTAACCCTCTAAGTGGCAAGACATGGTCTAGAACATTTTTTGTGATGTCTCTACGAATGTATATATACGTGCATATTAAAATATGTCAAAGAAATTAAGGCAATATATCAAAAGAAAACAAATCTAAGTATGAAATACCAGGAGAGTTTTTGCATTAAAATCAAAAAAATAATTTGTTCTCATAATAGTTTTGGGAAATTTGTGCTTTCTTAGCGAAAACCCTGGCCACTCAGAGGGTTAAAGAAGAAAATCGGATTGAAAACAAGGTAAGAAAAGGTCGACCGAGAAAGTTAACTAAACGTGATAAGAGATTTATTATTAGAAAATTTGTGAAAAACCCACATTTGAGTGCTGTAAAAGTTTCTGCTGAGTTTAATGCAAAGTTTTCTACTTCACCTGAAACTGTTCGACGAGTTCTCAGAAAAGCTGGATTACATGGGCGATCTGCCCGTAAAAAATTTTTTTGTTAGTCAGAAAAACAGAAAGCTTAGGCTTTCATTCACAAAATCAATGATAAATACACCTGAAACGTACTGGAATAATGTCCTATTTGCTGACGAAAGCAAATTTAACATTTTTGGTTCCGATGGGCGAATAACTGTATGGAGAAGAAAAATTGAGGATCTTCATTCTAAGAACTTAGTTGGAACAGTTAAGCATGGCGGTTGAGGTGTTCTTGTGTGGGGGTGCATGGCAGCATCAGGACTAGGTAATTTGATATTTATTGGTGGCATAATGAGCCATTCTCTTTATTTAAATATTTTAAGAGAAAATTTAAAATTATCAGCCCAAAATTTGGGTATTGGAAACAACTTTATTTTTAATTATGATAACGATCCTAAGCATACAGCTCTCAACATTCGCCTGTTGGTGTCTCTATAATTGTCCACAGGTTTTGAAAACACCACCTCAATCGCCAGATTTAAACCCCATAGAACACATTTGGAAAGAAGTGGAGGTTAGAGTACGAAAACATGACATCAAAACGAAAAGCGAACTCAAAACGATCATGATGGAAGAATGGATCAACATTGATACAGAAATTACCCCCCCCCAAAAAAAATCTAGTAAAATTTATTTCCAGACGTTTAAAAGCTGTTGTGGATGCTTAATGATATCCTACTAAATATTAATTTAACGAAAAATGAAAATATTTAATATTTACCAATATGTCAAGATTTTTTTTAAGTGTACAAAGACTTTTGTGAGATGAAATGTTTGTCATTTTTTGATTATTAATTTCTTAAAAATAAAGTTTCGCTATATTTAAAAAATATTTCATGTAATTTTGTTATGAATAGATTATAGATCTTATTATTAAAATCTCATTCAGAAAGTTTGCTTTTGATTAATGGATAGAGCCCTATTTCAATGAAAATCATAAGTGTATGAACACTTTTGAGAGCCACTGTATGCAGCATATGTATATGCACATGCTGTTATTTTCTTGTCTTTCTTTGAAAATATCATTGTTAGGTGGAGACATCAGCATGGTGGTAATGAAATTGCAGAATTTTCGCTGGTATTTATGTGGTATTTAATATAAGGACTTGCTTCTCTCCTTGGTTTGAACACATTCTCATATTTTATTAAGTTTTTCTCTCTGGTTTTCAGTTAAATGTCTTCCTTCTCTTAGCAAAAGACAGAAATTGACATCACAACTAGTATACATAGTTTCAATGTGTTTAACATTGGCTTCCTCAGTAAAATCAAATACCATGCATTGTTTATAAAGTGCCATCTATACTCTTTAAAGTTCAAAACAGTCCTTTGGAAACAGTCAAATGAAAGTCCATTTGCTAGAGTCTTATGAAATTTCACTCCTTGTTATAACAAAAGTTAAAATAAAATTTTTTTCCTGCAATGGAATGGCTTACTCCCTTGTCAACACATGCTGTTTCCCAAATTTCATTTCATTTGAAAAGAGCAGCTTGAGTTGGAGTTGATATTTCGGAATTCAGCTGGATATTTCTAAAATGAGATGATTCCTTATTCTTGGCTGGAGAGCATTTGCCTTAAATAAAATAAACCAGAATGAGTAAAAGCCTTTAAAAAGAAATCAAGATTACCATATCCATAGCATTGATACATTTGTTTTGTCTCCAATTCCAGTTAAGATTTCTAGATGAATTACAATCTTTTTTCATGAGACCAAGCTTGAAGATTTCTTTTCTTTTTCAAAAACTTTCTTGTATTGAAGGGGGTAAAATTCTTCTTCCTGGCATTTCTTATATTTTCATATGCATCCCATCAATCTGCTAGTTCACTAGGTCAGTTCAGTCATCATTAAAGTGCTCTTGTATTCTAGTGAGGCTCATTTTTGATTTAATCTGAAATGATTAGGTCTTTCAGTTAATCAGAAAGTGTTTACATTTAATTCTGAAAGCTGTCCCTTGAAAAAGCTTGCTATCTCAAAATAAAAGTCTAACCAAGCATTATGAGAATTCTTCTTATGTTGCCAAAATAATTGTGTAAACTCAGCCCTTAGTTTAAATCTTTTCAGCAACATATCCTTTAATGTGTTGGTGGTTGGTAATTTTGAGATTCCTTTTCTGATTCTCTTGTGACTCATTCCCCAATTAAATATGCTACCTATTTTGTCTCATATATTTAAAAACATTTAATTGCTTGTCATACAATAAATAAAAATTCATATCTATTTTTGGAATTAAAAGAAGGATCATTTTATTGAATTCTCATTTTGGAAGGTTAATGTCCTACAAAGAAGTAGATTCTATTTGGGAGCCTTGTTTCTGAGTTTCCAAATTTGTCAAGTTTGAAAATTCTTTTTGAGATTAGATTGTTTGATAACCAGTCTTTTATCTTGCTTCTTGTCTTTTCCTTTGTCTATCATATTTGTTAAAATGATTTTGACAGACTCTTCCTTATTATTTTTAGACTTTATGATGTTTTCTGAAATTTTCAAATCTGAGCCTAATTCCTCAGCTGAAATCCTAACATCTTGCTTTTTACCCTTAGCCAGGAACATTATTTATGCTTAGGTAGCAAACCTGGACCAGAGTGCACTTTGACGATACAGAGTTTCAGGTACAATACATAAATTTAGTGGGAACAGTACATACACAGATCATAATACAATCAATTTACTATTAAGAAGATAAAAAATAGTTTATAAACTAAATTATAACTGACAGTATTTCAGAAACTCGTATTTCAAGAATTAATATTCAGTACAGAGCATTTCATTTGCAATTTAAATTTGTTTATGAATAAGAAGTTACTCTTCATACTAGAATCCAAAATCACATAAACTGATAACTAATTTTTAATCAGTGCAGTATATCTGCATCTACTTAAGAATATCAAACATGAAATGTTTATTGTAAACATATGGTGTATGAATAATTATGTACAAAAATAGAAAAGCACATTATTCAGTATAAATATATTGCACTTTATTGAAATCACAAACTCCAAATTATATCAAAATGATACTCAGTCAATAGTTATTTAGTACCTTCAGAAAGAGCATAAATTAATTTCATTCACAGAATACAAAATGATTCTGTGCATTATTGTTAACCTCATACTTAAACACAGTACAGTTTTAAAATGTATAGTACCGTTTTACTTTAAAACATGATCCAGTATTTACTCTAAATACTTAGGACCATAACAATAATGCACAAATAATATTTTATTCTAAATCAAGATAACAGTATGTTTGAATGGAAACTGTATTTCCCTATAGATTAATACTTCATATATTGAAAATCCATAATCATAAAACATAAATGCTATTTTACATGAAATCAAAATTATAATCTGTTTAAAAATCAAAGTATATATCAAATTAAAACATCCTATTTGAAAGTTTCAAAATTTTCTATTGAAAACTGAAAAGGGCATGTTTATAACATTTTATTGGGAATTAATTTAATTTGGAATATTTCCAGTATTTCATGAATTTATTTAATCTTACAGGGTGATAAAGAATCATTTATGTTAAACACAGCTGGTTTTAAAGAAGCTACAGAAGGTAAGTATATGAAATTTGGTTATCTTTATTTGAGCAATTTCTCATTATAAAGCATGTGAAATTGACAGAAATTGGTAAGTATGTCTAAAATTTGCAATTATTATTATCATTAGTAATTATAGTATTATCATAAAATATCTGAAAATATTTCAGATTAAAAAGACACAAATATTTTGTGGTGTTGTGAACTTTTTGTATCTTTTAATATAAGATTGTTTTAATATCTTTTTAAAAACCATTGTAATACATTTTTATGTTTAATTATCTGTTATTTTAAACTGTAAAATTGCCTTTGATTGGGATTTAAATAATGCTTCTTTTATTAAATTATTAAATAATAAAAAAATTTTTAATAGTGACCATATAAATCTTCAAAATATGCTTCACAACTGTAGTATAAAATAAATTTTTTCTCAGAAAACTTTTTTCTTAATTTAATGTTAGTTACCTGAAAAGTTGTAGAGAGTTAGTTTTATTTTCAAACTGTTTTATTTAAAATGGCCAGACACTTACACCTTAATACATTTGTTGGGAATGATCAATATTCATCAGCCATATAGCCATCTTATCAATGAGAATTCAGTCAAGGCAGTGACTGAATTATACTCATAAGAAAGGAGAAGTTCTGTCACAATTTTGATGGAAAATCTCCAGGGATGGATCCAGAGGTCTTCTACCCCTCTTCTAACACCAAACCTCTTGTGAGGACCTTCAGCTCAACACTATTTTAAGTGCCCTCATTGTGGAAAGGTACTTTGCTCTTATAAACATCCATGCTTTCTCCTGAATGGTCAGGCCCAAGGCATACAACACCTCTATTACCAAGCCATCATAGTGGCATTTTCAAATACATTTTCGTAGCTGTGTTAAGTATTGGAATGTGTTTAATAATGATGTTTCCTTTAATAACAATGTGTTCTGTATTTGTTTTGTTTTTGTTTTTCAATCTTTGCAAATGTATCTTTGTTTGAATAGTATTGCAAAAATGAAAGGAACAACAACATAGATAACTTCTTTAAATTTTTTCAATTCTGTTTACTGAGAGGTCCTTAATTTTTTTCATTGATATTCTTCAAAAATTCTTAAAAGTCATTAATTTCTATGTAAAGAAATGCATGCTAACCATCTATTAGAACAATGCTATATATAAACCTAGCATGAAATACAGTACAGAGTTCAATATCCAGGATTATCTGAACTTTGGCTATTCTGGATTTCATGAATATCATGTTTTAATATATATTTTGCTGTTTTACAAACACAGTATTTAATTACTAAATAATAATATTTATTTAGCTACATAATTTATTACCAGTTCTAACATATACAGGCAAAACAGTTATCTTTAGTTAGGCAATATCATTTGAACAGCACAGATAGTACAGATTTACACTCTATTAATTAATTGATAATTAGGGCATTGTCATCATGATGGAAGACTTCAGTTATATCATACTCATTCTTTGCGATATCTAAAATCTTAAAATTTTGGTAGGCTTAAATTCAACTGGACCCCCCCCCCCTCCCCAGCTCAGGTTTACTCTGAAATTGCAATTCCAGCCAAACTCCAAATAAGATGAGTCCTGATACTTTAAAATTTATTATTTAACTATTTGTTGTTAGTTTATTTTATTTATCTCATCAAAGAAAAATCAACCAATTCATACCCAACAAAAGAAAATCAGTATGTGCAACATTCTGTTCCAAACAAATATTGGCCTTTGGTTTTCATTTACTGCATACAGTGCTAAATAAAGTAGAAAATGTGCCTTCTTTGCAAAACATTGCAGAGCAAGAATTAAATGTGGTTCACTGTCTAGTAGGTGTTTAAAAGTGAAGCATGATCCAATGCTATCACAGATAATGAAATTTCTCTGGAAAAAAATCTCAGCCAGTTGGGTGAAAGGTTGATTTATGACATCCTTGCTTTTTCTTGAATATCGTGTTCATTCCATACTGCATGAGGAAAAGAAAATTTTTTGAAAACTAAAAGGGAGGATGTTCAGATAATAGGTTATTTCAGTACAGAGTTCAGCTCTTCAATGCCTAGATTTCAGACTTTGTAAATATTTTTAGTCGGAGACGTGAAAGTGTCAATTTAAAGTTTGTCAGCTGGCCAACTAAAGTAGGAAATATAGAACTGTTCTATTCTTTTTATTCAATGTACATACCCATTTTACCATTGAAATGCAAGCATGATAAGTGAAGAAAATTTACATAATCATGTTAATTTTTAGTGATGAATCAATATTTCATCTTAGTCATAAAGTGGAAATAGAGCATTTATATGTGCAGAGTAAAGAATTCACATGAAAAAATTCACTATGAATGGGTCTTTCTAAAATTAAAAAAATTTTTGCCCAAACTCCAATCAATTGTGTACCATATTTTTTCCAAGAAGAAATCGACATGCTATCTTGAGATGCTTCAGATTTAGTTCCTTCCAGAGCTGCAGGATGGGCTAGACAAGCAGAGCTGGATTAACCATTAAACAAAATAAGCTCACGTTTAGGGCATCAAGTAAAATGAGTACTACAAGCACATCCTTAGGAAGGGGGGGCACAAAAATTTTCCATTGCCAATTTTACCCTGGAAACTGTGGAGCAGTTCAACCAAGACTGAGGCAGAAGGAGCGTGAAAAGCAGGGGGTCTTTTAAGTGCTAAGGGCGTCTAAAAGTTTTAATCCAACCTTAATTAGAAGACATCATTTGGCAGCAAGATTGTGTACCCTTCTTTTTTAATAGGAAATTTGGGAATGATTGAATGAAATTTTTAAACATCGCTTGATTGCTCATCAGGTCCTAAATGATATAATTCTGTTCATGTACCCTTTTTAAGTTCATTTCACTTCACTGCTTACAACTGCTTTCTGTAGATATATGTAGAAGATTTGATTTATGATCTATTACTGCCTAAGAAATCACCTGACTTGAGATACAGGAATATTATGACTATTACATCATTTACCATATATTTCCATATGTAAGCCAATAATTTTAGGAAATTTTCTAAAGCTTGATTACAAGAGTCGACTTACATACAGATCCACTGATCTTGAAAAAAACACAGGTACTTTTCCATTAGCCAGGTGCAATTGCTAAATATCACACTTCTTTTACTTCTTCAATTTATATTTCTTATGTTTATGAAAAAACATTAAATGAATCATTCATTCTATGAAAAGTAGTTGTTTTATTTTTGAAATTGTTTCTAATGCAGGTTTGTTGCATTGTTGCCAAAATAAATATAAGTCTGATATTTGCGAAATTTGTGCCTAGCTTTCTCTACGGAGAAATGCCCAGCAACCATACTGTTAGAATTTCTGTTCCTGCTCATCTTTTAGACAAAAAATAAAATGGCACAGAAAATAAGATTAGCACAGCTACCATAGATCATATAGCATGGCTAACATAGACCATATAGCACAGATACCATAGATCATATATGAGACAACAAATTAATGTGGAAAATGTGCTTGTTATGGGTAGGGTTACGAGATATCAAATTATCATCATTGGCATTTTACTTTGATTTGATTGAAAACTATTCCACTTGTACCTGCTTGGCAATATTTTTGCCCTTATAGCAACATATTTGAACATTACAGGAATTTATTTTTCCTTTTGGGTTATATATAACTTTGAAATTTTGAATAAGTTATTTAAGGGGAAAAAAAAACAAATTCTTAGCTCATATGCAGATCATCTTATATTCAGAAATATATGGTATGTTAGCCAGATTGTCAAGAGTAGAACTTGAGCATTTGATTTATGAAAGTGCCCTCATTATAGAAAATTATAGAAGTGACATGAATGCTAATCTCGTTTACACGTCGGCTTACAGTCTGGTGAGAAAGTGATACTGTTTGAAATTTTCTTACCATTTCATCATCATTAAGTGCTTGAGCCATTTTTATGGCACATTTTTTAATGAATTCTCCATCCAAAAATGACTTCTTTGCCTTTACTATTTCTAAACAAATTTCAAACGATGCAGCTACAGATACTTCTTGAAATTTTGGTTTTTGATTAAAATAAATTGTTTGATGATCCAGCTGCTTTTTCATTTTTTTCTTGAGTGATATTTAAGTAATAAGCACAGAAAGAATCAGCATTCCATGAGTAAATTACTCATATGAAGCCATTTTAATTATTATTATGTACTTTAATATTTAGCTCTTTGACCTGTTCTTTTTATTACACATGTCATCTATATCAGCGCTGTCCAACTTATCATAGCCCGCAGGCCATATTTTCTTCACCAAACATTTCGGGGGCCAAGAAGGTTGATAAGGGAAAAGTCAGTTTATGGTAATTAAAAAAAAAAAAAAAATGCTTTATTTGTACATTGTGGCCGTAATTGTTTAGCAACAATATTTTTCATGTCCACATCAATATATGTTGTGGCAAGTCTAATTATATCTCCAAGAGTGGAATCTTTCAAACTGTTTCTATATTTTGACTTTATATATTTCATATCGGAGTATGCGTGCTTGCAGATATATGTACTTCCGAACATTGGTACAATTTGGAGTCAAAAATCTCTCAGTTTTGGATATTTCTCTTTATCTAAAAATATGAATATTTCTATTCCAGTTACTACACGAGATTTAAAAATGGGTCAGCCTGCAGGTCGCATAATTCTATTTGATATTTAAGATCAACGGAGTTGATATCAATGTTAATTGGATCACAAAATAAATCAATAAACGATTTAAGATCATCAAATTGAGAAAATCTTTTATTGAAATCTGTAATTAGCATATCCAGTTTTGGAAGAAATATTTTAAAATTTGCTTCTATGTTACATTCCTTCATTTCTTCTTAGATCTCTTTGCAAGATTCAAAATGAAATAAATTATTTTGCTCCAAATTAAACCTTAACAATTTTAATTTGTTTCTAAATCCAGTAACATATAAAGGCAACACACATTTTGATCTTGTCCTTGCAAGGATTTATTCAAAATAGTTTATAATGTCTGTTAGTAAAGCAAATGAATAAATAAAATTTTCATCAACTAAATTTGCTGTCAAATTTTCATCGACAGCAATTTCTGTGAAAAAAGATGAACTTCTTTTTGAAGTGTAAAAAATCTCCTCAAGCGCTTTTCAGCACTTAAGCAACAAACGTTACTATGTAAAAGCAGATCTCCATACTCAGTTTCCAATTCATCCAAAAATGCTTTAAATTTAAATTTTCGATGTGTAAGAGAACGATTTCCACCGTGAATTAAATTAGTAATTTTGCAAACCTTGTCCATTACGTCTTTTAGTTGTAGGGATAAACCACATAATGCCTCCTGATGAATAATACAGTGTAACATACGACATGTTATTCCTTCTTTTTGCAAAAGTCCCGCGAGCCCAATATTTTTGCCCGTCATAGCTCTAGCACTATCGGTTACAATCGCAGTGCACTTGTCAAATCCGCCATACTGCTGTACTGAACATTTTAATTGTTTGTAAATATCTTCACCTTTTGTTGTTCCGTGTAATGATTGTGATTTTAAAAGTTCTTCTGAATAATTATAATTTTCATTTACATTTCTTATGAAGATAAGCATTTGACTTGTATCGGAAATGTCTGTGCTTTCATCCAGTGCTACCGAAAAAACAGCAGCAACTATTGATTAGGTTTTCTGATTTATTAGTGACATGCATGCTAATCTCGTTTACACGTCGGCTTACAGTGTGGTGAGAATGTGATACTGTTTGAAATTTTCTTACCATTTCGTTGTCATTAAATGCTTGAGCCATTTTTATGGCACATTATTTAATGAATTCTCCATCCAAAAATGGCTTCTTTGCCTTCCAAAATTAAACCTTAACAATTTTAACATTTCTAAACAAATTTCAAAACAAATTTCAAATATTTGAAAATTTCTAAACAAATTTCAAATGATGCAGCTACAGATACTTCTTGAAAATTTGGTTCTTGATTAAAATAAATCTTCTGATGATCCAGCTGCTTTTTAATTTTTTTCACTAGTGGTATTTTTATGTCTCGTGTGTATGAATGGTACTTTTTTCATGCATGGAGACATAATGGAGATTCAAGTTATATTCTTTACACACAGCTATGATTTGTAAACATTCCAAACACTGTGGTTTACCATTCTTGTTCAGAATAAATAAATAATCTATCTCCCAGTGATCTCAATTTTCGATATCTATTTTTCTTTTATTAGTAGCACTCATATTCAATAATTATTTTAATTAATAAATAAATATGAAATTTAGATATCAATATTATAACACAGTCACCCCTCAACAAATTCTAGACAAGACTGCACTCACACGATTGTATGAATCAACCAAATAGCACAGGATAGTGTGCACATCACATGTGACAACCATCGATAAACGACAACCAGCCACAAATATAATAAATGGTGCCAACGTTGAGCCAACCATCAGCAGAGGTTAAATGGATTGCTGCTGTATTCAGCCAGGTTACGTGAAGTTACGCAAACTAAATAGTATACTTACTTTAAATTCAAATTAGATTTAAATTTTCACATAGTAAAATAATTTTAAAATTAATAATAATAATTTAGTAACATAAATTTATTCATAGTAAAATGTACTCGTGGGCCGTAAAAATAATTTGGCGCGCCTTATACGGCCCGCCCTGATCTATATCGAGTGTGTATATAACAAACTTATTGCATAGGTAAAGTTATTGTAAAACTGAGTTCACCTTCATGACTTTTTCCGAGTGATTGTGATGTTAAAAAAGACAAAATTAAATTAAGGCTGGCAGTGATTATTTATTTTATTTAAAAATTATTAGTCTGACATAATCTTTTATGATAGAGATCTGAAATTCATAGGTAATAATATCAGTGGCATTTTATGATTAAAGTTTATGTATATTAAATTTGGTATTGTACTCTGCACACACACACAATATATATTACACAATATATATTTATCACAATATATATTTATCGGTTGTTGTTATATTTTAATGCTGTTTTATTAATATTTTTAATTTTCTGTTATAAAGGTATTAGTGAACTCGATAGGATATATGAGTCTTGCTATTTTGATGCCAGAATAATAGGAATTGAAAATATACCAGGATTAAAAATAGATCTTGACATTTGTCATGAAATTCTTGAAAAATTTAAAGTAATAATACTTTTCTTTTATTTTTTTAATCTTCAAGTAATTTTTACATAAGATATTTACAGTTATCTAAGTTGTAAATGTAAAGTAAATGAATAAAAGAAGTAAATAATAAAATAATAGCTTGTACTATTTTTATTTATGTATTAGACTTCAAGTTGGTTCCTAATGATATTCAGTGAACTTATGTTTAGTTTCATTTAAACTGGTAAAAATTTATTTTGTAATTCCTTCTATTCTCAATAGAAATGCATGTCTGAAGCTGGCAAATCAACACAGAAAGTTGAATTACACATTACACATAGTGGTGTAAATATTGAGGATATAGTTTACAAGGTAATTTAAAATCATATGTATTAGAAGCAAAATTTACTAAATCTTTTATTTTTGCAGCATTATTGCTTTTGTATCAGTCATTTTATTTTATTTTCAGGCATTACTTGCAATAGTTATAGAAAAACCTACTTTTCGATTCATGAATTTAATACATTACTGAAGGCCTTTCATCATCCAAAATATACATAAGTAAAAACAGGTTTTCCCATAAAAAATATTGTAAAATGGATTAATCCATTCCTGGATCATGGATAAAACAAATGTTCATAAATTTAAAATCACCACAGATATTTGGAAGTGTATTTTGAGGGCAAACTCATGACACAAGAATAAAGGGAATTATCAAATCTAAGGGAAAAAGAAAATTAAACAGATAAAAGAAACAAAAATTTAATTTAATTCTCTGTACCTGCTTTAGTTTAGCTAGTTTATATTAGTTTTTTTTTTTTTTTTCTTTTCAACTAAAAGAAATTCATTCAAACATCCGAAGGGGACAAAATGCAATCATACACAAATTATTGTGGATTTTTTAGGGAGGGTTAATTTCCCTTGAGATATCGATCCTCCTCCAGGAAATCAGCAATAATTTACATGCTTTTTTGTGCATGTACTCTTTTAACTTATTTTCATGTATTTTTTCTTCTTTAAAATGTACATTTTTCATGCCTACCATTGCAAATTTAAAATGTATTTTAAGTTCATTGCAAGTTTTTAATATTTTAACACAGTCTTCTTAAGTATTAATATTTCTGCATTTCAATTTGAAATGGTTTTTCTTTTCTAGGAGATAATCTTAACTAAAAAATTAATAATTTATTTATACATGTGATGGTTGCCAATAGATTATTGGGAAGAATGACGATAGACATTGAAGCATGTATGAAAGAAGAAATTTGGAAGTCTTATAGATGCAATAAGATGCACTTGTAACAGATCTAAATCATATTTCTTTTAATGTAGTTACACATTCCTTAGCCACCAAAACTTGTGCAGTAAATAGCATCATTGTGCAGTAAAAACAGTAAATAGCATCTTAGTGGGAACAGCGTCAGAAGCAAAAGATTTCAGTTTAAGTTTCGAATTAGCCATGTCATCATCAAGTAAGAGTCATGATAGGATTAATCTAGAAATGATGCAGTCTAGAAAAAGTTATTACTATTTTTAGAATAGAGAGAGGAAAATACTTAGATTAAAATGAGGAATTAATTGGCTATTGCTAATTTAAATTATAATTTTTAGATATTTATTTTTTATCTTAGCTACTATTTGTATCTAAATTTAAAACATCAGAAATGATTTACAGTAAAAAAGTATTTGTGACAGAAAATTTGATGATTGAAATACAGTCAAAAGTCGTTAATTCGGACACCCATAATCCGGAATGATCTATAATCCGGATCTCAAAGCTAAAATCTTTCTGCGCATGCGCCGCATTGACGCTTGCGCATAGGCGTTTTACTCGTGCGCCCAAGACATTTACGACTGCGCATATGCGTCTGCGCAAGTGCAGAATACGATTTCGCGTGCGCGTTTAATATATAACGGACGGTATAAGCTAAAATTATCTAATTATCTATTTCAGTTAATGTCGATGATTGCGTTGTTCCTTAATCTTCGAATTGGATCCGGCTTATTATTTTTTGCAGACTGTAAGAGCAATTTTCTAAAAGTAAGCTTGAACTTTTGATTATGTCAAATAGAATTTCCGATGCTGGAGCTTCCAAAGGATCTAGAAAACGAAAGTATGTTTCGATGTCCATCAAACAAAAAACGAATTGCTACAAAAAATGGATAAAGGCATATTCTTTGTTTATCTAACCGTTCCGAAATCTGTTTATCAATTTCACGCTGCAAAGCGCGGGGGGGGGGGAAGACGTCCCGGCGCGCAATGAACTGGAAGTTGATTTGTCAACACTATCGTTATCTTCAGAGCAGATGTTTTTATTTTATTCGGCTTATAATTCCTTACTAAATGTAGTATTTAATTTCGATGTACTCCGTCTTTGATATGATTTAAATCAAATTCCTCGTCATTATAAATACCACGAATACAAATCGAATAGTTTTCTGGTTGCAATTTTCTAATTTCGGCTATGCGTAAGGTATGCTTTACGCATCCGCGCGTTGAAAGAAATGTTTAATAAAGTAAACAAATAAATATTAGGCTTCTTTTTTGGTAAATTTTGATACCCTTTAGATCATAATTGCTCATTATTTTATAAATTACGGTTTCATATTTTTAATTTTATAATTTCTGAATGCCATCTTACCAGATTTAAACTGATGATCTATAATCCGGAAAAATCGATAATCCGGAATCGCTGAAGTCCCGACGAGTCCGGATTAAAGACTTTTGACTGTATTTTTTTTATCTTGTTTAAAATTTCATGCTTATCATATTTTCTATTTAGAAGCTATTATATCATCATCCACTTCGCAAGATATCTCATGTAATTCAAGACTTTTCAGATTCTCATATCTTTGGTTATGTTTGTGGAGATTCTTATGAAGGATATGACTTTTTCGGATTTAAAGCTGATAAAAAAGTGAGTAATTTATCCAGTTTTGCCATTTAGATTGCATGCATAGTTAAGACTTAAAGTTTTGTTAGGTATTAACTATTTTGTGATTCTTCTTGAATTATCATGAATAAATAAATACTTACAAACAGTTAATCATTCATATATTGCATGCATTTTTAAATATTATTTTCTCCTGCTTTTAAATGAATGCACTGTAATAATATGTTAAAAAAATAGTAAATTTGAATGCAATGTAATGTAAAAATTTTTGTTTAAGTTGTAATTGATTTACATGTATGCATTTATTTTAGTCTCCACAACTTTTGGCCATCTTAAGAAATATATTTCATACTGAACTTTTGAGAAAAGAAAAGAAACAATTAGATGTGCAGGTATTAAAGCTTTTAGTTATTTTTAAACACTCTATTCTTCCTTATATATTTTAAATTATGCTAGTTATTAAAGATGACATTTGAAAAAATTGTCTATATATTTGTAATTTTCATTATATTTATTTTTTCCTATGTGTTCTTATGTTAATTAAATTTGCATTGCTGAAAAAATACACATAATTTTAGAAAATTCTGTAGGGTATCAATAAATGAAATTCTGTAAGGTTCAAAGTTTGCTTTTCTGCACTGTTTAATTAAATCTAAGTTAATTCTTATGAATGTGGAGTAGTATTTCTATAGTGTAATTTATAAGTTATATACTATAGTTATGTAGTATGGTAGGTTATATGTTGTATAGTATAATACGAGGGCCATCCAGGAAGTAGATTACGTTTCCGTCTGTGTCCGCTAGGGGCGGGGCTAGCGTGGCCATCTTGGGGTCAGAGCGTTGCGCAGCTCAGTCTGCATCTAGCCGTGCTAGTGAGAGGTTCGTGCTGTGCTCCGTTCAGATACTGTGACGGTTTGAAATGTCTGCGTTAATTGAAAATCCCGCGAGCTGCGCTCAGTAATAAGGTTTCTGACTGCAAAAAACTGTAAACCGATAGAAATCTATCGGCAGCTTCGTGAAGTGTATGGGGACAACATTATCACTGAAGGTGGAGTGCGTCAGTGGGTCATAAGATTTCAAAATGGCCGAACCAATGTTCACGACGAAGATCGAAGTGGGAAGACCCAGCATAGTGACCGCCGAACTTCTCGAAAAAGTCGATGCTAAAGTCCGTGAAAATCGAAATTTCACAATAACGGAACTTTCTTTGAGTTTTCCACAAATTTCGCGAAGTTTGTTTGCACGAAATCATCAGCGAAAAGCTTGGTTACCACAAGTTTTGTGCAAGATGGAAGGCAAGAAGAGGTAACGAAGTGGTTGAAGGCGCAGGCGGCCGAATTTTTCGACGAAGGAATTTCCAAGCTCGTACATCGCTACGATAAATGCCTTAATTTGTATGGTGACTATGTAGAAAAGTAGTATTTGAGTGTGGCTTTCATCTGTATATAATAAAATTTGTTTCCTATACTTTGTTTATTTTTTTATTCCAAAACGTAATCTACTTTCTGGATAGCCCTCGTAAGTAAAAGATGGATATATTCTGTCCTTTGGCCGTTAGACCTCAAACCAAATTAGTAGATGGTCTTTTCATTTGTAAATACCTGCAAATATGACACTCTGATTTATTTAGAAGTTTATAAATTAAATAAAAGAGTACACATTTTGCAGTTATTTTGCAGTTTTGCAGTTATTATTTTCATAAAATGTATGCAATCAAACATACATAATAATAACTGGATATCAGATTAAGGGAAAAGTTTCCATTATTGGACTTTTGGCAAAGAGCAGTTATCAGAATAACAGAAAATGCATTCAGACAATTTGTTTAAAATTTTGTTTGAATGATTTATAAAAGCCAACTAATTAAAAAAGATGTGAAAATTACACTCACTCTAATTTTTCATACAGCAATCCCCTACTTATTTAAATTCACAATTATATAAGTATGCAGAAGCTTTATTGAAACAAAGCTGACAAGCTACCAATCGACTGAAAGATGTGAAAAGCAGGGACTCGTTGTAAATGATCTGTAAACTTTTTCCAAATTGTACTTCTTGCATTTAAGCAATATTCGTGCAGCCAATAAACTCAATATTAGTCACTTATCATCATTAATATTTTTTGTTTATTTATCCTTAAAATGGATTTGAAATGCAAACCCATATGCATTGGTAATAAATCTGAAAGACAAGGTATGCAATAGTTTTGAAGAAAATTTTGAAATAACTCTTATGAATAAAGATGGGAAAATTATATGAACAGTAGCTGACAATATAAATTGACATATTTTAACATGAATAGAATAGTGAAAGACAAGAGTTTGCATAGTTGAAAGTATGCAAGGTGTGATAATAATAAAGAGCACCATCATTACGAAGAAGAGGCTGGGCCCATTTTTAAAGATGGAAACACTGTCATATTGCTGATTTGAGTATCTTACACAGAAGCAGATACTAAGAAAAGACTAGGTCATTACATAAAGGTTTGCATGAAAAAAATATTATTATAGACACCGAGAGTGCATTTAAAGCTAGCACTGGAGAGTTCGAACAATCCAAGTATACAACCCTTTGCAGCATCAAAGGTGATGCAGTACCTTATTTATACCCTTGCAACCTATGAATGTAGACACTACTGCAAATTTCAAAGCTTAGAATTTGCAGTATGTGTTTCCCCAAGCAATCAAGGCCACTAATACTGGTGAAGAACTCATTCTACAGTCAAAAGTCGTTAATCCGGACTCGTCGGGACTTCGGCGATTCCGGATTATCGATTTTTCCGGATTATAGATCATCAGTTTAAATCTGGTAAGATGGCATGCAGAAATTATAAAATTAAAAATATGAAACCATAATTTATGAAATAAAGAACAATAATGATCTAAAGGGCATCAAAATTTGCAAAAAAAAAAAAAAAAAAAGCTTAATATTTATTTGTTTACTTTACTTTCTTCGCTATCGGAAGCGAATTATAATGACGAGGAATTTGATTTAAATAATATCAAAGATGGAGTACATCGAGATGAAATACTACATTTAGTAAGGAATTATAAGCCAAATAAGATAAAAACATCTGCCCTGAAGATAAGGATAGTGCTGACAGATCAACTTCCAATTCTTGTGCCCCGCGCGTCCCCCCGCCGCAGAGCAGCGTGAAATTGATAAACAGATTTCGGAATGGTTAGATAAACAAAGGATATGCCTTTATCCATTTTTTGCAGCAATTCCACTTTTTGTTTAATGGACTTAGAAACATACTTTCGTTTTGTAGATCCTTTACATATTCGTAAATATATATCGGAAATTCTATTTGACATAATCGAAAGTTCAAGCTTACTTTTATAAAATTGGGCTAACAGTCTGCAAAAAATAATAAGCCAGATCCAATTAGAAGATTAAGGAACAATGCAATCTGCAACATTAGCTGAATTAGATAATTTTAGCTTAGCTTATACCGTCCGCTATACATTAAACGTGCATGCGTAAACATATTTTGGGCATGCGCACACGCATATTCGCAGCCGTAAAGGTCTTACGCGCATGTGTCAATGCGACGCATGCACAGAAAGTTTGTAGCTTTGAGGTCCGGATTATAAATCATTCCGGATTATGGGTGTCCGAATTAACGACTTTTGACTGTACTTGATTTTTGAAAAAATTGTAATATCCTTTACCATTATCAAAAGCAGTGCAGGGACATGAAATAAAATCAAGTGGACAACAATGAATGCTGTATGAAAGAAACTGCCCCCAAACAGCACAAAACCAGTGATGACTCATACTGTTATTGAACTGACCCAAGAATAACAGCAAGTGATGGTGATGTGTGTACAACTGGCAGAGCAGTAAGAGCTGGAAGGGATAACATTGATGTTAACAAGCTGCTTTTGAGTCACAATGAAGAACATACTAATTATGACTTATTTAGTTTGAGTCAATCTAAAGTTTTTAAGAGAATGCTATACACTGATTGAATTATCAGCTCCAGAGATTAAGAAATTTAAAATAAAGAGACCAGCTGAGGTTTTTACCCAAATAGATATGATGCTAGCAAAATTAGAATTGATGAATTTGAGCACCAAGCAGTTTGAGAATCTTTGCAATCTCATACGTCTAGTTGCGTGGTTATCTGTGATGACAGAAAGCATATGATTACAGAATTTACTGTAGATATGTTGAGATGCTGCTCACAAAGACAACTCAAATGACCCTGAATACCCTCAGTCATTAATATTGAGAGGAACAGATATTACCAGATAACAACATTTTTTCCTACAATCATCCACTTCTTGTGTTGATTCTCCCACTGCAGAGCCAAATTAGCTGCTGTAAGATACATTTTGTTTGAAAATTGCTATTTAAGTTTGTTTTTATATTCTTTTATATATTTTTTTCTGAGTAAATAACTGCTGCAGAATATTTCATTTACAAAATAATATTGTTTAATATATACTCATAATAAATATTGCAGTTTTTATGAAATTACGTTTAAATGATTTACAAATTTGACTTGTATTAAATTCAAGTTTTGTGAAAGTACATAGAATGTATTTGTTACTTAATTCAAAGTTACTGTAATTAACAAAATGAAATGTCAATTTCAATAGAAATGTTTATTAAATTGTGGAAAGCTTGTGAGGCATTTGTATCTAATGATTTTCATGAAACTGATTTCATTTTCCATTTTTCCTCAGCTTTGAACTTTAAAATCTTGCACAAAACTATTGTTTTGGATTTTGAATTCATTTAGCTATTTTTAGTAGAATTTGTAATCAGAATTGTTTTATATTTCCATGAGATGCAGTACAAGATTTATTTGAAGAGAAAGCTACGCCGGAAAAATTAAAATACGGGAGCATACGCATTTAACATTTTAATAAACGAATATTTCGTAATTGTACTCTTTTGCTATCCACAAAAATCAAGAAAATACCAGAATATTCTTGTGTGGGATTAAACAGCATATACAAGCTGGAGGAAAACATCTCAATTCAGTTGTTTAGCAGTTGCTTGCTTAGTTTTTGTGGCTTATTGTAGAAAATTCGCAGTGAGATCGGATTAGCTTTCTCTGTTTTGAATTGAATTCTGTTAAACGTTTTAGTAGTTTAATATAACTGCTGTGAGATATTATATAAATATCTCAGAGGAAATTTCAGCATTTTGTTTTATTTTTTGTGATAAGAATAAATTTTATTCGCTTTTCATTGAACTTATGTATTCAATTTATTATGAACCTGTATGCATGCAACAGCATGTGTAAAGTTAAAATAAGTTCCTTAAAATTTTATCTTTTTTAACACACATGCATGTACACACTTTATGAAACATACAATCAAGCAGGATATATATATATATATATATAGTTTAAAATTACTACATAAATCATGCAGTCAGTTTGAATGATTGGATCAAAACTAAAAATCCTTTTGTAAGGTACATTTCCTCTTCCTCTTGCTGCTGCTTCTCCTCCTGCTGTTGCTTCTCCCTCTCCTCTTGCTCCTCCCTCTTCTGCTCCTCCTCCTCTTGCTCCTCCCTCTTCTGCTCCTCCTCCTCTTGCTCCTCCCTCTTCTGCTACTCCTCCTCCTGCCCCTCCTTTTCCTGCTACTGCTCCTCCTCCTGCTGCTCCTCCTGTTCCAACTTCTATTGCTACTGCTCCTCCTGCTGCTCCTTCTCTTGCTGTTTCTGCTGCTCCTGCTTCTGTTGATGCTCCACCTCCTCCTGCTGTTGCTCCTTCTCCACCTGCAGCTGCTGCCATCGTAGTTTTGAAAAAATTGTCCAATAAGTGGCTGTGAAAAAATTATGGATATAAATGGAAATTTGTTTGTACGGAGAAAAAACAAAGGCGGTAGGGCTCTTATGCAGTGCTGGATGTTTGGCATATTATACCAAGAACTAGTGAATTCTTTCTCACTAACAGCATGCATAAAGAGACAACCACAATCAGGCTCAAATCATTGACGCTGTACGAGAGGGATTGATGCTTTATTCAGCTTGTTGGCAAGCATAAGCAGATAAAACATAAGCAGATTAGAGATATAATATACAGAGGCATATAAAGCAGATTAGAACATACATTTTATTTTGTTGATTCAACAACAGTTGCTCATTCATAAAATATTGGCAGAGTGAAGTGCTGCACTAAGTAGTGAAATAAGCATCAATAAGGCATGATTTGTCATCACCATGAGTCTTATCTTATTTTATAGATTTGATGAGGTGAAAATTTTTGGGTCCAGAAAATACTTCTGATACCATATTAAAAGCAACTGCAAAAGCTTTGCAAACCACAAAAGTGTATATGAGAAGCAAACAGGAACTTGATGATAATCTGGGCATAAACTCGAAGACGTAGGCTGTAATAATAATAATATAATAAAAAAAAAAAAGACGTGGGCTGTAATAATATCGATGTGCTTTACATAGATATGTAATTGTGTGATTTGAACTTTTTTAATGCAGTGACAATTTTTAAGTTGTTAAATTCTTTAACATTGACTGCATAAGTTTAATCATTATTGAAATAGTATTTCCTTACTTAATATTCTCTTTTTATTTCTTCTATTTTAAGGTAAATATTTAAAAATATTTGAAATCTATCTTGATTAATAAAGCTTTTAAAATCAATTCTTTTAAATTTTTACTTTGCCCTTTTAGTAATTTAATAATGATTTTTGATGATTTAAAAATTTTATGAGAGGTGGGAAATTCATTTAAACTGATTTAGTTTTATAATTTCATTTAAAAATTGTAAACATTCAAAACTGAATTTATGAAATTAAAAAAAAATTGCATTTTTTAAGATGATGTTATTAAACTTTATTGCAAAATATGTTTTTATCATCTATATCTTTAATTAGGCTTCGAAGGTTTCCCTTAAATTAATGAACTTTTTGGACTTGGCTCGAAATTTAAAAGCAAAAGAGCAAGAAATTCCAGCAATTTTGAAAAAGCGGATAAAACTAGTTGAAGATATTCGCTGGTGGCTTGAAGGTTGTTCTGATGATATAATGCCATCTGTTGATGAAGATGAGGTAGCGTATAATAATATTAATATATAATCTATATCATTTATTAGAATTTTCTGTAAATTATTTTATATTTTGAGATATTTTTCTTGGAATAACAACTCTTGTACATCTTATCTTTATTTTATTATCTATCTATCTACATTTAAATATCTCATAACATTTTACTACTTTTTTTTAATCTAACCAAAAGTTCATTTAGCATTATTGTGTTTGCCAGTTTTTAACCCTTTTGTGACAAGTGCCTCAGTCACTAAACTGCTGTCTTGGAACGGCATGCTAACGGGATGTACTGTTTTGTTGGGAGTGACAATTTGTGCTTCTAAGCCTAACTTTGGGAAACAATTCACATAAATTAAATTTATGGTTGAATTGTTCCAATTTTTGGTACATTATTAGAGGAACACTTAGATATAGTTCGACCGTCTATAGCGCAACCCTGGTTGGCATTCTGCCAAAACACAGACTCTTCCAAAAGGGGCGGTATTACTTGCTGCAACGTGAAAGGTCTTCTCTTCCCTGGAAAGAGCTATGCTGGAGGGAAAGAAAGTCCCCATCTTTCCACTCTGTTTTGAGAATAATTCGGTCTGAATGGCGCATGCGTGTTTGCGCTCATGGTCGTGGATGAGGCGATTGAACTATAGTTGCTGGAATTAATTTGAGAGTTTTATCATTATATTTTCTTTGCAATTTAAAGTATAAAAAAAATGTTTTGTTAAATGTTACACAAAATATTCACCTCAACGTTAGCCAAACTGTAACAGGAAGGAGTGAAACCTCTAAAATAATAGGAAAAATGTCCCCATATTCTCAAAAATAAAAATTAATGTATTCAGAAGCGTTGAGAAAATCCCCATGGGACCACAGTTAACTCCCATCTGGTGACCACAGTTAACAACAAGCACTATTTATTTGCATTACTCAGTCCAAGATTTTCACTTTGATTCCAAAACAAAATACCAAAAATAAAAAATACTGCGATGGAATGAAATTCAACTTTCTTTAGTCTCGATAAATTCCCCCCCCCTAAATGATATAGAGCTACATCTAATGGCAAAAAAAAAAAAAAAAAAAAAAAAAAGGTACTAATTAAACATTCTATCTAAATATTTATATGTGGTACATCTGTCTTGAGAGTTCGTTTAAACAGCAATTCATATATGACACATCTGGCTCTGTGATACAGTAAGAGCCAATGCATATATGACACAGCTGTCCCAAAGGGGTTAAGGTATCCAATTATGTTTGGCATCTAAATTTTGGAAAATAGTACAAATAAATCTATTATAGGTGTTATGTCACAGAATACTTCTTAAAATAACAGAAAGATGTGGCAAACATACCAAAGCATAATTTTGGATTTTCTCTTACATTTTGGGTTAAAAATATGTTAAATTTTGGGATTGCTAGAAATGTTCCAGCAAAAATACTTATCATTATTTTACTTCCTAATACTGTATATAATTTATATTTGTCTCTTTGTATAATTACTGTATATAATGTTCCTAATACTGTATATAATTTATATTTGTCTCTTATGTCTATTAAAGTATAAGGAATTAAATGGACTAAAATCTAAGAGAGAAGGAAAAACCGCTATTAATCCTCTGATTGCTCAATTTGTGGACCAAAATCACTTTTTTTTTTTTTTTTTTTTTAATAAATCTATATATATTAAAGAATTGAAAAATGCATTTTTTCTTTCTAGAAAATATTTTTTTATATGGATTTTTATTGTGAGAAAACTAAGTTGCCAGAAAAACCAATTTCGATATGTTAATCGCCAAAAAAAAAATCTTTTTTTAAATAAATTTCAGTCGAATTACAGTCCATTTCTATTTGTTGCATAATATAAAAAGTAAAATGTATAAAATTTAAGGAAATATAAAGCACTGAGGGAAAAATACCTTAGAAATGCAGTTTGGTATGATAGAGTTTAAAACAGGCTTTAAGGCAAAGTCCAACTTCACAGTCTTTGCACCAGATTCAATAAATCTAATTAATAATCAGTCTAATTATTAATCTAATCAATAAATCTAATTAATAATTCAATAATTTAATAAAATGATCAAGATAATCACTGAACATTTTCTAGCAGCCATTTCTGTAAGAAAAAAGCGGCACTACTAACGATATCTGTTGGCCAAAATGTAAACTAAACACCTAATACTGTATATAATTTATTTCAATGGTTAAACAGGGAACAAACGGGATGCGCTTCTCAATAAAGGAAGAAAAACATATGCCTGTTTGAGTACATGCGCTATTTTTTGAGAAATTTCTCTTTTCATTTACAAAATTGTCTTAAAAAATTTATATATGTACATAAACTTTTAGTTCACTTCATTCACAATATTTCATTGAGTATTTGTGGAATGTTTTATAAAATTACTGTAGTAATATTTTTGGTTAAAGTTTTTTTGTAACTGAAAAGTTGAAAAAAATCAAGTTTTTATATTTAATGTAATACACTAACATCTAATGATTTTAACAGAAAAAAGAAATTGTTGCCAAGTATAAAAATTAAATTGCAAAGCTAATCCCGTTCCTGAGCACTAAATAACAAATAGAAAGGTTCAGAATCATCTTTTGAACATCACCAAAAGTATTTAGGTCTTACAAAAATAAATGACACAAATGCTGCCACAGAGCAGAATACAGTATATTAACAAAAGACTGAACTGTACATCAGTTAGAAATAATCCCTGCCCATGTCAATACGCTCTGTCATCTGGCTCGGAGGTCCTGAAGGGCTTTGGTAAACCGTGGGGGTGTTGGTGCACCACCTATGGACAACTGCATGCAATTCAGCAGAAGATTCAATATGTTGGCCCCTGACTGCGTCCTTCATCTTGTTAGGGAAGGCGTAGTTCGAGGTCCACCCATTTTGCACACATATTTGTCATCTCCAAATCACCATGCATAATCGCCTGCAATGTTCCTTGCACAAGCCCTGTCTCTTCCCGCGCCTTGTTGAATGTTATGTGCCTGTTCACCATGATCAAATCCGATGCAGCTGCCACATTTGCTGCTGTATGCGATGTTGCTGGTCGTCCTGATATTGCTAGCTGCTGACATCTTTGGCTGCAGTCTCCACTCCACTGCTGAACTTGGCCAACCAATGGGATATGGTACGCCTTGAGGGTGCTTTGTTCCCACACACCAACACCATATGACAATGGATCTCACTACCCTGTATCCCTTCCTTTCACAGGAACCACGCTGTCCAACGCTGACCGTGATACCTTCCATCATTGCTGTCCATGCTCTCAATGACGACGGTGAAAGGGACGTGTGCTGACTTAGTATACCGTTATCTTGTGGGCCAGCTCCATCTATGCATTCTAAATAGCTTATGCCCCCCTGTGTCTATTTCACTTATTTTGCTTTGACATAGTGTAATAGTTTGGTTGAGAGTCATTTCTGTACGACCCATATATTCAAAATAAAAAAATTCTTAGTTTAAAGTTATTTAGCGTAGTCTGTGTACCTTTAGACGTCAGCTTCCATGTTTTTAAACAGAAGCATCCATTTCATGGCATAGAGCAAGAACAGCTATAATTCTACTTCTATTGACTACTTCTATTGGAGGAACAAAAAAGGAAAAAAAAGTAGTTTTGCGAAGCTTTAACGTATAAGCTTTAAAATAAGGTAATAAAAACAAAAAAAACCTTTTGGAAAATTTCATCAAAATTGGTGATTGGAATGTAGTTGGATACCTAATGCATTTTTTTAAGAACAATTTTGAGAAACTACTAAATTCTTGAAATTTTCAGTCTTAGTAAGTTTATATTTCTCAGTCATTATTAAAAAAATTAATTCTGTTAAAATTATATGCTGTTCCTTAACATGACTTAAATATATTAGGTATATTTGATACATATTTGTATTTAGTGCTTGTATTTTACAACTCAAGATATGTTTCAGCTGATAGCCTGTGTCTGACTGCCACTCTTTTGCAGCCCTGATATGAAGAATGATTATGATGATCATGAATTCTAATGATTTGCTTTATATTTATTAGATACATAACTGGTATTGTAATAAATTAGAAGTTTCTGAGCAAATGAATTTATTTAAAAAAAATAAGCACTATTTTTTGATGAAGCCTTGTATACTCCTATACTAGTCAGCCCCCCCCTTTGTTTTAACTTGCAGATTTTACTTTAAATTTGAATGCTAGATTTCAGAACTCATTGTTGTTTTAAAACAAATAATCTTGCTTAAGTAAAATAGAGAGGATGAGTATGATATTAAAAAAAAAGGTTTTAAAAACTTTTATGATATAAATTTAACAATTATATATTTGAAATTCTAATAAGAATTAAGATCCTTCCATATTTTTTGTGTCGGTTTAAAAAGTTGATTATGCATTTATATATCAGGAACTTGAGCTGAATGTTCAATATCAAGATCTTTATCATACTGCTTATCAACTGAAATTGGAGGAAATTCAGAAGATTGAAGAAGCAAAAAAACAAGAAGAAATCAGGAAGAAACGACACCATAGAAGAAAGAAAAAAGTGATATATTTATTATCAATTTATTAAATTCAGTTTTATTTATCATTGTCTAGTAATGATGTTCTGTTATTCTCAAACTGTTTATTAAAAATTTTCATATAAAATTTTTCATAAAAAAAAGAAAACTTTAAAAACAAAGTTCCCTTCTTTTTTTTTCTTTTCCACCCTCTTTTCTCTAAAATAATGGGTGACTTATGGTAATTAAAATAAATTTAATTTATTTCAAAGATTGAACTAAAAATGCTGTAATTAGAAGCTTAATTAGAATCAATACCACATGTTTTACAAAGTCATTAGGTTATTTTGAAGCAGGAAGGCTTGCAAAATGTATAGTGCCCTCGCTGGGACTTGAACCTGGATCTTTCGAATATGTGCCAGGTGTGTTACTATTATACCATGAAGGTATGCTGCAAAGAGGGAGAAAATACCTTGTATACTCCCCCTTTTAAAGATGCCCCTTTTTTAATAGAGGAGACAATTGCCAAATTCTGGTGGTGACGAATTATCACCTACCACCTTTTACTTTGGGCAGTCATTAAGGTTTCTGAAGCAAGAGACATGAAAATTGTGCAATGCCCTCACCAGGACTCGCACCTGGACTTCTCGAATGTGCGCTGAGTATCCTACCGATGCACCACAAAGGCATGCTGGAAGGAGGGGTAAATTACCATATTTCATTCCTCTTACATTACTCCCTCAGTCATGATATGTTTGTGCTTAGATAGAGCTCTTTTCAAGAGTCCAGAGGCACAATAGTTCTTAGGTGAAAATCAGGAAACTTCACTGAATACATTGCAAAGATATATAAGTAATATCTGCATCAGTCTTCATTTTTTCAAGGAGTGGTATTCTTTGAAGTATGACTGTTGCTTTCTCTCTTTTAAAGTCAGTAGGATAAAAAAATGAAATTTCTTCTGTAAATATCAGATGTAAACCTTTCTCTTAATAGTAAATTGAGTTAATTTTAACATTATTTTCCTCTCTTCTTGTTTTTAATTTCCCATTGTAAAGATAATTCTGCAACAGTCATTTACCCCTTACTGATACTTTCTTTGCTTCTAGGTTTGTATGTTTTTTCTCCTTGTTTTTGATACTAAATAGACCTTTCTTTTTTGCTGCCGTCATTTACATAAACCCATGCTTTGTCTAGGGTCACACTGCATTTCTATTTATCTCCTAAATACACTCGTGTGCAGTGAGTTTGCAAAGGGAATTTTCAAATTATGTCTATTTTTATGAAAAGTATTGAACCAAAAGTATTAATTATGTTGCTGAAGAGTTATTCAAATATTCAGAGTCAAATATGGAAGTAAACACACACATTCCTACAGAGTTGTGATTGTGGAGAGGATCTAAACATACAAGGGGTTTCTAGGATTTGTGTGCTTGTACTCCTTCATGACATTGGCTGTGCTTCCTGCAAGAGTTGAGTAAATTTTATAAAATATTTGATAAAATGAGTAGCCACAAATGTACGGATGGTGAAATGAGGTGGAGACTTGTAAGTAGACTGGTGGCAGGCCAATCATAGGTGCAGGTGGCTACAGAGCTCAGAGTAACATCCAGTGTCTGACAGAACTGCTACAGCTTCACAGCTACATGAGATGTATGCTGCTACTGGAGCCCATGTTTGACAATGTAAAGTAACCAAAGGCTTTATAAGATAGGGCTGTATGCCAGAATAACCGCTGCTTGCGTCCCGCTCACTGTAGCATACAACAGAACATGTTTAGCATGCTCTTTAGACCAGATTTCAGCGGAGCACCATGCTTTTTACTAACGAGTTGAAATTAAGCCTGGATACTGATTCTCGGTATGCCTTTACCTGAAGAGAGCCTAGAACATGATACCAACCCTCCCTCATGAGGAATGAAGGTTGAGGGTAATGATTTGGGCAGGCATCACGTTTGGACGGCCATACACCTCTGCATGGTATGGAAAGAGCATTATGTTGAACTTTTCAGAAGCTCAGTTGAACCTAGGTTCCTGTTAATGGATGACAATAGTCGTTCACTTAGGACTCAGCTGGTTGACAATTACTTGGAAAGTGAAATTATTCACTACCAGGCCAACCAGATCTCATTTTAACCCTATACAGCATGTCTTGAATGTTCTTGGGAGGGTAATTTCATCTTGCCATCCCCTTCTGAGTCTTGCTGCAGTCTTGCTTCTGAGTCATTCTGAAAACAGTCTTGTTGTAGGAGTGAGATCGGCTGCCACAGGGACTCTTGAACTACATGCTCTTCAGCATGCCATCATGCTGCATAACCTGTCTGGCTGTGAGAGGGGGCTATGCCCCATGTTAGATTCATTTTCAATTTGATACCATTTGCACTATGAGCTTTACTGATAATCATGCATACATAAAATGTCTTTTGAATGGTGCATCTCTTTCTCTATTATAAATCTATATTTATGCCAAATTTCATTGAAATCCATTCATTAGTTTTTCAGAAATTTGACATAATGTGCATATTCTCACAATTTTGCGCACGAGTGTAGTTTTCATACAAGATTCTACAAATTCTTGTGGTTTTTTATTTTATTTTTAGTTGCTACAGATGTATTTAAAAACTACAGCTGACTTCTATATCAGCAAATTTTCTCTTGTTACTAACATTTTAAATTTACTTAATGAATAACTTTACTTAACTGTACTTAATGAATAAGAAACATAATAAATTATTTCATTGAGCATGATGATGAATCCTTCTTGATTTATAACAAAAGTATGAATTTTACTAGAACTTAACAAAATTAAATTCCATGAAGACAGTTTAAATTACACAATGCCTTATTACCCCTTATATTTAAATATGCATTTCATTATATCTCATCAATATTATCAGAAAATTTTATTGATTATGAGGTACATTAGGCAACAAATACAAAATATTTTTTATATCAATGAGCATTTTTAAAATTATATTTGCTTCCAAACGTTAAATATTCCAATTGAATTACACTTTTGAAAACTGTTAATTTGCATTGCATGCTTAATATAGAAATTAAAGCCAATTTGTATAATTTTGCAAATTATTTAAATAAATTGTTGAAAAATAAAATTTTCAAAATTCATTCTAGCTTAAGAAATAATACTAAAAGAATTTAGAGAGATATCATTTTTGAACCTCAAAACATATTTTCATTAATATTTTATGATGATCAACTAGAGATTAGTATTTTCTCCATCCTTACTGCATGCCTTCATGGTGTAACAGTTGTACACTCAATGCGTATTTGAGAGACCCATGTTTGGATCTCGGCAAAGGCATTGCTCATTTTTCATGTACTCTTGCTTCAAAATAATTGATTAAATCTACCAGTGGTGCCCAAATTAAAGGGTAGTGGATGATGATTCTTCACCACCCTTAAGCATTTTGGGTCCCCTAAATCCTCAGTCACCCTTTAAAAGGGGGAGTATGTAAAGTATTTTCTCCCTCCTTTCTGCATGCCTTTGTGGTCTAATGGTAACACACTTGGTGCATATTCGAGGGGTCCAGTTTCGAGTTCCAGTGAGGGCATTACTCATTTTTCATATCTCCTGGTTCAAAATAACCTAATGACTCTATCATATAACAAAACATTAATCAATATATTTCCAGAATTTTGCAGATTTAATAAGATAATATTATCAAAATTTAATAAATTCAAGTACTAGAAATTCAATTCTTTATTTTCTTTATAATATAAAAGTCTTTCCTTTTCCTTACAAAATGTTTATTTTGTCAAAAATAAATATTTATTGCCTATAAAAGTATTAATTTAACACAAAATCATAATTTAAAAACAGTAAGTTCTTAGACTAGGTAATTAAAAAACTAAGTAACACAAATCTGAGTAATTTAAAATTAAACTAAAATCATCCAAAATTTAATTTTCAAATACTGATTGAATTAATAATAATTCAGTTATATTATTTTTTCTACATTTTAAAAAGTTAAGAAATAATATTTAAGTAACATTGCATTCATTATATTCAGCATTATTTTATCTCCAATATAAACTGTAGATAGATACTTAAACAAAATGACCATGCATAGGAAACTAACGCAAAAGAAGGCAGAAACAATGCACATGGCAAGGAAATTATAAATTACTTTGTATATAAAATGGCATACCTATGCGAGTTTTAATAAGCTATATAGAATGTGTTAATTATAGACAAGTAAAGGCTATTGCCTAAGAATTCTTTCTTTATTAAATTCAATGGCTTAAATCTTGTTCTATGTGGTGAAACAAATACTTCCATTGCTTTGATTAAATTAGTTGATAATTTTCTAAATGTCCGTACAGGAAATGGAAAAAATTTCTGTTCGATTATGGAATTTGAAACTGTCAAAGAGATAGTCACATATTATGCAGGGAGGGGGGAGGGAACTGATAAACTTCTGGGCTAAAGTTTTCATGCTGAAAGAAGGTAGAAAGTATCCAACATTGACAAAACTGAGTAAATCTACTTCACCTTGCTTCCATGAACTGTTAAAAGTACCCTTAATTATATGTGTGATATTATACCAGAATGTTGGAAATCCTTGAACTCTGATAGCCTAATTACTGTGAAGACAGTGAAATATAATTTATTCTCATTAAAAAGGTACACTGTGCAAAAAAAGGGGGGGCAGTTCTACTGGGCCGCTTGACGAAATTCAAATTGCGTTTTTCATGTCTCGAAAGCGCGACTTAGGATATATGTTAGATTTATATATAGTATTGTTTTAACATAAGTATTTTGACACAAAATTGGACTTTTCTGAAATAACATAGCAATTGTTTTCCATATTTTGATTCTACGACTCATTATGCCTAGATATCAAATTTTGTAAAATTTGGTGTGGAATTTACGGAGAAATTCAAAAATTTATCTTGGCACAATTTAATCCATTTGTGCCACGAATAATTCACTTGCCGAACTTCTTAATATATGGCCCTTTTACATTGTGCATGAGCCTTTAGCCTTTTTACATTGTCTCCTGCCTTGCCTGCATTGTGCATGAGCGGTAAAAAAGTCACATCGTTTCCTACTTTCAAATAATTTAAGCTAAGTGTCTAAACCACATTTGATGTTTTATCCCTTTCAACAAATATGCCAAATTTCAAAACGCGCCAATATATAAATTCACGTATATCTCCGGAAATTTTGAATAAAAAACTGTTATTTTATGCTGGTATGCTTAGCAATATGTCTACTTTAAGATGATGGTAAACATTTTATAGATTATAATTCAAAATGTTTTTGAAAAGTTTATAAAAATTGTTTAAAAATACAAATTTTAAAAGTAAATCTTAAAAAATGGGTGAATTTTATTTGGACTGAACCTGAATTTCGAAATGTGTGAAAGGAACAATCAAATAAGTTTAATGAAAAAACAGAGATTAATAAATATGTACCAAACTCAATTAACATTGTGGAGCTAAAATTTTGAGAGCTAATTTTTTTAAAAACTACCCTTGCGATTTTTACAAAACTTGGCAGTTTGACATAATTTGAGTCGTAGAATTGAAATATGAAAAAAAAAAAAAAAAAAAAAAAAAAAAAAAAAGATATGCTATTTCAGAAAAAGTCCAATTTTGTGTCAGAATACCTATATTAGAACAATGCTATATTTAATCTAATATATATCCTAAGTCACGCTTTCGAGACACGACAAATTTCGAGACAAAAAAATTCGTCAATCGGCCCAGTAGAACGGGAGATATAGAACTATCCTTTTCTTTCTTTCTTTCTTTCTTTTTCTTTCTTTTTTTTTTTTTTTTTTTTTTTTTATGCGGTGTACATGTGAAGTTATTGGATCAGATACTCCGTCCCAGGTAAGTAATTCAGTTCTATTGGTAAGGATTTTGTGGATAATTTATTGAATAGCTGAATAAGTTACGAAAATTCTCTACATTTCATGAACCATTCCCTTCTTACTTATAGTCTAGTTCAAAATAGTTTGCTGGTTATGTTGAATTTTTAATTGTCAGCAATATATATGTATGTATGTATAGGTGTGTGTGTATATATATATCTAAAATGTTGAGAAACCAAAAAAGTAAATAACATTGTAAAATGATCTAGTCAAATATAAATTAACATTTAATAAATTAAAAAAAAATAATTTTTGGTTTCCTGATGAAATATATGCATGTGTTTACATCACATTAATATTCTGCATTATTAGAAACTGTCAGATTTTTATTTCACAATTTTCAATTTCTTTTGAAATGGGATTGCAATCACCCCTGTATTATCATGCGCTATGTTTATATATTTGTCATGTGCTCTGGTTTTTTTACTTATTAATAAAAAATTAAAATAAGTTATTTTTACTTAACATATTTTTGTAGGATACAAGTGGTGAGATGAGTGCTAAGAAATTGCCAGAAGAAACTTCAGATTCAAAACAAAAGAAAGTATGTAGATTTTAAGCACTGTTCAGATTTGAAGCAGTGGAATACATAGTTTAACAAAAGGGGATTTCTGAGAAATATGTGCAATAGAATTGTAAAATTCTAAGAAATATGTGCAATAGAATTGTTTCTAAGAAATATGTGCAATAGAATTGTAAATTGTAAAATCACTGGGAGTTCTTTTTTCCAGATGTTAAATCATCAGTAAGATGTCATGTAGAAATGGCAACATTAGAGCTTATTGTTCAAGTCTAACCTTCTCAAAAGGCCAGTGCTAGAATTTAAGCATTGCAAAAGAAGCATGGAGCTACAAAACTTAGAAATGGCAGAGTTTTTAGAATTTAAGGAGGTACTGGGTAGCAGAAATTAGAACTTGCAGTTGAATAGGAAGGCAAAATGCGTAACGACAGCCCTATCTCTCCCCACAATCATTTAAGAGCTGAAAATACGATTCTGGTCAACATCAATACAGTGTCAATCAATATATTGTTATTGGCTATGATAGGACTCCCTAGAGTCCACATCACAGAATCACAGTTTACGTATTTAAATGTATAAGGACCGCTTTCGGTCGTTTTCTGTTGTCTCTATCCTGGTAATTATAGTCCAGCTGTGGGATAGAGCTGTTATTCACTTTATGAATATTCCTGAAAAATTTCTTGCAATTTTTGCAAAGCAGACGTTGATTTTTTTCTACATTGAGTTCACGATGAATTGCGTCGTTCCTAATGAACCAGGGGCAATTTGCCACCTGTCTCAAAGTCATATTTTGCACTTGTTGAATTTTTTTTCATAGTTGTGTCACAAAGGAAACCCCAGACCGGACAGGCATAAGTGATGATGGGACGCAAAATGAATTGAAATACAAGAACTTTATTTTGAATAGACAATCTCGAGTTTCGGGCAATTAGGGAGTTCAGTAAAGTTTTTTCTGGAAGTGAATTTTCTTCTTCTTCTTCTTCTTCTTCTTTTTTTTTTTCTGTAAACTATAATTAACACAGACAACTTTTTGAATTATTATGTGTATAATAAAGTAAGTATTATGCTCGGATACATATAATTCCAATCAGCAAAAGTGCCCAAAAAAATCCACATTAAAATCACAGGAAAAAGTACGTATAAAACATGATCAAGTTGATACAAAATTAGTGTTACGTTCTGTGAGATAATGGATCTAGAGAAATTGATGACAACACTTGATGTAGAATCAAAACACAATTTATTCATCAGTATTACACAGGACAGTTACAAAGATGTATTACGACCATCGAAAACCTACGACAAACATGCTGAAACAATCGGCAGCACAGCCTTCAGGTTACAAGTAAAGACAGCAACACTGCAAAGCACTAGCTCCTGGCTCCTGGCAGCATAGCTCCTGGCTGGATCAATAGCTCTCGAGCTGATCTCTGAACTCAAGATACTCTTTAGATACTCTCTCTCTCTCCGTACAGACAGGGTATATTAAGCTTTTGACTTGCCTTTGAGAACATTCTCAGGAAAACTGGTAAGACTTCATTCTGGAATATTCTTGCTCTGACTGTGACACATCACCAATTTCGTTGACAAATGGCGATTTTGCACCAAATATGGCAGCCCTGCCTTTCCTTGCCACTTTCAGGCAACTCTAACCCTGCTTTGCAGGGAATCTATTTTACTACAGCTGGGCATTTCGGTATCAGGGTACTGCAGCTGGGCATACAGTATCAGGGTTATTTTGTCATCTTAGGATTATTTATCAATATGGGAGCAATTTTTTCTGGAAATGAGTTTTTTTCTTTTTCTTTTAACTGTAAATTATAATTAACCTAAACAATGTTTTCAAAATATTGTGTGTACAATAAAGTAAGTATTTATGCTCAAATACATATAATTCTGGACAACAAAAGTGCTCCAAAATATCCACATTCAAATCACAGGAAAAAGTAAAACATGCTAGAGTTGATACAAATTTGTCTTTTCATAAAATATTACTAGCCATTTTCAATATAAATCCTTAAATAAATTATTCTTATATCCTCAAGAGTCTTTTGGCTTTTTTTATTTAGAACCAAGTTAGTGTATGCATTTTTTAAATATAATTTAGGATATTAATTAGAAAATCTAATGACCATTACAGTCACTGAAATAGTCTTGTCAACTATTTCGATGGTTTCCGAATAATATATATTGACTGGAACAGTTTTATTGGAGAATTATAGTCTAGTCTGACAGCTAAGTAAATAGACAGCTCTAAAAATTGTGGACATAAATAAAAATCCGTTCAAAAGAAAATGTACACACTATTAGAAATCTGGCAGGTTATACCGAGAAGCTGGTGAATTCTTTTTTGTTCAGGCTCCAGACAGAGAGGTAATCACACATGCAGCAAAAATCTTCAAACTTGTGCAAGAGGGATCAATAATATCTGCACTGTTGGCAAGCATGTAAAATAGAGGAACTGAAAGAAGCAAGCTAGAGACATATTACTGTGAATGATGAATTTCATTTTGTTGATATAACAAGCTCATTTTCTGCTCATGCACAAAATGTTGACTATGTCCCTTTGCTCAGCAGTAAAATAAAGCTCATGATATGTGGCTTGCTGTCATCGTGAATTCATGGAGTTCATGATGATAGTGGATGAGATGCTGTAATGAAAGCAGTTGCGAAAACATAGCAGCAGCAAAGTGCATGTTAGAAGTAAATATGAACTTGGCTACAATCCTGGTACCAACTTGGTGTTAAAAAAGAGGAGAATGGGTCCATAATAATAAGAAAGTACCATGCCTATTTTCTTTTTGTATTTCTATGAACTAATTTTCTGAAGATCAAGAAACTGGAAAATACACTACATCAGTTACAGTAGGCAGAAAAACACCTGACTGAAATACAGTAGAAGTCCAGAAATCTGCAAAGCTTCGGACCAGAGGTTGTGCGTATTTTAGGATTTTGCGGATTTCAGGGCAGAAAAGATAAATCATAATATTCAGACTAAAAATGCAAAATAAATACGGCATATTAGATGCATTTAATTAAATTATTATATATATTATTACAATAATTTATTATATGCATTAAATTATTATTACATAAATAAATTGATTATACAGTCAAAAGTCGTTAATTCGGACACCCATAATCCGGAATGATCTATAATCCGGACCTCAAAGCTAAAAACTTTCTGCGCATGCGGCGCGTTGACACATGCGCATAGACATTTTACGACTGCGCATATGCGTGTGCGCAAGCGCAGAATACGTTTTCGCATTACGCGTTCTATGTATAACGGATGGTATAAGCTAAAATTATCTAATTATCTATTTCAGTTAATGTTGATGATTGCGTTGTTCCTCAATATTCGAATTGGATCCGGCTTATTTTTTTTTGCAGACTGTAAGAGCAATTTTATAAAAGTAAACTTGAACTTTCGATTATGTCAAATTGAATTTCCAATTCTGGAGCTCCCAAAGGATCGTACAAAACGAAAGTATGTTTCGATGTCCATCAAACAAAAAGTGGAATTGCTGCAAAAAATGGATAAAGAGAGACATGAAGAATGTGACAGAGAGGTTAGTGAAAACGAAAAAATTTCGATTGACAAGTTAGTGGGTATTCTCGGCACAGCAGTTAACGGGACTTGAACAGCGAAACTTTGTAACTGAACAAGAAATTATGTCTGTTTATAGAATTAAAGAGAAAGTATTATCACATAAAACTAAGCAACTTAAACAACTTACATTGAAAGAAATGTTTAATAAAGTAAACAAATAAATATTAAGCTTTTTTTTTTTGTAAATTTTGATACCCTTTAGATTATAATTGTTCTTTATTTCATAAATTACGGTTTCATATTTTTAATTTTATAATTTCTGCATGCCATCTTACGAGATTTAAACTGATGATCTATAATCCGGAAAAATCGATAATCCAGAATCGCCGAAGTCCCGACGAGTCCGGATTAACGACTTTTGACTGTATTATTCATTTACATTAGGCTCCTCTATTTTTAAATCAGTATGGTTCCTCTTTTTTAAATCAGCATGATTCTGCTTCCCCTTTTCTCTCGGAGTGGTCCTGAAATTGGTACCCCATTACTCCGCCGCTGCCGGAATCACTTGTACAAGACAGCTACAAGGTTTGCCAATTTCGTCTCATGTAAAGATTTCTGGTTTCGGATTCAGTGTTAGAATCACTGTTGCTGTAAAATTTCAACAGCTTTTCTTTATTTTTCCCGTATATCATACACAGTCCGTGTCACAATTCCATACGATTCTGCTATAAACCGAGGAGTAGCACCTGCCTCTATCTTTTGCAGAATCTACACTTTTTGCATTACCGTCAATGCAACATGTTTACGTTTTTCAACGTTTCAAGCAGTAAAACCATGAGTGCGTTTCTTATTTGTCAATGTATTAAAAAGCGCTGAAATTTAAAACATTCATAATATATCCACAAAATATCCAAATAACAAAGCTCAGAAAATACAAGAACGTGAATCATGAACTTGAAAGAAGAGTTGAGTGAATCATCTGCTTTTTTACCTCGATGCGGAATGGAGAGGAAAAAACTTTTATCATGATGTCAATAATTTGATATATCCGTTATGAGTCACTATTATTCAGTAATTATGACGTCATTATTCAGTAAATATTTTTTCTTCGATATTTCGTACTCCATGTTGCGTTTTCCGGAACCTATAAACTATATATAAATTTATATTTTGAGAGGCGACGCGGATTACAGGAGTTGGCGGATTTCAGGTAGGCAAATTTTTGGGATTTGACTGTATAAGCATTCTGTGTAAAAACTCATACGTGTAGAATTCATGTATGAAGCAAGTCATGGTACTTTCTAAATTGAATCTTTTTCGCCATAAATGCATAAGGGTATATTTTGTCTTCTACCATTTTTACGTGACTCTTATTTGCAAATAGTAATGGCTTTAATTTTAATCTTAATTTCCAGAACTAAAGAGTATTTATTCACTTTATATATTTTTTCCTCTTATCTTTGTTTCCATCAGTTTTTCTCAGTAAATAATGTTATATTTCCATTATATTTAGGGCAGCTGATTTTGAGATTGAACCTAGTATACAGCTTGTTTAACATAGTGTAATTAAATTTCATACATACGTAATATGATGTAGAGAGACTAAATCAAATTTCTCTTTGAAATGCATTAAAGCTTTCGTAGTCAAATTAAATTTGAATTTTTTGTACTCTGTTAAGTTGAAATTTGTGTATGTATTTTCCATATATTCCATTATAGTTTAATTATTTCAAGCACTTTTCTGGCACATTTGTATATTATTTGTTTGATAAGCTTACAAAATTAAAATAATGTTCTGGTGTGATTATTCTAAGCAATTGAATAAATCGTTTACGGTAAATGCATTTGATGCAAGGATTAGAGAAATTGTGATTTCATTTCAGTTTACATTCGAAGTAAATGCCCTTTTTTTTATATTTATTCTGTTTTGAAATGTACTGTAATTTACCATTAAATTTACCGTGATACAGTAGACTCCCAATTATCCGCATCTGCCACACAAAGTTTCTTTTCTCTCTCTCTCTCTCTCTTTTTTTTTTTTTTTTTTTTTTTACAAGCGTAAAGCAAAGAAAATAAAAATGTTCACAAAACTGAGCGAAACGATCAATTTGCTAACATCGTGCTTATTTATGGTAAAAATATCCCAGGCCTTCTTGGAACCTTCCCCTCTGATGAGTAAGTGATTTATTACTCACTCTTGCAGTCTCTGCTCCACCGCCCTCTCTTGTCTTAATCTTACTGACACGTCCACTTCCTCCCACTCGCCATTGTTAGTTTAAGCCTGTTAGTGTTTGCGAACCGGTCGGAGTTAGTTTCTTATCTTGTGTTCAGTGCTTGTGCTTTTTGGTTTTATATTTTTCGTTACCGATTTAAAATGTCAGGAAAACGAAAGAAGGTCGTGCTGACGATTGCGCAAAAACTAGAATTAATTTCCAAAGTAGCAAATGGCGCTACAAGGCAGCAGATGGGATTGGATTACGGAATATCGGAAACAACAGTGCGTGACATTCTAAAGCAAAAAGACAAACTGGTGAACTTTGCATCAATGTCAGACAGTGCTTCCGCAATGAAAACGCAAAAAACTATGAAGGATTCTACCTTTGATGAGCTAGACACGGCATTGACAGAGTGATTAGCTCAAGTTTGAAAAGAGGGTACTCCTGTAAATGGTCCTATCATTGCGGCGAAGGCAAAAACCTTTTTTGAATTGTTAGGCCTGAAAGGAAATTTTGATGCGTCTTCGGGCTGGTCAACTTGTTTTAAGCAGCGACATGGAATTCGAGAAATTGGACTTCATGGGGAGAAACTTAGTGGTGACGATTTCCACCATGAATTTGAAGAATTTGGTTTAAAAGAAGAGCTATCTTTTGAACAAATTTCAATGCCGACGAATCGGGACTTTTGTGGAAATGTCTTCCCACTTTAGCATTTGAAAGTGAAAGTAAAGTGGCGTCATAAAAGCAGCAAGGAAAGGATCACTATCATGTCTTGCAGTAATGCTACTGGTGGACATAAACTTAGACTTGTTGTCATTGGAAAGTAAAAAAAAAAAAAAAAAAGGATGGATGAACCGAAGCATTTTTCAAGAATGGTTCGAAAACATCTTTGTTCTTCAAGTGCGTAAACATCTTAAATCGAAAAAGCTGTGCTATTGATCGATAATGCATCTTCTCACCCAGCAAAAAGCGTGCTAAAGTCTTCTGATGGACAAATTTTTGCAAAGTTTCTCCCCCCAAACGTTACTGCGCTAATCCAAACGTTACTGCGTTTTCTCTTTTGCTATACCCATTTTTAGCTTTTCTCAGATTATCTGGGATTTTTGTTATACGCGGCGGCCGTGCCACCCAATTTCACAGATAATCAGGAGTGTCCTGTAGTTATATTTATAAATAATTTGTAAAATCTTATAAACAGGCATTTTTGATTCATCACAAATGATGAAATGTTTATCATTAAGGATACATTATATCTAGGCTATCAGAATTTAAAAACACACCAGACAGCTTTTATGGATTATTTTATCCTATTACACCTTTTTCTTATGCAATTTATATTTGCATAATTATTTTTTTTATCAACAATTGCAACAATTAATAATTTGCTAAAATTTTTTATCACTAAGTACCTTTTTAAAAACATTTACATTAATTGTAATAATAGAAATTGTATTTGACTATAAAAAATTTGCTATGATATGCTTTTGTACTAAATTCTTTAGGAATATAAATTGTATTCATTATGAGGACGAAAAGTATTAGGTAACTTTTAACTTTCTTCATGTTCTTCGTGCTGTAATTTTCTTACTGACGTTTTGACTTTTTCTTCATTTTTTTTTTTATATTGGTTCCATTCAAAAGTTCTATTCAAAAAATTGCCAAAGACCAATCATTCAAAGATGCTAAACTGCAGCCTTGAACTATTGAGCTGGGAAAAAAATTATATAGAATGGTACAAAGAACAACTGGCAATACTGTCATACATATATCACTAGAAGCTACTAATAATCTTTTGCCTTTTTTGTAGATAGGGATCGCCGAAGTAGCTGAATGTACTCTCTGTATGGGACTTTTGCTTGAGCCTACAATTCGACTTTGCACATGAGAATATACTCCTCATAATCTACTGCTCTTTTCTCTTTCAAATTTGCCATGGTGCATTGGGCCTTTGGAATTTGCCAGAGCATCTGTGAACACCATATCTAGATATGGTGTTCACAGATGCTGTGAATATAGTGATATTCTTGTAGTATTGAGCAGTAGATGATACTTGTGTGATTTTATCACCTGTTTGTTTATAATAACACTATTTTAGAATCATATAAACGTTCATAGGGATTATGAGGCAATGTGCCAATTTTGTACCATGCTATCATGAATAAATACTTTGATGACAACTGTGATTCTTTGTCTGAATCCACCACTGAAGCCATTTTTTTTGGACAGGTCTAAAACTGACTGAGATATAACTGTGGCTACTGTTTTTTGGAGAAAGACAGCATTGATATTAGTTAGATTTGCAGAGTGACCAATACAACTCAGTTTTTCAAGCTGTGTTTATTGCCATACAAACAACTATGCAACCAAAAATCTTCGTAAATAGGCCGATTTTTATTTATTGATTTGTCCTCTGAAATGAACAGCTATTTCAGACATATTTACACATTTAGCAAATGTTTCTAGTGCATGAGATACCTCTCTTGTGTTAGGTTCCAGTATATGCTGATATCCAAGGGAATAAGATAGTAGATTAGATCCCCAGGCTTACTGCTTCATGCCTGAGCTCCCTAATGCACTTTTTTCTCCCCAAATATCACATTAAGGTAATCACTCTTTCTCTTTCCAAATAAGAAGAAAGGTTGCCACTACACTTCTTTTACATATATATATTTATGGTTGGTTCTAAATTGCACATAGGATGGATTCTTAACATATTATTTTATTTTGCATTTATTGCCACCACTTGTTGCTGGTTTCAGCATGCTATTGGATTAGAGTTTGAACTGCTTTTTACTTTGTGTTTATTCATTTATATATATATATGGAAGTGCTGGAGAGTGCCTGATTTATTGCATGAATATCCTGGTGTCTGGCATTTGATAGCAGTAATATTTTACTATCCACTGCAGATGTTATTATTTATTCAGACTTGTTTTATTAATATTTTACTATTACATTAATTAATTATCTGTTGTTTAATAACAATTTTTTGCTAAATTAATGAATAGTGTTTTGAAAATAGGAATGAGTTATAACATACATATATGTCTAATGTAATGCAATATAAATTTATTTCATAATTTGTAATGTTTAGTATTAGTTAAATGATTTACGTATTTATTGCATTTTTTTTTCATTGGAACATCATATTACTTTTTTAGGCAACCGATATAATCGGTCGTTGTTTGGAAATATTTAAAAATTGTCTTGAGGTGAAGAAAAAAGAATCAGAAGTTTTAGAACAGGAAATGCTATCCTTAACAAGCAAGGCCCTTAGTCAGGATAAGGTTTACTTGTCTTATGTTCATTAGTTATTTTTCTAAGAGTGTGATTATAAATATTTATTTAAAAGTATATTTTATTTTCATTTGTGTATATTTTATTTCATTTTCATTCATTTATATTTTTTCAAGATAAAAGCTTTTAGTATAATAATTATTAAATTTTGTAAATATATGACCAAGTGTTTTCTTGTTCTTCATAATTAGCTGCAAGAAGCTATAAATAAATTAAAAGAAATATGTGCCATGTATTACGATGAAAGAGTGAAGGAAATTAAAACTTTAAGTCAAGAACTTGAATTTTTGGAAACCATGGAAGATTCTGAAATAAAAAACATTAAAACAGAAGTTTGTATATCATTTTTTTATCATACAGTGAAACATCATAATAATGGAAAATTTATTTTACCACATAATTATGAATTATATTTTTAGCATATGTTTACTTTATCATATTCATCTTAGATTAAGTATTATTTTTTGCAATTTATATATTTCTAATTCTTTTCAGAATTAGAAATGATTGAAAACTGTATACTTAAGATTAAAAAATATATGGTTTTAATTTAAAGAAACTGATGTGAAATTTTTGATTGATTTCTAAATTTTGATATGCATTTTATCGGAATTCGCTGAAGCTAGGATGCTGGAACATATGAACTAATTCTTGGTTAACAGCTCCTGAAGCTTTTTAATTGAGTAAAAGAGCACATAGCAACCAAAATTTCTAATTTTTAAATTAAAGTTTCTAGATTTTTTCTATAAATTTTGTATTTTGTTGTGACTAACTTATTTAACCCCATCAGAAGAAGCCCAAAAAATTCATCTTGACAAGGAGTACAAGATTATCATTGGCAAGAGCCTTGGCCACTAGTGACAGTATGATTTTGCCCACTTCCACTCCAGTTTTAAGAGACAGTGTGCTGGGGGTTGGGTTCGAAGGTTTTTCACCCCTCTTCATCTACCACCAAACCTCACAAGAGGACTTTCAGCTTGCCATGTATTTAGAGTGGTTCCATGCCACAAAGACACTATTATACTTACAAACATTTGTGCTTTCTTCAGGATCTGAACCCATGCTCTTCGGTATGGTAGTCAGAGTCACTGACCACTTTCCCGTCTGGGTGGTGTAACTTTGTATGTGAATACAAAATTTATTTTCATGATTCCCTGGATTGAAGAAAAATTATTAAAATTTATCTTCATCTCAGATTGTTGATGCTCATCAACAAGGTTTACTTTTCTTATTAGTTTTATTATTATTTTGAGAAAAAGCTGCTTAGACATAAATACAAAAAAATATATAATATTTACATAATATTATATATATTTTTTGTACACATTTAAATAAAATATAAATATAATGTAATATAACATAATTCTTATTATTGCGAGAAAAAGGCTGTTCTTGTACAAATGTTTTCCCAAACAAAATGATTGTTTTAAATATAAGAATTCAAAACTGAGTGTATTTATTTTCTGACAAGTACAAATATGAATTAATCAAATCTTCAAATTTTTTAGTATGATTATATCACATTGTAAACTACTTAGCTCAATTTATAAATTTTCTGGTGTGTTACTCACATTTACGTTTAATAGGAATGAAAATAATTTAAAGTCTGAATTAAAATAATTAAAATCTTGAAATCTGCTACAAATGCCCAATTGAAGCACATTTTGCAGGCTGGCTAAAATTGCTTCAGGAACAGAAGCCTGTGGGCTGCCAGTCCAAGATCACTGCTCTGTGTGATTAATTTATCAAGAATGCATGCAAAGTTAGAATGAAGCTAAAAATGGAATAAAATTTTCTATGTTTACATGCCAAAGCCTCTCATAAATATCAGCAAACTAGAATCTTTTGCAGATGCCCCATCTGCTTCATCAGATGGAGCTAGAATAAGTAAGTGATTTGATCTAGCTTCCTTTCCTTTGCATTATTTTCTCCTGAGTTGTGGTATTCCCAAAACCGACATTTAAATATAAGAGGAAGATCTCTGTTACGACATGGTGTAGAAGCGATTTCTGCCACTTCTGTGGTTTTGAGGCTGATCAAGTCACTTTTGATGAAACAGATGGGTCATCTGCAAAAGCTGTTTCTTATGTTTAATTAGGGTTTTATCATGTTACACTAGAACGTTTTATTGCGTTTTTAATAACATTATTTGGTAGTTTATTTTATTTTGATACAGATTTACCAGATTTTCTATTAGTTGCACAGAATTTAGTATTTGAAGGTATGAAACGTTTTTCAAAATAATGTTTTCTTTTTGGGCTTTCTTGAGTAATAAATTTTAAAGTTTTAAATTTAAAGGAAATATTTTTGAAGCTACATTTGAGAAATTTAATAATTCTTCATCATTTTAAATTTAAAATAAAAATCAGGGTTCGTAGCGGTCCTTAAAAGTGCTTATAAGTCCTTATATTTGAAAATAAAATATAAAGGCCCTTATAGGTGCTTACTTTTCTTTAAAGCCCTTATTTATTTATTTATTTTTTTTTAATGAATGCGCTATTTTTCCCCTTACCAAAGCTGAAACTAAATAAACAACTTTTCTTCCTAATATGGAATGTCAGATGGTGAATCATACTCCCGGAAATAGCTTTTCCCCCTTTCTCTGCATTAACATAACCTTTGGTGTGCACGAAGAGTACAGACAGGTGCCCGTCGTTCTATTGGTCAAAGAATTGCGAAAGCAGTAGAAACATTCGGTACATTCGGCATTCTTTTCCTCCCACCCAAATACTACACACGTTTGAATTTCTATCAAGACCTTAAAAATTTGCATTCTCGTTCTGCTTGGTCAGTTCATATTCGTGTTTATTATGATCGTTATGCTTATATTGTGAGCATATGTATGAATGTTTATAATAACATAGTTATAGTAACTGCTGAAGTATAGTAAACTTCCAAAAATGGTTGTGCTTTAACACAGATTAGCTTTCTAAGGAATAATATTCGGAATGGCTTAAATAAAGGGAAAGTAATCGAATAGTCAAAATAATTTAATTTTTTTGGCCAATACATTATATAGCAGTGCTCTGCAACCTTTTCTCACCTGCGACGCACAAAAAATCTTTCTGGAATTTCGTGGCACACCAAAGAGTTCCGAGTTATCAAGGAAGTGCCGAAAAAATTCAAATGCTGACACACTTACAATCACACACACAACCACACAACAGTGAAATATATAAAAACATTTAAAATAGACATTATTAAGGAAAAAAAATGCCATTTTGTATTAAATACATGATAAAAAATTGCAAAATATCAAATACATGTATTTGATTGCGGCATACCTATATCCTACTCATGGCACACCGGTTGCGGAGCACTGTTATACAGTACGAAGGTTGGGAGGTCTCCCCTTTCTCCGCAAAAGCAACGGACCTCTTTTTTTTTTTTTTTTTTTGTCACTTTCCAATCTGGATTGAATAGGACTAAACGTTCTGCGGTCTACCAACCCAAGCGAAGAATGATTCTATTCCGGAAATTTAACGCCGTCTGTTGAAAATTAGAATGAAAAAACACCCCAGTTATTTAGTTCTTTATTCTCCCAATGGCAGTTGTTGATTCAGATTTTGTAATATAACGTAGAGAAGAATTACGGTGCACGTACTGCGCAATAACGTTTGCGATATTTTTCAGAGATAATTAATTTTGATGTTCAGTCTGAGATTTGTTTATGAACACTTAAAAGAGTTTTACTGTGCTTGCTAAGCAGAATATTTTTTTAGTTCGTTGGTATAATGATGCACATATTGAAATGTCAAAGCATTTAATTAGCGGAAAAATCTAAAGAGCAGCTACAGTCTACCCCTCTTTCCGCTCCTTCAAGTTAGTTTGACTGTCCGAATATTCGCCAATTTCCAAGTATGCGGATTAGTTAAGCTTTTACTGTTAAAGATGACTGCAGGAAGCAAATTTTTGTCTTCTGATTTCAGAAATGTTCCTCTTTTCTTACTTAAATTACTTTGCTTGCAGTATCTGTTAAGAGAAAACTGATATACAATGAAAATTTAGAAAATGTTCAGAATTTAGATTTAAATTATTTAAATATCAATATGAGTGGAGAAATAAATTGTATTTATTATTAGGTTCCAAGCGAATACAATAAATATGCATTATTATTATTTATTTTCTCTATTTTGAACTGAAATTTCATCATTAAATCTTGTAATAGTTTAGTTCTTCATAGTTTATTTTCCCTCTCATTGTAAACTAGTTCTGTAAATCGAACTATTATTTAAAATTAAAAACAAAAAAAAGTAATTATTTTCCATGGTTGAGGTAATGCGTATTCTCTCGTAATAAGTACTTCATTTCTCATATTTTAAATTACAAGTCTAATTTTTAAGATTATGCAGTTGTGTATGATGTAATTAGACGTGTGCTTATTTTTTTTCTTAAAATGTGCTTGAAAAGTGCTTATAGGTGCTTATTTTTTTAACTAAAATGTGGCTATGAACCCTGAAAATGCATTTATATTTGATTAAATACATAAAAATAAATGTATTTATTTTAATTAAAACTAATGTAAGATATTTGCTAAATATCAGAATGTAAAATAAAAGGTACATGCATATTAGCGTAAATAAAGTTGAATAATAAGTAAGCTGTAAAATGTAGTTATGCTTTTAACAGCTATTTAATGCTAAAAATTGTTAAATTCTTTTTCTAAGGTACCTCATGTATCTGTTGGACCAAAACAACATCTCAGTGCTGTTAAAAAAACTATAAAGCAAAATATATTTCAAGACATAAGCTTGGATGTTTCTCCAGTGTTTGAATCAGACTCTAAAGTAAGATTCTGTTTCTGTTTCAATATTAAATTTTATTTATATTTACAAAAAATAATTTTTTTCATAATGTTTTGACCTTATTTTGGTTTGAAAATAATTTTAATGTTGCTTTAACTTTACAGCTATCAAGGAAAATTGCAAGATGCAAAGAATATTTTCTGGTAGCTCTAAAAATAAGAAAAGAGGAGATTGATGAAATTAATTATATCATCACTTTCCTACATCATAGTAAAAATATAATGGAACCCGAGGTATGTAGAAATTTGAATTTTTTAAATTTCTTAAAACTTATTATTCCATGTTATCAAATTCAACATAATCAGCTTGTGAGTAAAAAATTTATATATTACTAGAGATTGAATGCAATTTCAAATTGTCGTAAACTTCTTGTGAGAGCTGGAAAAATGTATTTGATGCAAGTTGATGACATAGAGTTGATACTAAGAAAATTGAGAAATTTGGAAAAAAGCGTTTTATATATGGTAAGATTTTTTTTAATAAAATTTTGTTTTTCTTATTTAATTAATTTTGAAGAGCTTTTGCAACATTCTGAAATGATCTGTTATAGTAAAATATGTGCATATTGTTTCTAAATCTCTAAATTACTTTAAAAGTTGGATTGAAAATTTGATATTTTTTACATCATGTAGATCCCAGATGCTATCAAATATTGCTACAATATCTGCGTGCATGCATTAAAAAGAAGAAAAACTAGTGCTGAAGGTATTCAGCAGATTCTGTCAGAACTACCTATTAGTTCAAGCCTTATGGTAATACATATATATGCACTTTGTTTTTGAACTCATTTTATTGGCCCAGCAATTAAGATTTATATTTCGTGTTTTCTGTCTAGTTAACTGTTTATATATTAATATTTAATGTAATTTTTGCAGATATATGTATTTGAAATACAACTTTTTGAGATACAAAAATAAATTATGTGTACTTAATTTATTTATCCTGTTAGAGAATTTAGTCTCTATAGAATATATATTTAGAATATTATATTTACTGAAATTGAGATTCTGAAAATAATGTTTTAAGTTTTTTTGGAATATCTGAACTTATTGACTTTAAAAATTTAAAAGTGTGTTGAAAATATTGGTTTTGATAATATAATGAAGGTGAACTGTTGTTAATTTTGCCACCCCCTGAAGAACTTTGGTATCAGAGAAATTAATTTTCATTATATCATTTATTAATTCAATATCTATGTTTTTTTGTTAAAGATACTCTTTAGCTTAAAAAACGTTTTCTACACTGGGTGGGGGGAAACAATTTTTAGAGATTTGTAAAAATTTTTATGGCCCAAATAACTTTATTTCTTCTAATATTACAACTAGAGTTTAACTATTTTAAAACTTCAGTTTCTTCTCTTCAAAGCAGGGCAAGTTGCTTGAATTTATCTAAATTAACAATATTAACAATCACTCTTTTTGTGTTTATGATGTTTCCCCTTTAACATAAATTTCTTATTTTTCATTGAATGTAATATATATGTATTCACATATACCAAATGATCCAAATGTAACAGAAAGAGTAAAGAATCGGTAATTTGGAAAGACATAGACAATAGCATGGTGTGATTTTCACAGAATAAAATTAAAAAAAAAAAAAAAAGAAAAAATTAATAAGGAAAGCTTTTATTGTCTGAATAGGACATTTTCCACAGGGAAGTGGTTCTTTATTTCTGTCAGAAATTCATATAGTGGTGCAACACAGTTTGCAATGCAGCTAAGATTACAATTCAGTGGGATGGCCATAATTTATCAGAATGGCTGTTAGACATGGCGTGAAACTCGGCACAAAGAACAGCTGAAGATGTTCAGCTGTTCTTTGTGTTGTAATTCCAGTGACTTGATGGTGAAAAGCATCTTTCAGTATGATCAATAATGTTGATCAACATGTGTATACCTATGATTTCAAGTAGCTTCATAACTAAAAGTAAGTGTTAGATCTGGAGACTTGATGGCTATTTGTGCAGGAACAACTGAATGAGGATACAGTCATTGCCAGATATTGATCAAAGCAGGTACTGGACAGGATCTATGCATAAGCATTCCACTCTCTAATGAGCACTTATCTCTATTACAAAGATTAATACATTACTCTTGAAAACATTGCATTTCACTTGCCTGTGACCGAAATACACTCATGTCCATAAATTAAGGATAATGCAAAATCAGGCAAAGGAAGAATTAGAAGCAAAACAAATTTGACTTATTTGTAAAGCTTATTTATTAAACAAAAGGTAAAGAGCAAAAAAAGATGCTATATGTTTGTATTATTAAAAATATTAGCGATTTTTCTCCCTGGAGCAAATTACACACAAAAAAAAAAAAAAAAACTATTTACAAAAAACCAATATTACATGGTTGGTATGATCATTAATACATTGTATGTCTCCCAGACGATGCAATTCAGTCCGTACAACGCCTAGGCATGCTGAGTATCAAATTATCGATCTCATCTTGGGGGATATTACACCACTCAAAAAGCAATGCTCTCCAAAGTTCCGGTAGGCATGTAGGAGGAGGTTGACGGGCTGCAACTCGTCGGCCAAGCATGTCCCACGTGCTCTATTGGATTCAACTCCTGCACAACCGTAACGGTGTCGTTCAATGATGTTTTCTTGGTGATAACGGGTACCTGGAGCTCTCCATATGAACGTCTGGCGAAAATCAGACTGCAAGCTAAACCTGGACTCGTCGGAAAACATCACACAAACTCACAGTTGCGGTGTCCACAATGCATGCTCTCTACTCCAGGCAAACCGCAGGCGAGAGTGAGTTGCAGTAAGTGGAACGCATCTCACAGGTTTACGAGCATATAGACCAATCTGCCCTAAGCGTCTGTATACGGTCTGCCTTGAAATTGTCGTACCAGTGGCTGAAGAGAGCTGACAAGACAGGTCTGAGGCTGTGCTCCACCTGTTTTTTTTGGCAGTAACTGCCAAATACCGGTCCTCATTCAACATTGTAACTCTGGGGCAACCTGTGCTGTAACGTCTACTCACATTACCATCATCTTGGAATCGTTGCCAAAGCCTGGAGATGACACTCTGGGCAATTCCGGGTTCGTCTGATACTTCCAGTTGGGTACGCCCACATTCCAGACGGCCGATAATTCTACCACGTAAATCATCCAAATGCGTCCTTTGTGTCATAACTATTCGGTTATTGCACTGAAAGGCTTATAAAGTGCCTGCGAACAATTTTACTTCTTTGCCTGTATTCCTTATATATCACTCTCTTACACTCTCGTCATTGTGACGTACCATCGGTGTCATCTGGTTACTTCCTGAAATTTGCATATGATTCTTGAAGAATGTGTGTAGTGATTTTACAGGTGATATATTTATTTTAGAGTTCGATTTCCCCGTGACTCCGAATTATCCTTAATTTATGGACATGAGTGTAATTTGAAATGTACCACTGAGAACTTCCTCAAAGGAAATGGGGCTTGGAAGACTGACATGGTGAATTCGCACCAGGGTACTACCTTTATTTGATGTTGAGAAATTTCCACAATCACATAAGTTTCTTTCTCACCTAAATGTAGCAGTCATATTAATTTATATTTCCATTAAGGAGAAAATGTTATCATCAGTTTCTTTTACATTTGATAGCTAATCTGCATTGTTTTTCATATATTGAAAAGCCCAATTTTCAAATTTATGATTGTTCTCAAAATTGACTGATTTCAGTTTCTGTGCATGCTGAATTTTGTAAGAATACTACTCCTTGAGGGAACTGTTATACAGTCTGGACAAAATGCTAGTTTTCCAGGACTGCTCCAGTGCCATATGTCAAAGAAAAAATTAACTATTCATTGTTACTTTCATAAAAACTTTTATCATTTCTTGAAAAACACTCCCATGTCTTTTTGTGCATTTCTGGAAAACTGAATTATCTTACTATATATACTTTTCAAATTATTGAATTTTTGCTTTTTCTGTTATTTCTGGATCATATCCTATATTATATATATATGCATATGCTTCCACTCACTCATTCACACGCACACACATGCAAACGTTTATGAGTATAATGCAGATAGGAAATGGAAATTAAAAAAATGAATTCCATTAGTTGTTTGTGAAACGCTGTTATAAATAATATGATAAAACAAGTAAAATGAGGGGGATTATTCTTCATGGTGTGCAGGAAGTCTCGATGGCAAAAGATAAACAAAAAAAAAAAAAAAAAAAAAAAGGAATATCATTTAAGGAACGGAAAATGCAAATAGTGCAAAAGCTAGAAATGTCATGTAAAAGTGTAGCTCTTCAGAAGGGAGCAGACCGCAATTACACTTCACCAATCCTTTTCTGAATAAATTTCTGGAAAATCTTTAAAAAAATCTGCTCCAAAGCCAACCAGAAAAAACAGTACCAACATGTAATAACAAAATCAAAATCTACTAATAATAGCAAAAGATGGCAAATTTTTTTAAGAGTATATCTTAAAAAAACATATAGTGTCATTCTGAACCTTACTTGAAACAAGGTTTGTTTGGTCCTTAAAAGTCCTTAAAATTTTTGAAATCGATTTTTGGTCCTTAAAAGTCCTTAATTTTGTCCAAAATCAGTAGAAGGTCCTTAATTTTAATCATCTGAAATTTCTCTCTGTTTTTACGACTGCCATTTTGAGTGTGAATTAGCATTTTGGAGGAATATTTTTGGCAATTCACTGACGTATATGGTTATCTTTTGAATGGGTTCATGGGTTATAATTTGTTTCTATTTCTAATATAAATGATGGGATACTCGAGTTTCTAAGCAAGAAGTGAAACATAAGCATTTCGAAATTCATTTTTTCTAATAAAGAGCTCTTAAACAAGTTTTCGTTTTTGGGGTTGTGAATTCTTTTATTAAATGGTTCTAAATTTGACAACTTGTCAACATTTTGGCGATTTTAAGATCAGTTTCTATAAAAAATTTTTAATTCCGAGATCTGAGAATTTTTCGGCGATTTTTTTTAAACAGCATAACATTGATAAATTTCATTAAAATAATGGTAATATATTAGAATTATATTTAAAAAATAACATTAAAATACAACATTTTTTATTTTTCGCGGTCATATTATAAAGTTTCATTTTGGCAACTTATTATACAATATTTCAAATCTGAAAAATAAACAAGGTATATAGCTATAAAGCATAATTTATGAAACAGCTCTTAGTAAAAGCAAAATTAGCTATATAATTAATTAAAATGTCTTCTTTTTAATTTTTTCATAGTAAGTGTTTTTCCCATGTAATTGTCTCAGATTACATCATCCAACACCCATCAAGTAACCATCAACATCATCAAGTAAAACTTATTCTTTGCATCTACTGAGATTTATATATAAAACAACTTGGAACCTTAAAGTATATTAACTGAGTTACAACCCCTGGAACTCTACACAAAGCTATGACATTAACTGCATTAAGCAGAGTTTGACTAATTTTCAACACTTGCCAACCGTGCCTACATCAGGCCTTTCAGGTTTGTTCCAATCAGCAGGTCTCTCTATAGACAAGCAGCAGAGGGACAAAGTCTTTTGTTATGAATCATGCTGATTATGATAAGGGAGGGGTAATGAAGGGGTCACTCCTCATTTTAACCTATGCCCGTTTGACATAAAATCTCCCTACTATTTGCTAAACCTCTAGACTGACCAAGTATGTGACAAAATGAGACAAAAAAAAAAAAAAAAAAAAAAAAAAAAAACCAGCATAAAGCTAACTATTAGTAAAACGTAAATGTCTCTTATCTTCTTTTAAATATGTCCAACTATTATAAGTGTAAAATATTTAATGCTACTTGATAAACCGCATGAAGTTTATTTTATTCTCAAACTTATTAATAATTATGTTAATTAATTCATGTTTAGTAATTATGCATACTACTTAGGGATCTATTTTATTTTTAGGATGGTATTATGAAAGTGAAATTCAGGCATAGAATAATATTTTTAATTGAATTTATTCAGTTCCCATTTGCTCATAGGTCCTTAATTTTTTTCATTAATGGTCCTTAAAAGTACTTAATTTCTGTGCACAGAAATGTGTACGAACCCTGTTGAAATAAACCATAAAATTACTAAAATCAGTAAATAAACCATTAAATAACAGTATAGAAATTATAAAAGTTTCCAAAACTAAACATTACTAACATGCACCAGTCAGTCTCCTATATATCTATATTATTGCAATAAAGGATGCTGTTAGAAAAATGTGTAATTTTTCTTCATGCATTAGAAAATTACTTTATTATTTATTTCTGTAATCTTTATTATAATCTATGATTATAATTATTAGAGAATTTAAATGAAATTTTCCTCTTAGATGTCACATAGTTATCTGTGCCAAGAACTTTATCTTCGCATGAAAGAAATGAATGAAAAAGAAATAGGAGATATTCAGACTGCAATTTTAGGTCTTCAGGGAAGAGAAACTGCCACGGAATTTGATGTCTGTATATATGTTTTACTATTTCTGTTTTAATCTGACAGTCTGTCTGTAATAGTCATATGCTTTTCTTTTTTAATTTTGATAAAATGAAGTTTTTGCATAAAACGTAACAAATTTTTAGGACATTTTTATCATGCTCAGCATTATTATTTAATGTAACGAAACCAAATTAAGCATTTTAATTATTTGTTGAATAATACCTTAGCTCCAGCAGTTAAGAACAGTGCTTCATGGAGCTCTAAGTGCTCTTCTAAGGGACTCTTCAAACTTTTCTGGAAAATCTATACTATTAAAATCTGTGTGCATTTGTCTGTTTTTTTAGGGGGGGGGGAAGTCTCATTGTTTGTTGGTTTGTTTGAAGCATTATCTCCTCCACAACAGCTAGGAGGGGAATTTCGAGAGAGGTACCCCTGAATACCAAAAATTCATTCGAAGCCATTCTCATTCTCATTTTCGTACAACTTTAATTAGCATTTATTTAAAAACTCTGAAAATGCTAATTTTTGTCTTCATTTTTCCAAGTGTCAACAGTCTCACAAGATGGAGATAAAAATCTGCTTTATTTCGAGAAGTGTTGCCACTGCTCACTTTCAAATCGTAGAGTTTGTTAATAAAAAATTTGTAAGTTTTACAAAATATGAAATAAAAATAGCACTGCAAAATATTAAATATGTTATTATTATATAATGTCATATTCTGACTTTGAAGGCAGCACGGGATCGTTTGTGACATCACTGTATGTTGAAAATTATTCGTTAATGTCAGCATTTTAAATAAATAGTTGTTGTTGACCACGTTTTTGTTTCAGGTTAGTATAACTGACACTATATATTATTACCACATTAATCTTTTATTAATATTCAGAAAACGTTGTTATATTACATAAAATTTAAATCATAACGTCATACATATTAACCTGAAATGTCAAAAGTCTTTGTTTCCAGGTTCAGCAGTAAAAAAAATTATTTACAAATTGAGTCTTGCTTGGAAAGAATGAAATAATTTCTTTCATACTGAAATGTTTTCATACATTTACTTCTCAGGAGTACATAGAACTTACAAATTTTGCTTTGGCTGCAGCCTGCTCATCTGGAGGGTTTGCCATCTAGTAAAATAAATCAAAGCTGAATAAAATTAAAGAAACAGAAAATAGAATAAAATCAGAAATTTGGGAATAGCAATTAGAACTCAGCAATTAGTTTTGATTCTTCTCAAGCAAACCATGCTTGACCATTTATCGGAACTACACATTTAAGAAGCTTCTCTGCCATTCATGATCATTAGGGAATTCATGAAATCTGTTTGAAACTTCTTGACACTTAGCCCCATATCAGTATAAATGCCTAGTCAATTTGTCGTCATTTCACTGTCAACGTTCATAGTATAATGATTAGTACTGTGATATCTTGACAATTCTTTTACAAGTTTTCTATGCATTTCTTTGTGAGGTTTGTTTGTGTATCTAGTAAATGTTCATTAATAATAGAAGCAATAAACTCTATAAAATTGTGACTTTTTAAAAACAGACTCTATGTGTAAAGAATATATGAAGCAAAGCAGACTCTAAGCCTGCAAAACACTGAAGGCACCTTACTTCAGTGTTTTGCAGGCTTTTAACATGGAAAACACTGAAGTAAGGTGCCTGTCTTGTGGAAAAGAGTTGACATATTTGATGAAGTTGTGCTTGCAGGTAGCAATATTTTTAATGAACCATTAAGCTGTATTAAATGACATATTGGTTGAAATATTTAGCAAACTGAACAAAATCAGTCTATCATTATTAGAATAAAAAAGCCACAGTTTTTTTTTCTTTGTTTTGTTTTGTTCATACTAAACTTTCTCCTTTCAAGAAGAAACATATTCATCAGCTGGATCACATTGAAAAGGAAGATAGTGACAACATCCCTCTTAAAAAAACCTTCTTAAAGAAAATAACATCAAGTTTCAGGGGAAAATACAGAAATGGTCAGATGCAACTGGAAGCCTTAAACAAATCGTTTTTCATTAGCTCATGTGAAGGAATACTTGAAAACTCTGAATGGATACTGAATGTATAAATGAAAATTTGCCCAGCCTAATAGAATATGAGATCCTTATAGATTTGACAGCAAGCAAAAGTCGTGTTTCAAAACCAGAGTTTTGACTACATTCAAGATGAATTTGAAATCTTGTCTGAAAAAGCAAAATTGGCTCTGTTTCTCAGTTACACATCCCTGTAAGGCTGCTATCACACATCGGTTTGTTTCGGAAGAACAACTGTTTGGAACAATTTTTCTGCTTTGTCACAACAGTCAATCAACACAGATCGCTTTGGGTTAATGCAGGGGAAACTGGTTCCCCATTACAAACAAGCTGATAGCATTCGAAGCTGATAGCTGATTGGTTGAAAACGAACAACCTGCAATTTTTTTTGGAAAGGAAGGAGAAAGTCGCGCGTCTTTCTTTCAATAGTAAACCAGGCAGAAAAATTGTCTGAAACAGTTGTTCGTGCGAAACAAACGCTGTGTGATATGAGCCTAAAAGAACGTTATCCACCTGTACAAGAACTAAAAAAAGTGTACAGAAGATACAAAAAGGTATTTGCCTACAAATATTAGCTGCTGAACTTAAGGAAATTGTGCAAGAAAACATTAAATATTTTTATGTTTATTAGTAATAGAACTGTTCTTAGTGTCAAAATTAATGTTATGTCTATAGTATCACTTTTCAAATTTTTGCCATCAAATATAGTATTATTATTTATTTTTTTAAATTAAATAGTGAAGAATATGTATGTACATATGTATATTACTCACCTTGTGGAGAAACAACAGCACCTAGAGCCACTGAATTCTTAATGCACATAATCCTCTACCTGAATACGGGCATCTAGGAACCTGAATTTGGAATTTTGAATTTGTTTCCAGTTTATTTCATATTTTGTACAAATTTAAGGAATTTTTTAAAACAAACTTAACAATTTGAAAGGCAGAAGTGGCAACACTTTAGCCCACGAAACTGTTACCATTCAGCAAAATGTAAGCAAAATGTAAATCTATCAGTTTTAATCCACAAATTCAACTAGTGGAAAGCAATGTGTTGCCTCTGACTTGAATACAGTCAAATACCGAAAATCCGCCGACCTGAAATCTGCCAACTTCCTAAATCCGCGTTGCTTCTCAAAATATAAACACTTAGTTTATAGGTTCCGGAAAACGCAACATGGAGTACGAAATATCGGAAAAAAAATACTTACTGGATAATGACGTCATAATTACCAAATAATAATGAGTCATAATGGAAATACCAAATCATTGACATCATGATAAAAGTTATTTTCCCTCCAATCTGCATCGAGTAAAAAAGCAGACGATTCACTCAACTCTTCTTTCAAGTTCATGATTTATGTTCTTGTACTTTCTGAGCTTTGTTATTTCACAAGATAGTTTAGTGATGTTCTTTTTATCTGGATATTTTGTGGATAAATTAAGAATATTTTAAATTTCAATGCTTTTTAATACAATGACAGATAAGAAACGCACTTGTGATTTTACTGCTTACAACGTTGAAAAACGTAAACATATTGCATTAACCATAATTAAAAAAGTGGAAATTCTTCTAAAGATGGAGGCAGGTACTACTGCTCTGTTTATAGCAGAATCGTATGGAATTGCCACACGGACTGTGTATGATATATGGAACAATAATGAAAAGATTTTGAAATTTTACATCAACAGTGATTCTAACACCGAAATTCGAAACCGGAAATCTTTACATGAGGCGAAGTCGGCTAACCTCTATGCTGTCTTGTACGAGTGGTTCCGGCAGTGGCAGAGTGATGAGGTACCTATTTCAGGACTACTCCTGAGAGAAAAGGGGAAGCACATTCATGCTGATTTAAAAATAGAAGAGCCTAATCTAAATGAACAATATAATATAATCAGTTTATATATGTAATAATAAGTTAATGCATATTATAATTTAATTAAATGTATCTAATACGCCTTACTTATTTTGCACTTTTAGTCTGAATATTATCTTTTCTGTCCTGAAATCCACAAAATCCTAAAATCCGCACACCTCTGGTCCCAAGTGTTGCAGATTTCTGGATTTCTACTGTACTTCTTATTTCCTCACACCAGCTTATTGCCATTCAGTAATAAAACATAAGATATTTGACACTCAAATTTAATCTTTCTACTACTAATTAGCAAACCAAATGACTGAAAAATACACAGTTCATAAAGATATTTTTTCTACTTTTTAATCTGTTTGATTTAAATAAAACTGCACTTAAATCACATGATGTGTAATTAGAAATATTAAATATTTTTATGAAATATCATTAACTCATTAAAATCATTACATTCTTTTTTATGATAAGACTCCCACTTGAGTTCCACAAATAATTAACCATTTTAAAACAAACAAATTATAAAACATAAATATGAAATGAACATTTGTAGAATACATAACAAATTCTGATGTGGTGACCACATATGGAACCAGGAGACTGCATTAAAAGTTAGATTTGTTATTTGTCCAAAATAATTTTTTTTTTCTTTTTTTAAATTTGACATAGCCAAAACAGGAATATTTTTATCATTAAAACACTTCTATAATTTGAAGTAGTACATGACCATGAGTAATGATTGTGAAAATAAAGGTTGGGTTTAAGGGCTTTTTTAAACCAGGAAAGGGAGGTGATATATAGTATACATACACGCACATACACACTTTTAGTATTGTCGGTTGCAGAAAAGGGAGGTGCACAACTAGATATTATAGCAATCCCATATGCAAAATTTCAATGTTGATAATTTTTTTTTTTTAGTTACGTGAGATACATATGTTAATTTCATGTCAAAAAAATTAAATTCATTTTACAATCCATTTTTAAAAAAACAGTTCTTTATTCTGTCCATATGTATAGATGTGAGGCAAATAAATGGTCAAAATGGATATTTCTTTTGAAATATGGTACTTGAAATTTTTTGCAATTACAATACTTCCTTTACTTTGTAGAAGGAAGTAAAAATAAATGAGAACAATAATATCTTTGTTTGATTACAAAGTTGTAGTAACAAACATGAATTTTATTTTTGAAAAATAAAAATTGTAACATAATTTCAAGGAGAAACTGATAAATTTGGCAGTGGTTGATCCATAGCTCCTTTACAGACATCTGGCAACATTGTCATTCATTCATAGTTGTAGCATTTGTTCATTAGCACAAGAATAAATTCAGCAGCAAAAAAAAAAAAAAAAAAAAAAAAAAAAAAAAGTCTTTTTCCATTTTGTTCGTATTTATTTCAACTTATAATGCAGACAAATATTTTCAGAGATGAAATTTATTTTAAGTAAGAACAGAAGCATCGTAACTATTGGAAATTCAGAGGCTTGTATTTGCTTTAAGATGGCTATGACTAAGATCTTGACTAAATTGACATCACAAGTTCAGTATCAGGGAAGCCATTGGTATCAAAGAAAAAAATAAAACCAATTCAGTTATGTTGGTTTTTATTATAATTTTAATTTTTGTATTTAAAGTTTTAAAGCATGTTGTAATTATTTTCTCAATAAAATTTATCTTATTATTTGCCAAAAAAGACAATTTAAAATGAAAATATCACTGACCGGAAATGTCTTCTCAATACACATTTTGATTGATTTTGACTAGCACTAAAAAAAGGGGGGGCTGTTATTGATGCCTGTTCTAATGTAATTTTATATTAATAAATGTCCTCACATAAAGACCATTCAATATAACAGTACCATCATTTTCTGTTTCTTAGAGGCTGTTATAATGCTAATTGACTGTAGTAGTAGTTATTGTGGTTTTGTCAGTGCTTTTGTATTTTGAAATGTATTTTCAACTTGCATCTCTGTAAAATGTATTTTTTGTTTATTCATGTGAAATTCCTGCTTGATTCAATAAGCAAACACTGTTAATAAAATATGGCTATTTATAAGTTTTTTTTTCTATTGTGTTATCTTGCTAGTTTATGTATTAAAATATTTCCAGTTTCATTTCAATGATTAAAAGGAATTTTATAGAATTGCAAAACTATTTCATTCAAAATATTTTTAATAAATTATTTAAATATATTTTTTTTATAATTTTAATTATACATAATATTTTTATTTAATATTTTAATTATAAATATTTATAATTTAATTAAAAAATATATTTTTATAATTTTATAGGAAATTTATGTATGTTTTTGTTCATTTCAGGTATTAAATGTGTGCCATGATCTATACAATACTACTATAAAAATGAGAAAAAAGGAATTTGATAATTTACTGCTTAATTTGGATGTGTTGGAAGTTGATACTTTAGTTCATGATGATGATGATGTAATTTTTAATTTTTTAATTTAGTACTTGCATGTAATAAAATGTTAAGATTTAAACTGAAAATATGTGTTGGAAGTTGATACTTGGTTCTTGGTTGATACTTGGAGTAGTTCATGATGATGATAATTTAGTTTTTAATTTAGTATTTGCATGTAATAAAATATTAAGATTTAAACTGGGGATTAAATTAAAATTGAAACTATCTTTCTCAAGCAATATTAAGTGTATGTAAATGCAAAGCATCTCTTTCTTCACATTGAAAAAGTATTGAAAATTTTATTGCTGTCATAGACCTCAAAATTTTATGTTTTGCCATTCAACATGCCAACAACATGTAAGTAAACATTTGTCACTCTGTGAAAAATAATTAGAATGTTATAGATTTTAAAAAGATGATATTACAGATTTAAAATCATTTGATGTTGAAATTCTTAATGTTTTTATCTTGAAAAATTTTAAATGCATTATAAATCTGTCATTGAATGCAACTATCAGGCTGCGTATTGTTCTGTTGGCTGTTTTCATAGGATTAGGATTTAATTAAATCTTGACTTTAATGTGCTTATTGACCACATGTATACAAGGGTAACTCTGAAAGTCTTGAGAATTTGTGTTAAAAATGATGAATAAAGTATATATTACATCTCAAAATATGGGCTGTTATGTAGGATATAATTTTCTTAGTCTTTTAGACATTTTCTTAGACATTTCTGCCTGACATTCTTTCTTTGAATATTTTTTTCAAATTCCCTGTTGGCCAGCATAGCAGCAGTCAGATTTCTATACACATATGTTTTCCTGCCTTTTGGAAATATGAAGTCACAACCTAATAATAAATGAGAACCTAATAAATGAGAATCCACAAGAAGCCATGAGAAGGATGGTTAAGGACTCTTAACTGTGGAATCACATAGAAATTGAAGTGTTTATTCTTTCTTCTGAGGGTGATATTGAAATTTTGTCATAATTCCATATAGTCCAATTTGTTTGTTTGCGTGTAGGGAGCAACCTGCCCACATGGTCACAGGTGAGCCTATGGCTTAATTAGGCTGTATAGATACATACACACTGAAATAGAATTCCCACTGCTGATCAATTATTATTGATATAATTCTTAACTTTTCTTGATAGATTTCTTGCCTTGTCAAAATTTGATAAAATCCATACCACATGAAAAGTTTCATTTACATCTTTCCTTGCACCTTTTAAAGTGGGCAGGTCTCCACAAAGCGTTTAGCAATTCCAATTTCATTGCAGTTGTAGTTTTGAAGATTAAATCTTTTAAAGTAAGCAGGAAAATGACTGTGACCCATTAAAACTTGATTTAAACCTATATCACTATATGTCCATCCCCTTTTTTATTGTTACCAGTCTTACATAGTTTTAATTTTTGTCAGATATTTCCCATTTTTCTTTCCATACTTTGTAGGTATAATTCTTCATAAGCATTATGGTCTTCCTCTTTGACCTTTCCAGCTCAATGATTTCAGTGTCATTTTGTATAATAACCTTTCTGTCCAATGCATTCGCCCTCTCATTTCCAATGAAATCCATATGTACTCAGTTCATATTAATTATCTGCTTCCCCAGAAGTTCAAAGTAAAGTTCTTTTATATCTAATATCAGTTAATTTGTTTGGTGTGGGCAGAAGAGTGCGTGTTAAGTTGATAAACTGCCTACTTCCTCATAAATATCAATTTCTTCCTTCATGGGCTTTAAAATAATTTCATAATTCTTAATCTTATTCACTCTTTCTCTCTCTCTTTATTTCCTCATTCTCCTTCATGCCTACAACATTTTTTTTAAAAGCCAGTATCTACTAATCTATACAATTCAGTGTTTGCTGATCTATTTCTTATTTTTGTGAATACATCAGACAAACACTTTGGGATTCCCTATCGCTGTTTTTTTTTTTTTCCCCTTCTGGCATCACAGTTTTAATATATCTATTTATAGAAAAGAACAAGTGCACCATTTTCTTTCCAATGCTTCACCCTCTCTAGATCTTGATGAGAATATCCTTCATGAGTAATTCTTATACAACAAACAGAGGTTTGGTTTATGGATCATATTTAATAAACCAAGATCCATTATCTGTTATGATAAAAATTTACATTTGGGTATTCTTCATCAAACTTTTGACACATGTTTTTGCATTAATCTTACTTATTTTGGTTGGATATTTTTTGCTTTTATCTGGTAGTGATGAATACAATGATTGTAAAACTTCCTGACAACATGTTTCCAAAAAAAAAAAAAAAAAAAAAAAAAAAAAAAAAAAAAAAACTGCTCATACAATGTTTGAGCTTAAGCTGCATACAGGATCCAGAAAATAGACCTCCCATACTAGCAGATGGCATTGTGTAAATTCTGTTGGGGATACGGCGGTGGATATTGATCAATATGTGCCATTTGCACTGCCTGCAATGGCATGCGGTTTGCATCGTGCATTTGTTGTGGAGGAGTGTATTCGTAATGGTGGGAACTTAATTCTGTACTTACTTCTATAATTCTACATTTCATATTCAGTTCGAACTTGGCTGACGTGGTCCTGTTTAAGATAGAAAAACTGTTCACATTTGGGTATCAAACTTTAGAGCAACAGTTCTCCGTTGAAAAAGAAATCGCCTGACTGACCTCAGACTGTAACAAGGCTAAAAAATGTTGCACGTGCTAAAAAATGTTGCACTATACAGCAGTTTCCAAAGCATTCAGCTTTTAAATATGCAGCTGCCCTGGGATTGTCTGGTAGGAGTGTAAGAAGAATCTTGCATGAAGATCTTCACATGCACCTATGTGAAATAGTGGCTACTCAAGAATTAAGTGAGAAAAATTTTGAAACTTGCAGAGCTTCATATCAGGGCATTCTTCAAAATATTTGACCCTCTCACTGTCTTTATTTTATCTGATGAAGCCCACTTCTTCTTGTCAGGTATTGTAAATAAACAAAATTTCCTCTACTGGGCAGCAGAAAACCCTGAGGAACTGCGACCCCCAACAACCACTTCATGGCTCTCATGTGAAAGTTTGATGCACCATTGCTGAATTGGTGTGAGTGATAGACATTACTTAAATAGCAGATACACTTTGAAATATAGTAGAAAGAAATAAGCAAATCATAAATGCACATTGCATGTTTATTAATTTGACTAACTAAACTGTTGCCATTCAGCAAAAAACAAAAAATCTGATGTGTACACCACATGACTTCCTTGTACGGAATATTAAATTATACACATTTTTTCTTGCATTTCATTTAAACTTATTAGATTGAATTAAACGTACTTCGCCAACAGCGCATAAACCACAATAGAATAAATGCATTCTTTAAAATTCACTTTGTTTACCATAGCGACACTCTGGCGCTAGGTTTAATTAACAGTATTATATTTCGTTCATATTATAACTCAGAATGCACAAAATTTATATCATTTAAAGAATTATCTTGCCACATGCTTTATTCAAATACTATAATAAAGCTAGAACTATGTATAAAAAGAAATTAAGCAAACAAAATAAAAAAGAAACAGTTTTTCACAGATGATTCAATTAATTCAGTTTTCACTTCGCGACACGGCAAAAATACATAAAAACTAAAAATATCTGTATTAAAAATTATGAAGTAAATCTTAAATGCTTATTTCCTCGAAAAAATTCCAGAAAGGATTAAGCATGATTTAAATAATAAATGAAGGTGTTATCTTTGTTGTTGCGAAGCTAAGTTTCTCTAGATTGGCAACAAATCCGCTATCCTGCTGTTTCAAATGTAAACAAGAAGAATGGCCGCCATCAAATTAGGCTTAGCGGCACTAAACAATTTTAAAATTGTTGATAATTCTAAAAATATTGCATACAGATTTACTAAAGGCATAAAACTCTTAGCTGGAAGATAAAAACAACATAATTCAATCATTTTTAAAGCAAAAAATGTACAATTTACAAACATATAAGAGTAAAGAAACTGAGATCACTGAGCCGGGTAACAGAGTGGATATATTTATAAATGTATTTATATATGTTTGGCGCGGCCGATTGAAACCAAAATATGAGGTGCACATCTACATGTTATAGTAGTCTTATATACAAAATTTCAACGTCCTGAGGCTACTCGTTTGTGACATACGCACATACGTTCGTACAAACGCCACGAAAAATTCTCTTCAGAATTCATTTTAAAGCAGTTTTTTAGTTTTTTTGGAGGAAACGAGTCTTTTATTCTTGTCCTTACGTACAGATATCACGCAAAAGCATCGTTAAATTGCATTCGAAAGCGGTCAAAGTGGATATTTTCATTAAAATATGCTGCCTGAAGCTTTTCGCGACTACAATACTTCCTTTTTACTTCATACAAGGAAGTAAAAAGGAGCTACACATGAATATTAAGGAACTTAGAGTCTATAATTATAGCATTGCTTTGGCATCATAAAAAACATTATAACAACATCATGAAAGTAAAGTAATGTTTATTTCTAACACTCCTCCTTGCCAAAGCAGGCCTAAAAAGACTTAAATACAACCTTCAAAATGAGGGATTTAAAAAAAAAAAGGAACTTACAGAAACTCTTCATAACTGAGCAATAAAAAAAATTGGTAAAAGAAATTTACAAGTGTTATGAGCATACACAGGCATCTTTTATATTACACAGAGGGCTATTTGTGGAAACCTAAATACTTTCTCAAGTTGGTTAACACTGTCTTTGAAATGTTTTTAGTCAGAAGATCAGCTATGTTTTCCTTGGATTTACATATTCCAATTTAATCACACCTTGCTCAGTATAGTCACGGATGAAGTGATGCTTGATGTCCATGTGCTTACTGCGTTCAGCTGTAGTTTGGTTTTGTGCAATTAACATAGCTGCTTGGTTGTCTACTTTATAGCTGAGGGCGATGGGATAAACTTCAACATCCTCAGTTCCGTCAACAGTCCCCTTATCCATAAAATTTCCTTTGTTGCAAGGCCAGCAGCCACATATTTGGCTTTAGCCGACGACAGGGCAACAGTAGACTACTTTTTACTGCACCAAGATATTGCAGCACCACTTAAGATCAGACATATCCACTGAAGGACTTTCCGTGGACTTTGTCAGCATCAGAGAATGTATCAAGGCTCTTTCTGTCTTTCTGAATGTAAGGGATAGATGCTTGGTCTCTTTAAGGTAGAAAAGGTGTTTAACACTCCTCCAGTGAAATTCAGATGGCCTCTCATTAAACTGGCTCATATAGGTTGCACTAAATGCAATATCAGGACGTGTTTTCCGCAAACAAGGTATAATAGGATACCTATGGCTTGTCTATATGAAATTTGGTCACTTTCTGCTTTTATATCTCTCCACTCTTCATCATCTACCTTTTGGTGTCTTACATTAGGATACATGGGTGTTGATGCTCCCCTGACTGATTCTAATTTGAACATTTCCAGAATTTCTTCTATGTTTGATCTAATGTTAAGGTGCCATCAGTATGCTTCTGGATCCTCATAGATAGTATTTCATTTGCTTCACAAAGGTCTCTCGCATTGAATCTTTACACAACTGTATGCTTAAATGAGATTATTTCCTCTAGGGTTCTAACAATTAAATGTCATTTACATAGATACCAAGCTATAATGCTTTGTTTGGGTGGTAATAAATGCATGGATCACATTTTGAGCGTGACAGTCCACAATTCTTCAAGAAAGTATCGAAGCATTCATTCCATTGTTTTCCTGATTGCTTTAAGCCATACAAGCTTTTTTTTTTTAAATGGCACACTAGATGCTGTTTACCTTGCTTTTGAGATCCTTCAGGTTGTGCCATGTATATGTCTTCCTTGAGTAGGCCATTTAGATAGGCATCAGTGATGTCCGTTTGATGAATTTCCATTTGTAACTTGACAGCAAGGGCTAGAAGGATTCTTATAGATTTTACCTTTACAAAAAGGGAGAAAGTCTCGCGCAAATCTTTACCAGGGACTTATGAGTAGCCTTTAGCTACTAATTGAGCTTTAGAGTTTATTATTTCTCCTGTATTTTGTTTTTCTTTAAATACCCATTTGCATTGTATGGGTTTGATGCCAGCTGTCTTTGAAACCAATTACCATGTCTGGTTTTCGTACAAATTAGATAATTCTTATTCAGAAGTCAAACAACGAAAAATCAGCATTTGTTCTGAATTTTGTTTGACTTGAAAGTTGTTTGACTTCTGAATTAGTATTTGTTCGGCATGTTATTGTGTCTTAGATAATTCTTCCTTCGTGACTTCTTTCCACATCTCTGCATTTGGTGAATTCATTGCTTCTTTTACACTTGTTGGGTTTTTACAGATTTTGATGGCAGATTCTTCGCAAACAGCTTTATATAACACTGGATCCCCAAAGTAAGTCTTAGGTCCATTTTCTCTAGTAAATTCCAATAGGGTCTTCCTTATTACTATCAGAATCTCCCAGTAATGCTGATTCTGTATCTTCAATTTCTTCTGCTGTGCCATTTAACGGGGCTTCAACATCTTTGACTCCTGTGGTGGTGTAACTGATGGGTACTTCTAATGGAACAACATTTACTTTACTGTCAGAATTGTACTCATGATTTCAGTTAAAAGTCGCTTTATTTTCCTTTCTTGCTTGAGTAGCTGTCTGGCTCCTCCTCAATGGAAAAACAGTCATCAAATTTAACATTTCTGCTCACCAAAAACTTATCTTCATCTGTATTCCATAGTTTGTATCCTTTGACACCTATGGGATATCCTATAATTACACATTCTTGAGCACGCTTCCCTAGCTTTCCTTTCTACAGCATTCTTTCAATTTGAGGAAAAGCTCGACAGCCAAATATTCTCAGTTGACTAGTTTGCACAGGCTCCTTGGTCCAGAGTTCTTCAGGTATGTTTAATTCTTGAGGGATATTGGAATATAGGAGAAGACATCTAACCATATCAAATAGAGTATGGTTAATTTTTTTGCAACTCCGTTTTGTTGTGGTGTCCGGAGAATTGTGAATTATTCCATTTTTAGTTAGGAAATAATCAAATTCATGGTAGACATATTCACCTCCATTGTCGCTTCGCAGAGTAATGATTTTGAGTCCATGGAAATTTTCAACATTTGTTTCATATTCCACGAATTTTTCAAGGCTTGATCTCTAGATTTCATAGTTTTAACCACATCATAACTTGGATAGTCATCAACAAAGGTAACGATGTACTTTGATCCATTTTTTTATGCAAGTGTGATAAGTCCAATTACGTAAGTATGTATCAACTAAAGTAATCTAGTTGACCATTCGGCTTTTTTCCTTGGGAAATGGAGTCTTCTTCATTTTTCCCAAAACACGTGTTGAGCAAACAGTCTCCTTTTCTTGGATTTCTTCACACTTCATTTTCGAATCATTCTTTTTCATAAGTTTCTTAACTGCATCATGGTTGGAAATGTCCTAACTTCAGTGTATAATTTCTTCATGTCTGGAAAGGTATATTTTGTGTGTTTGCTTCTCTTCAATTTTGTATAATCTTCCATACCTATGTGCAGCGAGGATGACCTTATCTTGTTGTCCTGGATCTTTTATGATTGCTTTGCCTCTCTCAAAGGAAACAGTCATTCCCATTTCTTCTATTCTTCCTACTGAAAGAAGGTTACCATCAAGTGTAGAGACATACAGAACATTTGCTAGGTGAATAGCATCTTTCCCACATTCTCTGGCAGGATTCAAAACAATGTCTCCCGTGCTAGAAACTTCAATTTTTTTCAGAATTGTCTATCTTGTGATTTCACTGAAGCTAAATTCATAAATTTCTGCTCTTGAGAACACATATGTTCAATGGCTCCACTATCGAGGTATCAATCACAGGCAGGTTTCTCACTGCAAGTATCAACAAAGAGTGCTTGATATACTTCATTAGAAACCATTTTTGCATGTGGGATTTTAGCAGCAGAGCAATTTTTGGCAATATGAACCCCCTCCCCACAAGAAAAGCAACGGGTTTTTCTGTCAGTATTTTTATGCTGTTTCTGCAATGGCTGCATAGTTTTAGTTCTGTGCTTATCTCGAGTTTTGAAGGCTTTTTCTCTCATGACCTCAATGGTAGCAACTTCTGATTTCACTTCTGTCTAGCGCATTAACTTTCCCTCTTCCACAATTTTACGATTTGAGTTGACAATGTATCTTCTTCATGTTCTAAATTGAGGATAAGGCCTTCGTATTCCTTGGGAAAACCCATTAACATAATGAGGGCAACTTCTCTTTCCAAAAGTCTGTATCCCCAAGACGATACCTTTCAGTGAAGGTCCATCAATTGACTTAAATAAGAACTGACGCTTTTTCCTGGTTTTAAAGTTACATTAAAAAATTGCTTTGGCAGATACATCATCATAAAAATAATTATTATTTTATCGAAGAAGATGGGCTAACAGTAACACTTACTATGAATCGCTACTGTCACATGATCGATACCTTCCTCTGACCTAAGTTAAACCAATTTGTTGGGGACGTAAAGAGGAAGTCTGGTTCCAACAAGGTGGAGCCACAGCTAACACTTCGAGCATTCTCTACCAATTCTGAGAGAGTTGTTTCCTGCATGTCTTCTCTCTTTGTGAGGAGACATCGGCTAGCCTCCAAGATAATCCGATTTATCACTTTGTAATGTTTTTCTTTGGGAACACTTAAAGGCAAAGCGTACAAACATCATCCCACAACCCTGCAAGCACTTAAAGAGGCAGTCACCCAGGCAGTGCAATGGCTGCCATTCCACCAGAAATGATGCAAAGAATTATGGACAGCTTTTGGGAAAGGCTTTGCCAGTGTGTCATCAATGGAGGATACTATTACCTGGATATAATTTTTAAAACCAAGAGGTATAAAAAAGTAGAATCGCAATTGTTCACAAATAATTTTTTTCCCTTTTATCTTTGTTTGTTTGTAACTGCCTTTTGAAATACGCCAGGTTGATTTGCCAAATCCTGTATTTGTTTTCTTTTAAAGTTTGTTCTGCAAGCATGAAATTTTGAACTGTAGAAACAGATTAAAGTGACCAGTCAATCAAAGGGATCTTTATTTTGCAAGAAATGTCTTCTGCTCCTAAATGCATTCAATGCCTTTAACATTGGTTTGGGAAAATGAATTTCCAAAAGCACTATGTGAATGTTTTATGTTACTTGCATTCACTTAGTGTAGCTTTAAAGATAAAATAATAATAATATCATGGCATGAAAATGCATAGAATTGAACTTAATAAATTTTGTAAATTAAATGTCATCTAGGCAAATAGGAAATAGTCTTTTTGGTGATCAGCAGATGGTATGTCATTTTTTACAAAGGTATTGTATGTTCTGTCTGCCTGACACTTGCTACATTTCAAACGAAGATGTATCCTGTAAGAGATTCTCAAAACAGTGGTTGTGAATCTGTGCCTATGCACTCCTTTCACTCTTGCTAGAAGTTCATCCCCCCCTTTTTCTCCAAAACTCAAATACATTTATAGCTTAATTTGTTATGTGTTTTACGAATTAAGCAATAAAAAGTGCAGGAAATAATGATAAATATCAAAACTTAAATAAAGGAAGTTTTTTATATTCATAAACCAAAACTAAATACTTAACAGCTAAATAAAATGCTGCCCAAATCTCTACCTGAAACTATGAAATTCCCTCCTAGGGGGTGAATTCCTCTCTAGTTGGGAATCCCTGATATATATAATTTTTGTGTATGTTTAATGTTTTGCAGCTGATGTTTTTTATATTTAGTATGAAATAAAATATAATCTCATATTATGCTATCATAAAAAATTAGCCTGAAAAAATGACATCTTGATGAATATATGTTTAAATTTTTCATTGCCTTTTTAAAATTTCAGGTATTTAATTTAATTGAGACCTGCAAAGATATGTGTCTCACTAGTGCTGCTATTCGAGAAAAAGAGATTGGAATTTTGGAATTAGAAATGAAAAGTGATGCAACAAAACACATTTTAGAGAAACAGGTTAATAATTTAGCTGAATTCTAAAATATTCCTGCTGGAAAATTTCATATTTTGTATTTATATAAAAATTTCAAACTTTGTTTTGAAATAATATAATAAATTTTCTTTCATAATTTGTTTCAAGTAGCTGAATTTTGTATGCATGAAATTAAATGCAGTATTCTATTTTTTTTTTTTATTTTTATGATATTTTATCATGTGCTATGTTTATTTTCTTTTTAGGGTACAGATGTTGTTGTGACACTCAGAGATTTGTTTTATTCAGCTATTGAGCTTGAAAAAAGAGAATGTGAACAAATTCTTGGCACCACAAATGATATATTTCAAAATTTTGATAATAATAAACTTCAGGTAATTTTTTTTTTATCGTAAGTGTTGTTAATAGGTCACTCTGAAAATTTTGAGAATTCTGTACATAAAACATCGTCAGCATAAAATATCTGGTGCTTTGTGTAGAGGGAATGTCTTATAGGGCTATGTATAAAGATAGCTTACTGTCTGCTGCAATTTGGCAAGATCATGTGATTCTATTACACTTTGATACGCTAACATTCTGAGCACTATTTTTTTTCCATTATAATTTTTTGTGGCTTAATGAATGATAGTTTGTTAAATATTTGCAAGGTGCTTTTGGGAAATCTACCATCTGAGCCACAGCTTGTAGAACCATTATAATTTTTGAAGTAGAAAACATGAAAAATTAGCGATGCCCTCACAGGGACTCAAACATGGACTTTTCAAATATGCACCAAGTCTGCTAACCATTACATCACGAAGGGAGAAAATACCTTATATACTTTCCCTTTTAAAAGGTGACCTGGTGGGCAAGAATCATCATCCACCACCTTTTAGTTTGGGCGCTACTGTAGATTTATTAGGTATTTTGATATGCAAAACATGAAAAATGAGCAATGTCCTCATCGAGACTCGAGCATGGGCCTCTTGAATACGTGCCGAGTGTGCTAACTGTTACATAACAAAGGCATGTTGGATGGAGGGAGAAAATACCTTATAAGTTGACATATGATTTAAGGTTAAAAGGGAATTATATTCTTTGCAAGATGAGGATAATTTTGGCCTTTTGGTCACTGCTTCTGCTGATAAAAATGCTATAACTCAGATAAGATGTTAAAAGAAAAACATGTATCTTATGCTCAAATTTAAAACACTCTAAATATTAGATCTAGTAGTCATAGAAATGTTCATCACAAAAAACTTGACTTAGGAAGCTTTGCAATCATTATTGTGAGAATCTGGAGAAAAATCTTGGTTCTGTAAATATGAACCATAAAGCAATACAGTACAAAGTCCGGAATCCGGATGTCTATTATCTGAAATGATCTAAAATCTGGACCTCAAAACCACCACCAACGTTTTCTCATAGGCTTTATGCATGCATATTTGATTTCCCCCCTTTCATGCATAATAAAACATCTGGAGAGTTCTGATTCTTAGTTTCACTTCAACACTAAATAAAGACGAAAAAATAATTTTAGTATAAATTTGTACGATCAGTAATTTGGCTCCATTGCTGCGTATCTGCTTGACATACATCTCAAACCGAAACATTCCACATAGACACATCGTTGATCTGACGCCAACCTGGGGAATCATTATTTATTATACTTTCCTTTCATCACCACATGTTTATCAAAACATAACAAATGGAGTAATGACTTGTGTAGTGATGTCTAAACAATTTTTTTTATGTTAGTAATTGAATAATAAAGGAGTGTGGTAACCTTTTATGTTGACACTATGCTTGGCAATGATTACATATTTAAGTTCAATGAGCTAAAAATTGTTGACGAAGAAGAATTTACCAAAAATTTCTTTCCATATGCTAAAAACAGATTTTGTTGATGATACTCATAAACCCAAAGATTACATTTAGGGTATTTGTATAAAGAATAACTGATTTGTTATTCACATAAACCCAGAACCAGCGCCAGACCTCGTATGGTCGCATCAAGTCGCAGAATTTAGGATCCGCAGAGACCGCATCAGGCTGCGAAGTATATGGTGGGAATTTATTTATTTGGAACTCTGATAAGCCTTAAGCATGTGCAAGAATAGACAAAAATATAATAAATAACTAAACTAATACCATTAAGGCTTAATTGTCTCAATGCGTGATAGAAGCAAGATAAAATTTAACGGAACAACTTGTCATTAGTCGCCAAGCTCATGATGCATAGTCAAATATGTATAGTGAAGAATAGCTAAATTTGATGATGATAGCCGCTAATTTTAAAGGTTTTCGGACATTGCAAAACAAAGGTGAAATTGTCCAATTAACGAATTTTGTAAAGAAATGTGGAGAAGAGGTAATAAATGAAAATGATATAAAGGAAGTTTTTGATTGTGATTACAATGCTTCTCAATCATCAATCAATTAATGAATGGCAAAATCTGTAGTATGGTTCTAGATCCAGAAAATACTGTTACCTATAGTGAGGAAAGTGACAGAAAAGTTACTGAAAATGAGGAAATAAGTTAGTTGGAATTCTCGAAGTAGCAGTTAGAGGACTTCAGCAATGTAACTATACAAGAGATTATGTCTGTCTACAGAATTAAAGAGAAAGTATTAGCATTAAAAAACGAAGCTACTTGCACAACTTACATTGAAAGAAATGTTTAATAAGGTAAACAAATAAATATTAAGCTATTTTTTTTGTACATTTTGATACCCTTTAAATCATAAATACTTCATTATTTCATAAATCAAGATTTCATATTTTTAATTTTATAATTTCTATATGCCATCTTGCTAGGTTTAAACTGATGATCTAATATCCAGAAAAATCTCGAATCGCTGAAGTCCTGACGCGTCCGGATTTCGGACTTTGTACTGTACTTGTCTGCCCTATAATTTTCCTGTTGATATTACTCCTATCAAATTTAAAAGAGAGTAAGGAGAATTAAGAAGAAAATGGTGTGCTTTTTTCTGTTCTGGTAGATATGGTAAGACATTGACAGTAGTATGCTGTAAAAAACACATGGGCTTAATTCCCACACATTTTTGTGTCATATGATGATAATAATAATAATAATTCAAAGTATAAATGTTTAAAAAATGAATCATACGATCTCTTAGTGATGTTTCTTGGTATAGTTTGCTTGAAAATAATGTCTTTAATGAAGAGATGGATACCATTCAAAATTTACAAATGTACCATGTGCCTCTCCTTCTTTTGTTTTGTTTTCTTTTGGCAACAATTTTATTCAGAATATGTTGTTGCATATTACCAGAAAATCATTTACATGGATTACATGAAAAGAGCTTGTAAAGTAACAGTAGACAGCTTATATAATATAAACAGTTATAACACCTTTTTACAGAACTTGAAATATTGACTTAACTTGAATTTTTTGTTTTTCTTTAACAAGTTACTGGATGGATCATCAAAAGACATTACTTCTTACACACACAGTCAAATAAAAGAAGCTGGTATCTTATATCTATTGCATAAAGCAATTGAATAAAGAAAGATGCTAGCTCAGTTTTTTTGTCAAAAACAATCATAATGAAAGATGGCAACTTGCATCTCTCACAAAGAATCAAGTAACTGATGAAGATAATATCAATGATCGGGTAAATCTTGCATGTTAGTAGGGGAGGGGGACAACGATCTTAATGTCTTAATAACGATCTTAATCTTAATACATCACAAAATGTTTGCTTAATGTATTTGAAAAATTAAGATTCTGGCTTACAGGGAATTATTGCATAATAGCTCAAAGGAAAAATGCTGAGCAGTATTTAACAAAAGGCTTGAAGGGATGAAATATTGTATTCAGTGTAAGGTATTGTATTCAATGTACTTTGAGAAAATGTGTTAGGAATCACTTTTGTATGTACATGTTTTAACATAAATTCTCAAGCTTTTCAGAGAGATCCTCATATAAAATTATTCTTTATGAGCAGAATTCATGTAAACTTTAAAAATTCTTAAAAAATCTCTTTTACCATTTTTAAGGATAATTTTTTAATAGCATTTAATTCTTGTGATTCTTGAGGTTATATTGTAGAAAATTGTACTGAGGAAAATTGTACATTGTATTTTTTAGGGATTTTAATTGATCTTGTATTGATGTTAAGAATAAGGATGTTTCATTTAGTTTTAACAGATATTAAAGTTTGTTTTTCAGGGGGCATGAGGCTTTATATCTGGCTTTCTTTCCCTAAAAAGTATAATTTCTCCCATATCATTATAAGGTGTGATGTTAAAATTCATTCTCATTTCACCATTAATTTAAAAAGAAGTGAAAATTTGATCATTTTGAAATACATTGAATTGCCTTTAAACACTTTGATCTTAATGTTGAGACCATGACCGAGTGCTGAACTTTGCTGTGTAGCCGATCGTGTTCTCCAATTAATCCTAACATACAAAATTTTCCTGTAAAATTTGCTTTTTATTGAAATATTTGGATTTTCGCATATGTTATTTAAAGGCTATTTCTTATAATAAACAGAAAATTCTAATATTTACATTTAAAATAAAACTCAGAATAAGTTAATGTGCAATATTAATCAAATCTCTTGCACTGTGTGAAACAATTTGAAATCCTGAATGCACGGTGTAAGCATCACGCATTTTGTATTTATAGAATAAAACAATATATAATATTCAAAATAACAAGATTCCATTCAGTAAGGTTTCACAACCTGACAAAATTGATTCGCATTTAAAATTTGAAATAAAACATTTCATTTCAGCATATCAAATATGGTAAGGTGGGCTATGGGTGACACTTTACTCCTGTGTCATATTTGATATGGTAGGTCCATAGTTGGAAATTGAAATGTGTCATGTATGATATAGTGGGAGTGAAGAGGTTTAATGCAAAGCAGAAATATAATTTCAAGTCATGTGTTGAAAATTCTGTAAATGTGAAAAATTTATACTGAGAGAGTGACGTAAGCTTAATTCTCTCAGCATAAATTAAGTGCTTTATGTTGAGAAACTTTTAGTATCTATTAATATTAAATAATTCGATTATAATTTGAAAATGAATTTTCATTTGAATAAATTTTACATTGTTTACTGTTTAAGATTCTAGTTTTCATACAAATATGTTTGTTAGTTTATTTACTGATAGGTTTATATTTCTTCTGTCTCTCTAGACCTGTGATAGGCAAACTTCTTTGGGAATCGGCCAAAAAACAAAAGAAAAAAAAAAAAAAAAAAAAAAAAAAAAAAAAAAAAAAAAAAAAAAAGAAAAAAAAAAACTAGCGAACCAATGTAATTTATTCTAAAACTTTAAAAAGAGTTTAAAAATGCTACAAAACAAATATTAATGAGTGAAACTGCAACTGCATTTTAAAAAATTCCTTAAATGTTGTACTGTGTTGTACTACTTCTGAGAAGTGGTGCTAAATTCTCATCTGTCAGTCTATTTCTAATAGAAATCTTCTTAAGTTTCATGGTTTTCAGTCTATTTCTAATAGAATTCTTAAGTTTCATGGTAGAAAGCACTTGTTCACAAATATAAGATGAAGCAAACACAGCTCTAATTTTCTGGGTGTGAGATATTAAATTTGGGAAACTTTCCTTCGATAATGATTTGTAAAACTCAGATTTTGGAGCTCTGAGAAACAGCTGCTTGAGATGATTGTTAAAGTGCAACTCTATTAATTAAAGCTGCAAATCTAGCCTTACTGCTTTGCAATTTATGTTGAAAGGCATGGTGGAAAGATCCAATTCTATTTGAATGGCATTAAAATCTTTAAATCTGCATTTAAACTCAAAATGCAGTTTTCTCAGGCTATCTTCATATCTTCTATATCATTCTTAAGGTCATCTTCATTCACTGAGGATATTGAATTTAACCTCAGGAAATGAGCTTAGCTAGCTGCCCAGCAAGCAGATCAAGTTCTAGTTTAAAATACTGTCGATAAATAGTTTTGCTCCCCCTGCTTCTTGACATTTAAGTAGTTCATGTGACAAAGAAGTTCTGTGAAAATTGCAAAGTCTGAAAACCATGTTGTGTCTTTCAACATTTCACATTCTGCAGAACACTGTTTTTTGTGGAAGAAAGACACATTCTCATATTTTAGCTGCTAAACTCAGTAACACACTCTGCACTAAGTCACCTTACTTTCATGTAGTACAGCAAATCAGAATATTCAGATTGCATGGACTAAAAAAATTCTCTAAATAGCCTGTGAGTAAGTCCATGAGATTGAATAGTATTTGTAAGCCTCAGATTACATCAAGCACAATTGTCATATTCAGTTCAGATTTACACAGTGCATCTTGAGGAAAAATGAAATTTAGAAAGCTATTTTTTCCCAATTTTGATTATAATGTCCAAGAAATCCAGTTTTTTTTCATGTCATATTGAGTGCTCCATCGGTTGTAATATTAAATATGTACTTCCAAAGCTGAAAGGCCTTCCAGAATTCACAAAAAAATATTATATCCTGTTGTACTTCCTTTTAATGCCTGAATACATGCCAGTTCCTCAGTAATTTCAAAATTCTCATCACACCTGTTATAAATAATACTAGTTGAGCAGTATTGTTTGTATCAGTGCTTTGTGATGTCAGATTTTTATTCATGGCTTCCACTCTAGAGATATCATTTTTCAAGATATGCAAGGTTTCAAAATCCTTTTCCTTGCCTGGACATAAACTAGTAGCGTGCATTGTTTAATGAACTCCCCACCACTGAGAGCTTTGTTACTTTTAGATTACTTATATTGTCTAGTAATATGGTAATATTTAATATATAATGATATATATTCTACAGTAATATCGTTAACATGCAATATAATTTTTTTTATTTGTGGCAGGCCGGATAGAACCTTCAAGTGTGCTGAAGCTGGCACAGAGTCTGTAGTTTGCCTATCCATGCTCTAGACTGTTAGCTCAGTTTCTTAGCAAACCATATTTGATTTTTTTTTTGTAAATTAAAATAGCTAATAGTTAATTATTGTTCTTCTTGTAAGTTAATAATTTGTAAAATGTTATTTTGACTAAATGCTTAATAGGTCTTGCCAGTCGCATATACCTTCAAAGATCTTTTTGAAGTTGTGTCAAAAAAACTCAAGGAAGAAAAAAATATTAAATTTTCTAATGCCTCATCAGCCAAAGTAAACATTTTTTGTTGTTTTTTTTATTTCTAGCTTATAATTTAAGATGCATACTGTTTTAATTCTTAATTAATTTTATTATTAAGTATTGAGATGTAAATCTTTGTTATTTTTTTAATTTTATGATTTAAACTTAAAAATTGCAAGAAAATTAAATAGATATATTATATGGTATATATATATATATATATATATACCTTACATTTCTTTTTTTTTTTAACAATTCATGCATGATTTTAATCATTGTGTAGAATCCCTGCCTTAGCACCTCCTTAAAAGAATTTCTTTTAATGGCTTTCAAATTGAAACAGAAAGAAGTTGAAATACCTTTACCTGAATTAAAAAGAAATCTTGAAATTATATTACTGAATATGATAGGGGAAGTGAATGAGAAAGGAAAGGAAAAAATAATGGAAAATCATAGGCATTATCAAGTAAGAATATTCTTTAAATATCTTTTCATCTTATAAGATGACTTACTGTACTTGTTGTTTGACTTTGTCATTTGAGTTTGAATGACACTGAAAGTTCTGAGCAGGCGTTCCCAACTGCTTAGAATAGGTGATTGTTATATTGGCTAATAACAAAAAAATTTAATATTTATTTTGAAGATATTAACTAATTTTAGTTTTGTTTTACAAATTATTGTAAAAGGAAGTATGCATAGTTATATTGATTGATCACAAAAGATCTTAGTGTGGTATTTGAAAAAACATTGAATAAAAATTAATAATTCTATCAAAATTATTATAAAATAATATATATAAATTTTTATTATATTATAATTTGATAATATATAATTATAAATTAAATGTATTATAACAGTAAAATTCTTATAAAATAAATATATTATAAAAATAAAATATCAGTCAACTAATGTCAGTTTTTCAAAGAGCTAATATACACTGACTAGGTATCATTTTTATAGTAGAGACATATGCAATATTATTACATAGTTTGTTGTGCATGGCTCGACACAGATTTTGTTCTAAATTAACATGCTATGCAGTGTGTTCAGAATCAATATTTAGAGGAAATTTAATGGTTCATAAGACTTTATTTAATGAAGTGGATAATGCTTAAATAAAGATGGATCATTAAAGATGTTAAAGAGTATGTTATGATTAGGTAGTTAGATGAAGAATACGTGATTTTTCCAAACGTTGTATTTTATCTGATTAAAATCTCTATTTTGGTGAAAATATATTATCTCTCTCTATATCAGTTATATATATGTACGGTATAAAATATGAAATAATTGCTAACTTTAATTTAGCAGTAATTCTTTTAACTAGGCTATGTCCCATACCTGGAATCTAACTGCATCAGTTGAAAACTAACCCATATTATGCCATCTGCAATGGGTTAAGTTCTTTTCTTATCATAGTCCAAAGCTTAAACAAAGAGTTCATCTCTCTAAATACCTCAGTTGCTGAATATGAGCTTACTTTTTCTCTTCTCTGCTGACCTGTTAATGCTCCTTATTTCACTGTATCATCTAGTTTGTTGTTCATCTAGTTTGCACCCATAGTGATGTATAAAAGAGAATCTGTGTTGTAAAAATTATTCAAGAAATAAAATTACTCAGTGAACTTTTGGTCAACTACTTTTGGTCCCCAAGTTCCATATGTCTGTTACGCATCCTATTCATATGCCAGAAATATCTGTAGCCATGTCGACCATGACTAAAAAATAATTTGCGTCTTCTATCCCATGCATCCTTAATTTATTATATTTAATAGAGATCATTTATAGAATTATTACATTTTTTTAATTAGTTGACAGGATCTTTCAAGTCCAGAATGGAAAATTTATTTGACAATCTGTTCAGTATTTAGCAATGTAAAGAATGTATTCTCTAAATAATTAGTGATTTAATGTTTCAAGAGTTCAAGCATTAGCATTGATTTCAAGGTCATCGAATTTAAAAATTTACACAAAAGTGATTTCATCTCCCTGCTCAAAGCGATATTTATCCACTTCATATTTCCATGTTTTAATTTGCAGTTAACAGATGATGTATGTCTATAGTGTGGATTGATAATAATTTTCTTTCGATATAAGTTTGTGAAATTATAATTAATTCAGCAATACACAACTGAGAAATATGCTACAGACAACAAAGTTCATATCGAGTATTTTATTTTAAAGTTATTTTGATTTTGCTGTTTTGAAAAAACCTAAAAGTTAGCCTTAATCAAATGAAAGCTTAATAATTCTAAATTTTCTTTGAAAGGTTTTGCATATATAAACTTCATGAATACACTTAATTTCATTATTTTGCAAATAATTGATATTAAAATTTTTTTCATTTCTATGAAGTAAGTAATTTATGATTTTGAATTAAATATGGAATGATGTTTCTCTCACTATATTGAATTAAAAAAAATATATATATAGTATACATTGCCATTTTCAAATCTTCAAGTAATCATCTATAAAAACTCAGCATCTTTTAAAATAAACTCGCTCTGTGTGAACTTTAAAATGAAATGATCTTGGTTTGCTCAAAGTGGCAATTTTAAATTTGCTATCTATTTTTAGAAAATTTCAAAATTTAAGTTGGGTTTTTAATTGATAGTTTTATTACTTTTTACTGTAATTTTCATTTACATCTGTTAAAAATTTTTGTTTGTTATGAATGCTTATTGCTTTCCATTTTTTCCTTTGTGCAATGCAAAGTAACTATTTTTTCATTTTTATAGCACTCAATTTTTTTTTAAATTCTTCTCCAAAATCTCTTTTATTATTATTTTTCTTTTTAATTATTCTGCTTAAGGCTATAAAGATTGTTGAATCATGGAGAGAAATTTTTCTAATTGCTGCGAAAATGAGACATGAGGAAGTTGAAAGAGTTTCTTCTTCAAAAAAAGCAGAAATAGAAGAAGAAGCAGATTTAAAAATTTTTAAAAATGATGAAATCCGGTTTGAAGATAATGAGGTTTGCTAGCATTCTATTTTTAAAGCTATATATATCTATCTAAAATTTTACTAATATTTCATATAAATCTGCATTCGTATATATATATATATATATATATATATATATTTGTCTGAGGTTATATTTTAGATTTTAAACCTTCTGTAGAAAGCAGATTGAATCAATCATAAAATGTACTAGTTATTATGCACTATATTTATTACAAGATGAACAACATAGTAAATAACAATTTATAAAATTTTAATCCAGAGATATAGCTGGAAACTTGAAATGAGGATCTATTTCTGTTTTGATATCACATTTCAAGAGTTAGTAAATATTCAGTCCATGTAGTAAAAGTAGCCTATATGTCTGAATGGGTAAAAAAAGAGTCATAGGTGATCAAAAAAGACTAACCTCTATTTTGTGGAAACCATAAATAATTATTTTATTCATACTCACAAAAGTTTTTAAATTAAATGAATTAAAAAGTGTGATATTTAATATAATTTTTAATTATTTGATTATCTTTTATAAATAATTAAAATTAAGAATATAAATTATAATGATAGTTTAATTCCTTGTTTAAAATTTAATGAAAAAGCATAATTATGTATATTTTTTTAAGAATACATTTTTTACAAAGAGCATTTTTTATATTTTTCATTTACTTGCTGGTTCTTAGCAGATCATTAAAATGACATTCGGTTTTAATTTATGCCTTGAACTTGGTATGTGCACTATTTTTCCCAATTAAAGGATTTTTTTTTTTTTTTTAAAGCTTTATATAATTTAGCACATTTTTTTTCAACTCTACTAAAAAGTATTTAGTTAATTCTCTTCAAAAAATATGTTAGCCAATAATCATTTCAGGAATAACAAACCAATTACCACAATCCCAGGGTAATTGCTAATTGTTCAAAAATTAGAATAATTCACATAACTAGTGCAGTTACCTTGAAGTATACACTGGTGTGCAAAAATTAAGAACGAGACGGTTTTTTCAATATAACTTTGTACAAAAGCTTTCCAAATCAACACATTTAATACCGTAAGATCCCCAATACGTAAGGACATGAGTAATGTAAGTAACACTTACTAAAAGAGAAATCACAGGGATAAAAAGAAGCTTTATTGAAAAAGTAGCATGGAGCGCAATGCGACTGAAGGCCAAAACATCCCTTTGATGGGTGTCCAGCAAGAAACATCCGGTCTTTAATAGGGGATATGATTTCCCCTGACTGCTAGGCAGGTTTCACAGCGTCTGCCCATGCTGAGAATGAGGGTGTCAATGAGTTGTTGAGGCATTGCTGCCCATTCGTCTTGCAGCGCCAATTGAAGCTCCGGAATCGTTAGTGGTGGAAAGGTACGAGCTGCCAAGCGTCTGCCTAGAAAATCCCATACATGCTCGATGGGATTGAGATCCGGAGATCGTGCCGGCCAATTCATACGTTCAATATCCTCACTCTCTAAGAGCTGTTCGGCAGCTACTGTGCGATGACATGGTGCATTGTCGTCCATGAAAAGGAACTGCAGACCCATAGCGCCTCTAAAAAGACGCACATATGGAAGAAGAATCTCGTTACAATAACGGTCCCGTTGACTGAACCTGCGTCGAAGATGTGAAGGTCTGTACGACTACCAAGCATGATGCCTCCCCAAACGAGAACACCGCCACCTCCATACCTGTCCCTTTCAATGATATTCAAGGGATGATTGCGGCTTCTCCACTCTCTCCAGATGAGATGTGATGAGAATCGCTACTCAGACTGAATCTGCTCTCATCTGTAAAGAGTACTCGTCCCCATTCATTGTCTCTCCAATTCTGGTGTCCCCGGCACCACAGAGAACGCCTTCTCCGATGGGCAGGCCTTAGACGTACACACCGTACAGGGCGTCGTGCAAACAGATCACCACCGTGCAGTCTTCTGGCCAGGGTAAAACGCGATATCGGTCGTCCAGTCGCCTGTGTTGTGTGTCTAGCGATTTCTCCCGTTGTCTGCTGCCTGTTTCTTCTGGCCTGTAAGGCAAAATACCGGTCATCTGCGGGTGTGGTTCCTCGTGGACGACCGCTACTAAACCCCCAGATATCTGTTCCTGTAGTTTGAAATTTGCCACACTTGTCACACTGCAGCCTTCCTCCAACTTCCCAATGATTCGACCTCGGGTAAAAGCATCCAGATGTCGTCTAACAGATTGATTATTCGCCATTTCTCGCTGAGGCAGCAACTCGGTGTGGTTTTAACTGCAATACGGCATGCAATCTCTTTGCCAGAAATACTAATCTTACACCGACAACATGCTTTATACTACTCAGACACTCCCCCATTACGTCTACCTGCATATCTGCGCATGTGCTACCGTACATCACCTTACTTAATCTCCTGATTGGTCTTTCTGTCCGCTCTGCCTCTTCGTTCAGCTGATATGCTAATTTTTCGACTTCGTCCTTAATTTTTGCACGCCAGTGTATATTTTATTATATGAATATTTAAAAGTACTTATTGCATAATAAAATTTAAAATATTAATGGTGATATTTTTTAATAATTGCATTTTGTTGATTTTTTTCATAGAATTACTTTGATTGACCTTATTATTTTTTTAAGCAGATTTATCAGTTGACAACATTTTGGAAGAAAGTTTTTGCAGCTGTTGTTGAAATGAAAAAAACTGAAAATAAAGGACTGAAACAGCTTTTAGAATTATCACGGGCTGCTGATTCCAATAAAAATGTAAAAATTAAAATCTGAATCTTAATTTATTTGCTCAAAATACATTATGCATTATTTGTTGATGACTTATATTATGAAGACTTAACTTTTTGTTAATTGATCACTTAAAAAATATAATAGAATAATATGCTTATAAACTGAAGAAATTTAACGTGTTAATACTTAATGGATGAAAGGATTCACATTTCTGAAGTAAAAGGGCTGCAATTCTACTGTGTGTATAGTACACACATAAATTAATTTTATATTAACCAGTTTACAAAACTCTTTAAAGTAAAAAGTTTACTAATATTAAGAAACAGCTATTCAATATTACTGTATTTATTTGAAAATAAGACTAACTTTTTTGTTATATTTTTTGTTCTAAATTTGGAAGGGTATTTTAATCAATAGGTATTTTAATAAATGACTCAAAAGTGCTATCAGAATATTAAAGTAATACAAGCTTGTTATGTGCAGTGCAGCTGGAAGATTTGATACTGAAATTCAGATATAAAATATCTTTGGATGTTTACAGGTGATTTGCTTTTTTTATAATCACAACCAATGCAGGTTCCTACATTTTCAACACTGTAGGTGATCTACAATATTATTACACCTTATTGAAACATTAATATTCAGGCTAATAATTTTTGATTCAATGTACTCTCAATTATCTGGGCCAATGCAATGGAAGCAAGTCACCGATAGTTGAAAAACATGTATAATCCAAACTATTAATTTTCATGCATATTGTATGTTTTTATTTCATCAAAAAATCAGTAATTTTACTTTGTTTTTGAATACGTTTAAATCTTTATTGAATTTCATTGTGTATTTTTTGAAGTGCTATTTTATTTGAATCCCCTTTGATTAATGAAGTCCAATAGAGTTTCAACAGAAGTTTTTGCTGTCTGATGACTAATGTAGTTGCCAGTTGCTTCACTTGTACTGTCAGCATCACTCTCTGCCTTTTGGGACATTTGAAATGATATCTGTATCATTCAAGCATTGGAAACCCGGCCCAGTTGAATCACTGTCAAACGATTCCTTGATGTTTTCTCGATCAACAATTTTGAAGAATTTTAAAGGAACAATGCAATCTGCAACAATAACTGAAATAGATAATTAGATAATTTTAGCCTAGCTTATACCATCCGTTATACATTAAACGCGCATGTATAAAGGTATTATGAGCATGCGTAAACACATTATGCATTTACGCATGCACAGCAAGTTTGTAGCTTTGATGTCCGGATTATAGATCATCCCGGATTATGGACGTATGGATTAAAAACTTTATACTGTATTCAAGTACGAAGGTACTTCAAAAACGCAACATAAATTTGGAACTAACACTCCTACTTGAACTCTTAAAACCACTGCTTAAATACTGATTCCGAACTCACTTACATTTGCATACTTCATCATTAAAATTTACATTCTGGCAGGAAACTGAAATCAGAAGGGAAAGGAAAGGTTCTAAAACTAATAATAATTAGAATAAAAACAGAGGCCAATGGATGAGATTCTGTGATCCACCGATTGGTGAAGATTTTAATTATTTTCTGGATAGTTGATTTCCTCAAGAGTATTTTCATCATATATTTATCTTTATTATAATGCAGACATTTAATAACTTCGTATTCAAATATTTAATTCATTCTATCTTTTTTTTTTAGCAGTCAAAAGGTCCTGGAGTTTCCATTGATGAAGAAAATGAATATTTTGAAGATGTAATTGATAATTTGCAAAAAGAGGAAGACACATTCCAGTCTAAGGTTAAAATTAGTAGCTATGCAGTATTTTCTGTTATTTTTGCATTCAAAATACTATTTTAGAAATTTGTTAATTTTCATTTGTTGGAACTTTATTTATTTTATTTTTTAGATTTAATTTGCTCATTTGAATATTATGCTTTAAAAAATTTATTAGTTACTTTGTATTTTCATGTATACTGCCTGAGAGAGAAAATACTTCCTGTAAAAAAACAAACGCATTGCCATGCAAATTACTGTAGGATTGCATACATGTAAATTATGCAAATGATTGCATTTGCTAGCAAATCAGGTGATTAATATGCAAACGATATGAGCATTTAAATAATAAAAGAAGTAATCAGTTTTTCAGCTTCATCACTGCTATAATATTCAAGCTTTTGTGCTATTTCCATCTGTTAAACAATGATGACAAGCAGGATTCGTGTGGTCTTAAAAGTACTTTTTTGAAAATGATTTATAATCCTTAATTTATATCAAAACTGTCAAAAAATCCTTAATTTTTGTCATGTGACATTTCTGTTTTTTTTTTCCTTCTTTTTTTTTTCCTTTATAGTCCAAAGAGGCTATTGTTTTCATTTTGCGTTTTTGCGTCGGATCATTATAAACAGCATATCACTTTTCAAATTGTTGCCACCAAATGTTAGAGTCCTGCATTATATTTGAAGAAATTAAATAATGAACAATCTGCATAAATGTATGTATGTTTCTCACATTGTGATAAAACAACGGTACTTAGAGCCATCCAGTTTTGAATGCCGTGATCCTACTGCGAATATGGGCATCTGAAAGCCCAAATTTGGAATTTGTTTTATTACCGATTTCATATTTTGTAAAACTTTAATGAATTTTTGATTAACAAACTCATCGATTTAAAAGCGAGCAATGACAACACTCTACAAGGGAAAAAAACAAGTGGCAGAACTGTGTATCATCATAAATTCTAGAGATATGCTTATTTTAAAATTATTTTGCGACATTGCTGTTGAACTGACTTTTATGGTTAAGTGCAAAGAACATGATATTTAATAAATAAAGGAAATACACAACACTTTAAATGTAATTAATTTTTTTTAATTAAGTTTTTTTATAGTTATTGTATTTATATATTTTTTTACAACTGTCATTTTGAGTGTGAATTAACATTTTGGAGAACTATTTTTTTGGTGATGCACTGACAAAATATGTGTGATGGGTTAATGTCTCGATTCTTTCTTCTTAACATAAATAGTAGATACTTGAGCTGTAGATACAAGGCCCTACTTCAACTGAAATAGAAACATTTCAAAGTAATTGTTTTTATGCATATGAAGAATTCATAAAATATTATATCAGAATCAGCATCTCCATTATTGAGATATGAGTTCTTTCATTATGCCATGCTAAATTTGGTGACTTATCAACATTTCAAGATCACTTTGTACACAAAATTTTTTATTTGGAGATTTACAATTTTTCCCCCTCTACAAACATAATAACACTGATAAATATCATAAAACTAATGATAATAAACTAAAATTATACTTAAAAAATAACATTAAACTAAAACATTTTTAAAGTGACATTACTTTCCATTTTGGTGACTTAGAATTATTTTGATTCTGAAAAATAAGTAGGATAATGATTGCTATAAATTCTGAAACACTTCGTAGTGAAAAACAAAAATGCTACTATCATTATTTAAAAATTAATTTCATTTGTCTTTATATTTTTTCATGTTAAGAGTTTTTTCCCCGTGTAATTGTTTTAGAATATATAAATGTGCATCAGTTTTCTCTTGAAAATTCACTTTTCCTACTCATTTCTGAATTTTTTCAATTATTTTCTGGCTTTTTGCTCTTCCAGTTTGATAGGGATAAATTTTTTTTTTCAGATTTTAGACTTTTCACCTTGGAAGGTCTAAAGGCAAGATTTATAGATTATTTTTTCAAAGGCAATATTTGTAGACCTACAATTTCCAGAAAAATATGACAAAATGAAAAATGTCTTCATTGTTATTAACATGTAATGGATGAGTTTTATGGGAAATTTGTGATGAATTACTTATCTTTTGGAGAATTTTTGGAAGAGCATTGAAAAGAAAATTATTTGAATTGTCTCCCTTTTATCCCAGAATTCTTTCTCTTAATATGTTTATCTTCCTTTTATTTCCTTATCTTTTCATTTGCCTCAAACATCAAAGAAAGAAAAGAAACGGAAAACTGGCAGTGAATTAAAAGATCATATATTTCTCATTCACCATCCATACCTGAGTGCCTCTCTTAAATTCTAAAAATTTTGCCCTGAATTTTCTTGCTTGGTGCTTCACTAAATTCTAAAAATTCTGCCACACTGGCTCTGGTGGTGGTCTTGATTTTATATCATTTCATATTTCTTTTCAATACTAATATTATTAAAGAAATAAAATTAGCAGTTTCTACTTAACATTCTAAGTACAGGCAGTTCTCTAGTATAATTAAAATCTTTAGTTAAATCCAAAATCTGTAAAATGAAGAGAGAAAAGAAACTGAATTTGGAAAATAAACTGGTTTTATAAAGAGAGAGGAAAATTATTCTTTGAAGATACATTGCTGAAATATTAACAAATTTAGGAGAGGAAGCAGAGACTAGTGGGACCATTGATTTGTTTATTGAAATAAATAAACTTAGAAATGATGCTAAAGAGAAGGAAATTGATATAAATAAGCTAAAATATCTGGATAATTTTCAAGTTAAAAAGAATATTTTGTTTTTACTGCAAAACATACATTTTTATAGCTTTGATGTATAGTTATAGTAATATCTTTTTAGTATCATTATCATAAACTGTAACTGCTGTAAAATGTTCTTAATGCTTTATTTATTGGATATTTCTTACAAATAAAAATGTAATTGCAACCATGTAAATGTATTATGACTAACTCTTCACCCTTAGAAGTTATCTCTACATGTTGAGTTATTTCCTTTCCTTATGCAAGGTACAACACGGTGTATGCAAGGTGTATGCAAGGTACAACACAAAAATGTCAAAATTAATGTGAAAATTTATTCCTTACAGCTAATGAGACTTAAAATAATGCAAAACAATCTCTGGTACTTTAGTGGCTTATTGGAAGTTTGTATTAAATACTGTATATTAACTGGGTTACAAATTGAGCAAATCTACATGAAACTATGACACAATAGGGTCAGTCGAAGTGCAACTAACTTTCAGCACTTACCAACATCAGGTGTTTATGTCTGTTTGGATCAGTGGCTCTCTGTTTCTAAGCAAGCAACTGCCGGGGCAACAATCAAGCTTTTGTTTATGAGTCATACTAATTATTATTTTACTTCATAGTTTAACTTATGCCACTTGTTATAAAATTTGCACATACCTCTGAACTGAGGGAGTTTGTGACGAAATGAGGCATAAAAGAAAGAATCAATAAGTTAAATGCTAGATTATGTTTAATAATAATGTATCCTACTTACAGATTTATTTTATTCTTACTAATTGCAAAAGTGGTTTTACAAAAGTGAAGTTTGGGTATAGTTAAATGCTTTAGTTTATTCAGCTACTATTTGCTTGATAGGTCCTTAATGTTTTTCATTGATGGTCCTTAAAAGTACTTAATTTCTATGTGCAGAAGTGTGTATGAATCCTAGACAATTCAATACTCTTAAGACATACATGATAGAGTTCAAGAGGGGCTTTACTGCTCATTGGTCCTTATGGTGTATTAATACAGATTAATACCACGACTGTTTACTAGACTTAGAGCATTGGACCCAGGAACAAACTCCTGGGTCCAATGCTCTAAGTCTAGTAAACCATAGAGAATGAAGAACAAGGAGACAGATCTCAGAATGCACTAATCACCGCATATGAGTCATGCCATATCTGAACCGTTGTCCAACCTGGAGACATTTTGAGAAGTTACAGAATGTTTACACTATTTTAATGCCGACACAGACAGTTTCAAGACAATTGGCTAATGCATGTATAATATCCAACTATCCTTCTGAGTTTCATGAAGAGTGCTCCTTTATCAAGAATGTTTGCAAAGGTGTTACAGTCTAGTTATGTGGAGTGCCAAAGACCATATAGTCTTCAGTGATGAATCTCACTTCTACCTTGTAAATGATGATTGCTGTGTGAGGGTGTACGAGTAAAGGCACTGTGGCCACTGAATGGATGCATCTACCATTTTTTATTGATACATTGGCTCATTAATGTGGAATAATGATTTGGAGTGCTATTATTGCTAACTGGTGTTCATCTCTAGGGTGTATTACAGAGACATTAACAGCTTGCTGAAATGTTGATGATAAGCTGCTGCCCTAGTCTTGTTCCTTAAAGTATCTTGGACGTCATTATTCAACAAGATAACACCTGGCCATATGTTGTTGATCTCAATCTGAATACACTGGTGAGCAAGTGCTTCCTTCTTTGAGCAGCTTCATTCCTCAATCTCTCATCAACCAAGCACTTGTTTAGACATAATTAAACATTGGTTGAATACCTTCTTCCCTCCATGAAACAAAGCTGATTTATGGGATCACATCAACAATGTGTGGTGCACAATTTGATATAATTTGGACAAAGGTTGGTTTGATGCAATGAAATATGGCTAATATATATATTAATTATATTTCATTGCATGAAACCAACTTATGACCAAAACTAGGATGCAAAATCTTTTTGATGTTCTGTATATTTAAGTGTCTTAATATCATACATCTTTGAAAATTAAATCATTTTTTAATGCTTGATTATCTGTCTACATGCAAAATTAGGTCTGTTTGTAGTCATTGTGGCATGGCTTGACATTTTTGCAATCAAGCAGTATATTTAGTTTATTAAAATTATTTCACGTTATCACTGTTTCCCTAGTCTCTGAGAAGTAAATATATATTTTAATGTATTTTCCCATAAAGGTGTGTCATTTTGTTTTTCTACCCTAGTATTGATATGAACAAAATATAAATAAGCAAAATATTATTGTCATTACTGCTCTGAAAGTTTCATTATGCAGTGAAACTTATGACAGTGACACCTCCCATAGATGTCCACCTTCTGAAAACACAAATTTAATGTTAAACATTATCAATTGTAATGTTACCTAAGGCTACTACATTCTCAGAAGGTCTAAATCATCTGGAATCATATTAATATATGATATATGATTCCAGATGATGGGAGAAATATTTGATTAATTTGATAACTCTGCACATTTATACTCATGCAATTCTTTCTATTTCAAACATGCAAATTCATAACATTGTTTTACATTTTGTCATTTACAGGCATTAAATGCTGTAGATACTTGTAAACAAATTTTAGCCATAGCTATTGAGAAAGAATCGAAAAATCTTGAAGAAAGAGAGCATGAAATGAGGCCAATTTTGAGTATGGAATATGATGAAGAAAACGTTCAATCATTTGAAAGTGAAGTAATAATATTGATAATTATTCTGAGATTTATTTTTAAATTAAAAATCAAGAATGATATGGCCTTTATATACAATTTTGAGTTTTTTTGCTTCTGTATATTATTATCTTAGTCTACAGATTTTTTACTCATTTTGTCTAATAATTAAAAAATTGTTCTTACGACGAAGTGTTACATTAAAAGTTATGGTAATTATTAAGGAGCAAGCAATATTTCATGAATATTTTGAACAATTCTATCCCTTGAAAATAAAATTTGATGACAATAATGAAGATTTACAGAGAGGTATCTAAAGTATAAATTTCTCAAAGCTTTCCTTTTTTTTTTTTTTTTTTTTTATGCTGAAATAAAATATAATGATTCAAAATTTGGAGTATGAAATTTTCTTAGGCATGCATGTTTCTTTACCTTAATGTAAGTTCTGCTATTTTGCTCCTTTTTTAATTAATTGAATTTGATCATCTGTTTGGATAAATATTGAAATAATGCATTTATATTGAATTGCTTGTCATAATATTAAAATATTGGCATTTTCCTTATAATATTAAATAAAGTCAAAATTTAATGAAATAACAGGAATTTTCTCTTTAGAACCTAAACTTTTCAATTTCGTGTAATGTCTATATTAAAAAAAAATCTTGAATTTAATTTCTAATTTGATTTTTATTAAGCACCAAAAACTTAATTAGAATTGAATAAAAAATCATTGCATTTGACTTGTTTATGGAAAGTTAACTTTTTGTGAGTAATCATGAAGCATATTAAAAGAATTGTGCATAGCATAAAGTTGTTTCAAATAGTAAACAGGAAGCTGTATATCAAGGTCAAATTGCAGTTTCTTCTTAATTTTATGAGTTTCTTATATTTTAATTAAAAAATATATGTACACAACTGAACTTTATAACAAAGCATGCTCTGCAATAGTTCTTAATTTTTTTCATCTATGCTTTGCATAGTACTCCATACCTTAATGAAAATGATAACTTACAATGAATGCTGCTCTATTAGAAGATTAAATGAAAAGCTTGAAAGTGCTTTAATTTGTACAATCTTTTAAAAATCCATTTCTAAAATTAGTACATCTCAGGTTTGCTTATGATCAAAACTTGGGTGGAAGTTAAACAGTAAGTGAGCCTTTCAAGTTAAGCAAGACCCCTAATACATCTACTTCAGTAATACTATATTCATTTCTAGTTCAGTCATAAAAAAATTAATCTTGTGAAGTTCAAAAACTTGTCTTTGCAGTCTAAGGTTATTCATTTAATTTCAAAAGTTGCGATGTTTGTTTTGCTTTTATGAAACCATGTGTTGTTTTACAGGTGACTACAGCCCTTGATAAATCTAAGCAATTATCTTTGTCATTTGCTGAAACTGTGAAGGAACAGATTTCTACCATAAAAAACTGTTTGGAGACTTTGAATGATATTAAAGAAAATAAGAAAGCTATGGTAATAGCAATAAAGCACTAAGTAAATTTTAATATTTACTTTATTTAAATGAGGATTGCTATTGTGCCAATTTTTATTCTTTCTGTATTAAAATATTATAATTTTACATTTATCTGAATTTATGGGTTGATAATTATAATTGATTTTTTTAATGATTGTATGTTAAAATTATAAGTTGCTTCTTTTTTGTAGTTGAGATAAAAAATTTATTTATTGAAATAAAGTTATTTTTATTTTATAGGATTTTATAGCAATTTTGTGCTCTAAACATATAATAATTTCACATATCTCCAAATTTTTCTCTACATATAAAGGCTTATTTGCAACAATTTGTAACTGTGAAATTAAAGAAACTTCTTTCATTTATGAAGTATTTCAACTAATTAAGTTTCTCAGTAAAGGAAGACTGGGGGGGGGAGAAGAAGAATGCAGAGTTGCCAACTCTCCCGATTTAAGCGGGAGACTCCCGCTTTTCGACCGCTCTCCCACCAACCCGATTTACAATATATTTCTCCCGACTTTTTCTTATTCTTAAAATTTCTCACGATTTTTATGCAACTTGGCTTAATACTTTGTTATATGAATAAAAACAAAGTGCTTTTGGATGTCTGAAAGCAATTGAATTATTCTACATTATATCTAAAACAAAACCTTGCTAATCAGATAGCTTCTGCTTTGTGAGTGAGAGCATTATACGTATCCAGAAACGTCGTTCTCCAGTTCTCCAATGGGCTTCGAGCTCCACTGCGTGTCAGCCTGGCATATATTAGCCAATGAGGACAAAGTAAGTTGTTATTTGGACGTGCTTTAGTTATTTCTTTCATTTTGTCCAGAGTTGTGTGAGTACACGTGCCTTAGGGAAATAGTTTTAGAAATTATCGTCTTTTGTTACGTCTGCGAGAAAGTGAAATACTCGTGTACGTTTCAAAAATCGTACACAGTTGACTTTCATTCCATATTTCCTCAAAGCAAATGTAATAAATTTGCGATGTGTACCGCCTGTCGTTGCGATTTTTTTTCAATTTCGTCATGGTGGAAAGGGAGGATGTTCTCAAACATGTGCGTACACAAAAACACAAGGATAGCATAAGTTGTTTTGGAAAAAAACGAAAAATTAAATTTTTCTTTCGAAACAAAGGACCAAAAAGTAATTAATGCAGAATGTCTGTTCTCCGCCTTATTACTGGAGCACATCCTGCCACTGAATGCATCGGATCATGCTGCTGCTTTATTTGGAAAAATGTTTCCCTGATAGTGAAATCGCTAAGAAATACTGAAGTGCAAGAACCAAAACAGGTGCAATTGTTAAAGAAATGGTTTGAAAAATAAATCTTCAGTTATTGATTGCATTAAAACAGCTCCTTTCTGCCTCTCTACGGTGGAAGTAATAATACCGATTCAAAAACTGTATCCAATTGTGTTTCTTTTTTTGATCCAGAGTCTTCAAAATTGAGTGCATTTTACTTTATGTTCCGCTTTAGAAGGACATTTGACAGGCTTTAATATAGCACAGCTAATTATTAAAAACTTTAAAGAAAATGCAGACCCTCTGGATAATTGCTTAGCCCTTGGTGCCGATAATGCACCAGTATGGTAGGCTTGGAAGACTGGTGTTGCAGGCATCTTAAGAAAAGGAAATTCAGATTATGAGGTGCACCTGTCACCTCTTAAATTTAGCAGCTGAAAAAGGGGCAGCTTCTTTACCCATAAATGTGGATGAACCACATCGTTGATATTTATTATTATCTTGAAGGAGTTCTAAAGGAAGGAAAAATTGAACAATCCATCCAAGTCTTCATTCAAGTTTTCTAATTGTAACAGCTGCATAACAGCATTTTACAATTAGAAAACTTGGATAATTTATAAAATCAGCTAGGATTGACACCCAGTGGAGTTTAATTGGAAAAGTGAAAGGTGCTGATGGAACGGTAAAATATAGTGAACTGTCTAGAATTGTGTTACCATCTTGACAGTTCCCTATAGTAATGCAGAGTGTGAGAGGATTCTCAGTGTTGTTGCGAAAACGAGAGGACTAAATTTAGATCTAATAGTGATGACACTTTGAAAAACTTTTATTAGCGAAAACAGGCCTACGTGGCAATTGCTGTGAACAAAATTATGAAGTTTCTTTCTTAAAGAAAGCAAATCTGCCACTGTTTATAACATTGTACGAAAACTAAAGTGTCTTTTTTTTTTTTTTTTTTTTTCCTTAAACGATGCAAGTAATAAAGATGTTTTTTATGTGTAAGGTATTTTTTTGTTGCTTGCATTTAAGAATTAGTTACTATTTAAAGTTAATTCATTATTAAAAACTATATTTTTATCATTTAAGAAGTCTTTAACATTGTGAAAAATCTCCTGATTTCTTAAAAAAATCTCCTGATTTTTGAGTGTCATAGGTTGGCAAGTATGAGAATGCAAAAGACATAAGAATAGAAAATTGTATATGTATGTATACTCCTGAAATAGTCACTATTCTAAATTTGGAAAAATTGAAGGAATTTCTGCATTTCTCATTTTACAATGACTACATCAGACATTCAAAATTTATTTTCCTGCAAACACATGGTATTCCGATGGGAAGTTGCTATTCTACTCATCTTTGGAACTTATTTTTGTTTCTAAAGTATTTAAGTTTCTTAAAACCCTTTCTGATAATGATTTCACTAAGTTTGAACACACTTTCAGATATATTGGCGACATCATTACTTTCAACAATGATAATCTCATAGAAAATTGGAACATCTACCTGACTGTCTGAAACTTAATAAAACCAATAAAAATCAAACTATCTGAATGTACTATCTGAATCTTAGTATTAACAATCTTAAAGAAATTAGACTTTTTGATAAAAGAAGAGAATTTAATTTTTATGCTTTTAAACTTATAAATTGGAACTCCAACATATCTTAAAAAGTTATAGTAAATACAGTTATTAGCCAAACTTGCAGAATTAAAAAGGTTTGCACTGAAATAGAGGGGGGGGGAACCTTAAAAAAATCTGGAGTGGTCCACATCTTATAAAGCTTTTTAAAAATATGAATTTTTTTTTATCTGAAAGCTCCAATAGAGAAGCATGTTTTAGAAAGTTATGCAGGTTTTTATTTTGATTTACATTTCTTTTTATTTCTTTGCTTAGCTGTAATTAATTATGGGGCCTACTATTTTCAAGTTGTCATGATAAGCCCATGATATGAAGACTTTTTAAATTTTATCAGCAATGAGAAAAACGCAAAGCCAAATATTTACATTTAACTAGAGCTGGCAGAACCAAAAATCACATATTTGGGCATACAAGGCCAGAAAACTCTTGTCTTTCTCAAGATGCCAAAACTTCAACTTAAGTACACAGAACTAATTTGCATTCTGGTGAGAAATGCAGAAAGGTGAAGTTATAGTAAAGGTAAAAATCATAACTAGTAAATTAACATAAGGTATTCTACAAGTGTATAGTATCTTTGCCACATGGGAATGCTAAATATATGGAGAATCAAAAGTCATCTAAAAAGATTGGAAAGGGGGAGACCTTTGCACTGCCCTCCCCTTCATTTCTACCTGTATCTGTATAGTTTATATAAATGTATGTGTAGATATTTAAATAAATGCTTACAAAAATTATTCTTTACAGAAGTATAAAATTATTTCAATATATATAAAAAGAATTTAACTTAAAAAATTTAATTTTTGATTATATATTTACATAAAAATTTGCAGCATAAAAACCTCTGTTGTGTTTATGTACACGGATGGAGTCATTGTTATTAGACAGTGTATGTCCACCTGAAAGTAATAATTAAAGCTGTTAGTATAATAATTCTCTAAGAAAGAAAAACATTATTTTGAAATTATTGTCCTATGATTTATTTTTTAAGAAAATATAGAATATACAATAGAATGAAAATGTGATTGTGTTAAAATTAAACAACTCAAACTTTTTTTTTTTTTTTTTTTTTACAAATCGAAATGTAATTAAAATTTCTAAAACAAATTATGATTTTCTTTAAAACAAATTAAACACTCATAGAAGCAAGCATGTAGTAATTTATGAGGATGGATAAATTATCCAGAAAATCATGGGAAGACAAATTATTTACATGACTCTATAGAGGAGGTTTTCAGCATGAACTTCAGTTTAGTAAGTATGATTCATAATGAAATGATTTCAGAATCTTTGAAAAAATCAAGTTATCAAATAATATTTCAAATTCATATAAAATGTGACATTCTTATTTCAACAGGTTTCATATGAGGGAAAAACATTGTTTAATTTTTTGCAAATTTTGAATTATCAGAGTTCACTAATCTGAGTTCTATTTCACTTTATTTTGCTCTAGGAGAATAAAATTAGTATTTACCATGAGTAACTGAGAAATAAATTTTTAGTATTAAGAAACAGGAACTTTTTATGGCACTCAAAATAATTTGAATTCCAAACTAAGCTTTAGCTTTAATGATTATAAAAGTAGGTGTTGAATTAGCAACTTTTTAATAGATTTGGTATGTTTCGTTTTGTGTATTTGTATGTTTATTAAATATTCATGAGTTTCAGCAACATTGCAAAAATATAATGATTTTAATATCAGAATACTTTCAGAAATATAAGCAGATGGAATGAAAGACTGCATTTAACATGAATAAGATAGTTTAGTATGTATTCAGACAAAAAGGGAAAATGATTTAAAAACATCATATACTTCTCCTATTTGTTGCATATAAATCACATTACTTATGCAACTTTTATTAGTTGATTAAAATTACGCCACATATGAATTGCAACCTGAAAGTTTAGTTAAGTATAGCATTGTTCATATGCATTCAACCAGTGTAGTATTATTTTCTGTTTAGTTTTCCTTTGAGTGGCAACAGTTGTAAAAAGTTATATTTTTGTAGAATAAACTTTTTTTTTTGTTGTGTTTTAATTTTTTACAAAAGTTATTTAGGTAGAAATGCATTTATGAAGGGACAAAATGGTGAACATTTACTGTCATATCTAACATTTTGTGACTCTTAGTACGTGATTAAAATATAAGAGGTCAGTACTTTAAGAAATACTTAATTGAAATTTTAGTTTTGGTTGCAATGGAGCATCTTGTTAAGATGCCATCTTCGTTATGAACATCGTTTACTAAGACATGTAAAAGTTTAATGTCTCTGTTTGATGATGAAAATATAGAAATAAGTGATGTTAAGATTAAATTAGCTGCTTTAGAATGCATTAGTGCTTGTTTTAATGATGCTTGACAAAAAATTTTAGAACTTGTAGTGCTGACTATAATGGTAAAAGTTATTCTGATAAATTTGAATTTGTAGATTTAAAGTCAAATTTAATGAAGCTATAGTTTGCGTCAATTCTTTTATAGAAAGTCAATCACAACCAAACAGGAATATATTAAGTAATGAGAAATTAAAAATAAAACTTTCCCAAACTTAAACTAATGAAATATGGCAGTAAAGTTAATGAATGGTTGTGTTTCTGTTGTCAGTTTAAACAAATTCACAAGCATAAAGAAATGGAGTTGGAAAACAAATTCCAATATTTAATACAGTGTATGTCGCCAGGTACAAGAACGAAAGAGATCATTGATAGTTATCCACCTAATGGCAGAAAATTAAACACAAGCTATTGAAAGTCTCAACACAAGATTTGGCCATGAGGAATTGTTAGCGGAATACTATGTTTGTGAACTATTAACTTTAGTTTTTAAAAATGCTACCAGACCAAGACTTAGTATCACTCAGTTATATGATAATCTTGAATCTCACCTCAGATCATTCGAATCCATTGGGATGACCTCAGACAAATATTCTGCAATGCTGTTCCCACTTGTGGAGCTGTGTATTCCAGAAGACATGTTGAGAAACTCGGTAGATGAAAAGAAATCATATGGTGCAAAACTGACCCAGCTTCTAAAGGCTGAGGTTGAAGAAAAAGAAAGAATAGCAAAGTCAGGTAGAAAGCAAAGTGATCCCTTCACAAAAATGAAAATGAAAAGTGAAATGAAAAGTGAAAATGTTTATAAAACATTTTCACTTTTCATACCTAGGAAATCTCATGCTCAAGCAAACAAATAAAATGTCATCTTATGAATTAAAAGTTGAGGACATAGTTTTAATCGAAAACAAAAATAAGAAGTGAGCATTTTGGCTTTTGGGACGAATAGTCAAATTGTATCCCAGTAAAGACAATAATGTCAGACTGATTAAAGTTAAGACATCGAATAGAGAGATTCCAAGACCAATTCAGTGTTTATATCCATTAGAAATGCAACCAGAATCTGAAGGGGGAAGTCCTGAAAAGGCAGGTACTGAACACGAAAATATCTCTACATGTCTTCTAGAGATGCTGAAAGAGAGAGTTACCACAAGTGGTTGAGCTATAAACGTGCCTTCTATGTTCAAGGCACTTCTAGGTTCAAGGTTCAAGGCAAGGTTAACTTGGATAAAATGGACTTTTAGGTTAAAATTTAGTTTAATTAAATATTTGTTTTGATAAAAATCCTGTTATCAGAATGTTAGAGTATGTTAAGTATAGCATTGTTCATATACATTCAACCAGTGTAATATTATTTTTCCTTTAGTTTTGAGTGTCAACAGTTTTAAAAAGTTATATTTTTGTAGAATAAACTTGTTTTTGTTGTGTTTAAATTTTTTACAGAGATTATTTAGGTAGAAATGAGTTTATGAATGGACAAAATGGTGAACATTTATTGTCATATCTAACAGTTACAGTATGACTAAGGAATTCAAAAAATTTTAAAAGTGTTTAAAAAATTTTAAATATGCAAATATTTTACTTTTATTAAATAAAAATATTATGTATTGTTGAGAACTCATGAAACCAGTTTTTTCTATTAAATAAAATTAAACCTTAGCTCAAAAGAATTTAATTTATAAAAGGCTGCATTTATATTTGTATTTCTATTTTGACTTAAAGTTAGAAATTTTGAAATTTGTCAATTATAGTGAGTTAGAATTTTTTTTTTTTTTTCTTTTGCTGCCCAACCGGTATAGTGGTTAGCATCGCTGACTGCTATGCTGAAGTGCCCGGGTTTGAATCCTGGAGAATTCATGGATGTTTGTAAATGTAATAGTGTCGATGCGACATGGCGGCACCCAAAATATGTGGTGAGCTAAAAGTTCTCTTGTGTGGGTTGATGGAAGGAGAAAGGAGTTGGAGACCCTCGGACCTGTCTCCCTGGAGTTTTCTCCATCAAGATTGGGGGCAGAACTGAGCTAAATCGCACTGGCACCTGTAAGATGCTCAAGGCTGTTGCCAATGACAGGCGTAATTTTGCGTTCCTTGCCGCAAGGAATTTTGTGGGCTTGTGCTGATGTTATTGTCAGACAAGTGAGCATAAGTAACAACAACAACAGCAGCAACAGAATTTATTTTGTTAATTAAATTAATGTATAAAATAACACTTACTGCAGTCCAAGTAAAATAACTTTTTAAATGATTAACTTACACTATGTTGAAAAATGCACTTTCACAATATTGAAGTTAAATGAAGTTTTTATGCATCAGTGATTAGCAACAGCATTTATTTACTCTGAACATGATTGTTTGCAAACTGAAACAGTAAATACCTTAAAGAAATTATTCTTTAATTAAATTTTTTTTAAAAGAGATTGTTTTTTAATGATATTATATACATAAAATAGAAACAAAATTAGCTATTGTAATGGGAGGGGACTAGGATAGAGGAACAATAATTAAAAAAATTATAATTTACACACACACACACACACACACACAAAAAAAAAAAAAAAAAAAAAAAAAAAAAAAAAAAAAGAGGAGTAAAAGGAAATGGATAATATATAAGGGATAAAGTTAAATTTTCCCTAATTTTAAAGGCTAGCACTTTTTTAATGTCTTTTAGAACGAAAGATTAAATATGAAACATCACATGGTTAAATACATATGTAAATGAATTACATACGGATACATACTATGAATATATACATACATACTATGAATATAACCATGTGATAAACATCACATAGTAAAACATCACATGACACAGAATCCATGTCAATGAATTTCTGAATTTGCAAAGTATATTATAACATTAAAAAAACATTAAAATCAAATGCTTTTACTTAATTTATAGCTATCTTTTAATAAAAATCTATTAAAAATTAATGTTTACAATAAAGTTTTTGTATAGATTATACTTTTTTCTGAAGAACAACTGACTTGATTAAAAATTGCATAATTTTGTGCACACATACATAATTAAAATAATTTACATACATAATTAAATAATTTTTGAGGAAAATGAAATTTTCCTCAAAAATATGTAATTGTAATATCCTTTGATTATATTAACCCTCTAGGAGAAGGATATTTTAATAAACTTAATTATATGTATCTTATTTTAAATGTATGTGTCTTGCTTCAGATTTCATCTGCTAAAGAATCTTGCAAGCAATTTTTATCTGCATTACATATGCAAGAAGAAAAAGAAGTAGAAGAAATTGACAATGGAATTAAAGCGTTGGATAAATACTTTGAAGAACTAATAGCAAAGGTTTGTATCATTATAAAAAGTTCTCTTTTTCAGATTGTTTAATTATTTTTACTTTTATAGCAAAAATTTTATCTATTATATTAATAAAAGTTTAATTAAATTAAATAATGACTTTGTCAGGATTTATATATGGATCTTCAGTTTAGTGGTATAGTGTGTATGCTTTTTATATATGAATTTGAAGAGCAACTATTATTATTTCAAAAGTGCAAATGAATCCATATCCAGGATTTGCTTTTTCATTTTATTTGGAATTTATTAGAGCTATCAAGAATTTAAGAAATTCCTCCTGTATTGATTGTACAACATATGTGATAGCCCAGTAAAAATTAATATAATTAGATGCAGTGGGGAATAAATTAATGAACTAAATTATAATTATATATAAAAATATTACTACTTAGAATAGAAGAGAAACACGCCAATGTGACAATCGAAATCGCAATAGCAACCTTGTATTTGGCGTACGTATATTAAGACACTCAATTGATTTCGAGGGCAGCTAAAGGTTCCTCCTCCAACTTGTATTATAAATATATTCAACCTCTTTTATTTCCACAGTCCTATAACATTGTTTTCAAGAAATAAAAAATTGAGACATAGTTTTATATTATTCTGGATGTGAGGCATTTTTTGATAGCAAATATTTTTAATAATAGCGTTCCCATTCCTTTGAAAGATTATAGTATAGAAGTTAGAAGTATTCGAAGGAATCTTATGTGAGCTTGCAACAGAGAACTATCTTTTAAATCGAAGGTTAAATTCTTGAATACTATAAAGAATGACTGAAATGAATTCAGTCACAGGCCACGTAGAGAGGCTGTAGCTAACTTCAAACTGGGTACAGCACACGACTGCTTAGCCAAACATTTCAGCAGAATAAGCATACCAACTAATAGCCAATGCCCTATTTGTAAAACAGATACAATGAATAATTAGCACTTCCTCGTCTGTCCAGACCTTGACCCTAAGTTACAACATAGTGATGATATTCCTTTGCTGTATTGGATTGCCAGGAATCTTATGTCCTGAGCACACAGTTGCTTCACCTCTAATCAGTGAAGATTTTTTTAATTGTGAAATTTTTATGTCTTAATCTTTTTCATATAGTAGACTTGAATTTTAGTGCTGTAATTTTAGTTTTTAATACTTTGGTAATGTAGTTTTGAATTTACTGTTGTGCTTTTGGCAAGCAGCCTTAAATGGATTGATTTCCAAATAAAGCCATAAGAAACAACAATATATTTTTTATAAAGCATTTTCTTATTTTATCTAATTCCTTACACATTTGCTTTTTCACGCTATAAAGAAAAGAGCTGTTATTTTATAATGGCTGTTTCACTTTTAAGATCTTAATTTTAATTCAACTATATGTTTTAATAGTAAAATAAATTCTTCCGTGTGTAAGCAAGTTGATACAGTTATCTAGTATTTTATATTGAATGATTTAACTTTGATGATGAATATGTATCTATTGAAGTCATTAACTGTATTTTATTTGAAATAAAATTATTGAAAGCTTATGTAACTTTTTGCAAAGTTTTAATAAAATAATTATGTATTACAGATAATGATACTTATTAATAAAATGATCATTTAATATGGATAACATGTATGTTGGCAATTTAGAACACTCAAAAATTATTATTTTGAGCTGTAAATGACAAATTGTTACACATATTTTACATTTAAAACATTATACATTTTGTGTTTTGTTTACAGTCACTTCAAAAACTTCGTCCTTTTACTGACTTATTAGTGGATGTTATTAGTAAAGAAGATGTGAGTTTAGTTTCAGATATTATATCTGAAGATCAGGATACTGAAAGAATTGGAAATGAAAAAGTAAATATATTTCTTCAAGTCTGAACAATATGTAAACAGAATTGAATTCATGAGAATCTGCTTAAAAAATTAGTTATTACTATACAAATATTGTTTACCTCCAGAAAATTCATTTTAATTAAAATATTTGCTTAAAAATAATTAATACCGTATTGATATTATTTCCATTAAATATTTAAAATTCTCTATTACAAAACAGTATATTTAAACAGTATATTTTAGGAATTAGAAACTGTTTCATCTGATATTTTGTTTCCCATTGTTATTTTATTTAAATTAATCATGTAAAGTTTGTAATTTATTACCTTAATCATAATCTGAGAAATATTAAAAATAATTTTGTTTCTTATTCTTCTGATGTTTTAAAAAATTTTAAACTGATTGTAAGATTTCTTTTAAAAAGGTAAAAAATTAAATTTTAAAAGCTTAAGTATTTTTTAATTGTGATCATCATTGTAATGTTAAATTGCATTTCTTTTAATTTTTTATGTATTTCATTATATATTTTTAATTTAGAATGAATTGATAGTTTTTGTTTTCAAACATTATCACTCCAAAAATTTTGTAAATTTTTCCTTGATAAAAATTTAAATTTTAAAATTTAAGTATTACACTTCATATTCTTTATAGACTAGTTTCCAAATTTTTACTTCAATAAAAGTTTTGACATATATGTTATATATATATATATATATACAGGGTGATTATAATTAAAGTTTAAGTTTCAAAACGCTATAAAAAAAGAACCACTGATGAAAATGATGGGAAATTTGAAAGGAATGTTATTGAAGAAGGCGGAAAGCCTATGGCAGAAGAAAAAATTTAGTTTCAAAAGTTAGCAACAGATGGCGCTGTAAGCCGCAGAATCACGACGAGAAACAAGAAATGATTCGTAAAACAACGGCTAAGGTGGAAGTTACACATTAAAACGCATTGACAAATTAGAATTGCTGAATAATTTTATTTGCATGACTGTACATATCACATCAAAAGGGACAAATCGGTTTCAAGAGTTTTGCAGCGACATACCGCATGAGAACCATTCATCAAAGAAGTTTGGAACTGTCGCAAGACTGGTGCAAAACATGTTCAATATGGTGTCCACCGTTGTGTGCAACAAGTTGAAAGCGACAAACAGCATGTTCCACAACGGATCACAGTGTCTCCGGGGGTGATGTTCAGAATGTGTTGCGAAATGCGTGCCTTTAATTTCGCTAAATTTGCAATTGGAGCACGGAACACAACATCCTTCAGATATCCCCACAGCCAGAAATCACACGGAGTAAGATCAGGCGATCGGGACGGCCAGGCTGTAGGGAAATGACAGCCGATAATTCGAGCATTTCCGAAATGGCACCTTAGCAGCTGCTTCACGTTATGTGCAATGTGCGGAAGAGCGCCATCTTGCATAAAAATGATTTCATCCACACATCCACGCTGTTGCAGAGCTGGAATCACGTGGTTGTGCAAAAGAGATGCATACCTCTGATCAGTGACGGTTGCGGTAACAGGACCGGAAGCACCCGTCTGTTCGAAAAAATATGGTTGTAGGATGAATGATGGCGTAAAGCCACACCATACCGTGACCTTTTCAGGATGAAGTGGTACGGGATGCGTTGCCAGTGGATTTTCTGTTGCCCATATTCGACAATTCTGGGTATTCACGTATCCTGTCAGATGGAAATGGGCTTCATCTGTCCACAAAATTTTCCATGGCCATTTTATTCCACTTCCATGCGAGCCAGGAATTCTAACGGAAACGTCTCCCTAGCTGTCAGGTCAGACGGAAGCAACTCCTGCACATGGCCAATTTTGTACGGATAGCATTGCAATATGTTTTTGTACAATTTTCAGCACACCGTGCTCGTAGGCCTGTCCAAATGTTCGGGCAATTCCTCGTCCTCGCCACTGCACGGTTGCACACCACCGGCCGACCCCTCCTGTAATGCTGTGGCCACTTCTCTTCGACTACCGTCGAATGGACTCGTTTTCTCCTCCCTAATACCAGATTGCACATCAAACGAACCTGTCGTTTCGAATTTTTGCATCATTTTCTTTAGACCTACGACACTCATTGGACCAACGCCTTCTTTTATACCCTTCAGTGTCCTGAATTTTTGCAGAGCTACTAGCTAGAGTGAAATGAGGAACAGCCTGGTACCTGGCAGCTTTATAACACTAAAACTTAACTAACATTTTAATTTACGTCTTCTTCCGCTTGCAGCGCCATCTGTTGCTAACTTTTGAAACTAAATTTTTTCTTCTGCCATACGCTTTCCACCTTCTTCAATAACATTCCTTTCAAATTTGACGTCATTTTCATGAGTGGTTCTTTTTTTATAGCATTTTGAAACTTAAACTTTAATTATAATCACCCTGTATATATATTTCATATATGCACATTTAATCTGAAAGTATGTAAACTAGAGCATTTTGATTTTTTTTTTACTAATTTTCCTACTTACTTTTCTTTTATTAAATGCTGCTTTTAAAAGCGTTACATTATGATAAATAGTTGTAGAGATATACTATGATAAATAATTGATTAATGATCTGAATAATTTTAGCAAAATCTGCTACAATTTCTATTGGGATTTCTTTAGATAAAACTTCTTAAATATTCATTCTTAGAGGAAATTTATATAATGATGTATTTTTGATACTGAATTATATGCATGCAATAAGAAATGCTTGAATATCATTTTACAAATCAAAGCTAAATCAGGCTTTTTTCCACAAGAAAAGTTAATTTTTTTTCTTTTTCTTGCTTCATTTTCATATGTGTAATTGTAATAAGATTACTTAAGTTCTTTTCCTTTCTTTCTCTATACTTGTCTGTATGCTCTAGATCACAAGTTTGATGGAGCTTAAGTAGATATACTTTTTATACTTTCCTATAATTGAATAGTTTATATTTTATTGTTCACTTTAATGTCAGTTCAAGAAATCTATAGATTCATATGATTCTCTTTGAATTTCAAAACATTATATTCATATATAACTATCTACATTACTTACACAAACTGGAAAACGTGTGGAAAATGTATAGAAAATACTATAAATGTTTAGAAAATATAGCATTTAGCTAACTCTGAAGTTGGCAGTAGATATATGAGTGACAAAATACTTCAAAATTTTTTTTATTCCTAGAAATTCACTTTATTAGAAAAAAAGTATTATTTTGTAGAATTGCAGTTATAATATTTTATAATAGCTGACTGTAATTTTATAGAATTAGCATTTTAATCCCATCAAGGATAAAATTCAGATTGTATCCAAAAAATTATATGTGTTTTAAGAAATGCATACGGTTTAGAAAATGGTTAATATTGACTAGTACTGATAAATGAAGAAAAATTTTAAGAAGGAAAGTTGAAGAAAGGGAAAATATCTAAAGATCTAGGTGCTAAGAGAGGTTTTATGAATATACAGCTTTTAATTAAAAGGAGAGTTTTGAAACCCAATTTTTTTGTCATCTTCATATTTCAAATTTAATAAATATATACTTACATAAATAAAGATTAACTTAACTGAGGGCACTTTTACATTCGAAAGTTGATTAATTAAGATTATGCTTTCAGTTTCTAATTACAGTAATTGTGCAATTCCTAAGTTAAACATATTTTTGATATAGTAATTTTTTGAAATGGTCTCGAATTACAGGAATAAAAATTTTGGGTTTTCTGTATTAGAAATAGTAGGAAATGTAAAGTATGAAAATATATAACTTTTTTATTGAAAGTCCACGAGATTTAATAATAATAATAATAATATATGAACAAAATTTTAATCAACTTTAAGTTCTTGAGTGTAAATAATTTGCATTTAAAAGCAACCCATCTAAAAGCCATTTACATGAATTTGCATAAAATGTTTCCACAAATGAGCCACAAACTCATAATAAAATATGAATACTGAGAAGGATTTTTCAAGAGAAAGTGCACTTAGGGGATTCATTTTAATATAAAAGATGCTATTAATTTTTGAAAACCGAGTTGATTCTTTCAGCCTTTACCTCCCAGATATTCAAGCCTGATATCAGCAAGTTTTTTTATTGTAGTGTTATGCAAACAGGAAAATGGTTCAGACTTTAAGGCTTCTTTAATATAATTTCGATGCAGCAAGCATAAACTTAATTATATTTAGCTTTTTTGCAGATGTGTGTATTCATTTATTAAAAAGTAATTTAAAAAGCAACTTTTTTATCATGCTGCATTTTATTCATTGACTCTCTAATTGACTGGGAAAAGAATGAAAAAGGAATTTCAGAAAGTTTCTGATTTCATCTGTTAATAATTTCTTGATTTTTAATTTTCATTCTCTAATTCATAAGGAATAATTGTTTATGTATAATAACAACCTTGTTAAATAGAAACTTTTAAGTATCAATATTTTAAGTTTTAAAACTGCCTGATTTAACTTGACCTTTACGGGTGCCAATAAAATAAAGAAGCGAAGTATCCAACTTAAATTATAAACAGAAAACTCTGACACCGTGTTGAAGAACTGTGTGATTGATCCAAACCCAGATTAATCAATAAGGGTAGCCTTAAAATCAATTAACTCTAATAAAAATTCAAGTGTACACTTATTAAATCAACAACCTGAAAATAAAGAGGAATTAATCTTCACCGGTGCTTAGGTAATTAGAATGCTACCTCTCAAAGGAGGAGGGACATTATTTCAATTCACATAAACTACATATTTAACCAATTCCATAAGTTACTCTAGAAGCAGCAATATTGTTAAATTCTGCTAATTCAAAACCTCAAAAACACTAGTGAAGAAATATTCATAGAACAATCAATCAGTTCCCCATAAATAATAAAATTCAATGAGTGTAAATACTTTCTGGGTACCTACAAAAACATAACAATTTATCAATAATCAACTAAATCATTATAACAAATGGTTAGTACAAGTAGAAACTAAATTTGCATCATGTAAACCCTTTTTAATTAAACAAAGAAAAAAAAAAGTTAAGTCTCTATGTTTTTAAA